TGATATGACATTTAAAGATCCTTTCTTATTTCATTTTGAGCCGTAACGTCAACATTATTAGCATAGCCTGGTAGCATTTAGTTTCACCATTTATTTGAAAGTCGTCAATGCGGACCTGTGTTACTACGTTCTGTTGAGGATCTTCGTAAAGTCTTCGTCCTAAGACGATTCTCTTCTACGGTTTTCCAAAGGTCTTGACTTTTTTAAAATGGTATTCGAGTGAACAGCGAGCTTTCAAGACCCTGGGAAGTGAAGGTAAAAAAAATTATTTGCTTTAATCGTTTTTTATACTGGCTGATAAAGTGACTCACGCAAACCGTACAATGGCGAGAGTACAGTATTTAGCGGTATCGGTCAAGGTTTATCGAAGGTGTAAGGCTCAAACTCTCGCTTACGTCGATATTTCGGTAAGTAGTGAAATCATAAGTGAATTGGTCTAAGTGAGATCTGTTGTAAACTCATAATCTTCGACATGGAAAGGTGATTGATCGTGTTTTTACGTGTAGGTGGTTCCTTGGCTTGTAAGTGTTTTTCATCACGCACGGGAAGTCGCTGTTTCTTTTTTTTAGTTATTTTTCTCGATTATAATCTCCATCGATATGAACTTGAAGTTTAAATCCGTTGACACAGTTCAGACAGTTCACTTTCAGTTTTGCGGTGACTCGTTCTCCAAGATGGGACCTTGCGTCTGACAGAAATAATATAGCGTCACTTTTTTTCGCTTCGTATAACTTTCCAACGCACAGCAACTCGTTTATAAAAGGTTATGAAATAATTTTTGCTGTGAACTACGCGCTAAAAATAGCGTGGTGTGAGACTTCTTTGCCTCGCCTTGCTGAACATTTATACACGCTCCGGCAAGGCTTATTGCGTGTAATACAGCCAGTTACGCTCGTATATTTCAACCTTTTAACTGCCGGGTGTACAAAAAACAAACAAACAAAAAAACAAAAAAACAAAAATCCATCTAAATGTTGCGTTTACCTCCGATCCTGGAAATATCGTGTTGAGTTAGAATGCTTGCAGTCCCTTAGGATTGTCACGCAAGCGACGCGACGGAAGCATGTTGACGTGCGAGTGAGCGAGGCAAACGCGCGAGGAGAAGGCGAAGAAACAATTGGTCAGTTTGCAATGCACTTTGTGGAATACGTGAAATCACGTCCTGGCCTCTCAGTAAGTCCAGACTTTCCATCTTTTAAATTTTAGGAACTTATAGCTCATTCTCTCTTTTATTCACCTATTTATGATTTTATGTTTTCGGGTTGACTGCGGCCACCTCGCGATTACGACACCCCAGTAGTTTACAGACAGCAACTAAATCCACACACAACAGACATTTCACTGAATCCCTTTTGTCGTAATTACGACACTCTAAACCAAGTCGTGGTTCCTTGGTTGTCCCCAATTTAAATTAGGGATTTACTATAAAATAACGCGATCAACCTAACTGCAATGACTTTGTCATAAAAAAAAAAGAATTGAAAAAGGCTGAGTAGGACTGAAAAAAATTGGGCACGCTCACTGTATTCAGTCGGGGATCGGGTCCGATTAAAGATTGAACCTCAGTACGTCTGATCTCCTCTCAAGATTCTGCAAAAGTGTTTACAGGATTAACAAAATAACAAAATGCTATTTTGGGCTTTTTATCGCGACCTCGTTATTTCAAACTGTTTGCATTTAGGTGTTCATCCTATGAAACCAAGAGACTATAAAGGGGACAGAGAGGGCATCCCCCATATACACCCTATTCCATAGGTAATTCGTCTCGAGTTATTTTTAACACCACAGATCCCAAGGGGGATTAGACAACAGCCAATCACATAGCGCGAATGTATTCCGCGTGGATGACCCACGCTGAGAGCCAAGCGTCCCTCACGAAATGACGCAGAACAAAATGGGGGAAGACGTGGAGAGCGATTTTGCTATTCCTTTTGTCGACGAAAACGACTACAGCGAGATTTCTGCGAAAGCTGTGTCAGCGAAACCGAAATTAAAAAAGAATCGCCCTTCCTCTCTTGTATAGAGCTAACAGTAGAGCAGGGAAATCCTTAACACACTGAATATTCTCTCAGGATCATTTATAATTTACAGTTTGAAGAGAGCAATTTCTGGTTTGATGTTTATTTTTTTCAGTCTTTATAGTGATTATTCCTACCCACTTACTTTGTCAATTGTAGGCGAACCCTCCTAAAGCTGAATTTCAAGGGACCATATCATATTCAAGCTCAGAAAGAGAAAATTTCGTCGTTGCTTATTTACGTCCTCCATAAAACGCGAAATTAGGCATTTTCACGTCGTAGTCGTGCAAAAACGGGAAAGAAATGAACAAAAAAAAGTGTGTTGCACGTGCGAAGTTGTTGTTTTGCTAATTAAACCTATTGTTTTTTTTGACGTTCTAGTTGTCGTCCGCGTCGTTGGATCTTAAACTCCCTAAATTGTACAAACGACCGGTTTCAATAGACCGCCGAAATTTCTCATTTTATTAAAGCACTGAGGTTACGACAACTTCGAGTTAAACTGATTTCACGGGTTGTCTAAGAGTCCAGCGATTCCTTTTTTCCAGGTGAGCGCCGACTCATTTCGCTTCAATATTCAGGAATGCTCTCGATCTTTTTACGCTTTCATTGCCTCTCGCCCGACATGTTTTGCACGGCGTTTGGTCATGCGAAATCTCCACGAAACATCCACGCCTCGCGCGAGGTAACTTTATCTCGATTCTAAAAATAACTCGAGACGAATTACCTATGGAATAGGGTGTATAAGGGGGATGCCCTCTCTGTCCCCTTTATAGTCTCTTGTATGAAACCCAGTCAACAGAGCCTCCTTTGGCCGTCTTCCGCGCTGAGTACGTACGCCAAAATCGAGCATCCGCTTGCAGGGTGACCCGATAACTATAAGGTGCATATTGAAAGAACTGTACGTCGAAGGCATGACTGACTTGCTTTCTCCTCCGGTCTTCTTACTTACTGCCTGATGCAGCAATGTTTGTTCATTCTGGAACTTGAATGAGTTATCGTTTCTGAATATTTATTGTCTGAGTAAACATTGTGGCGATTTACTAAGCTCCCTTTGAGAGGCAGAATTTTATTGATCGAACAAAATAATTAAAAGCAATGCCGAAGCGTGACCGAAGATACTGCCGGCGGGGTCAGATCTGGGAGTGGCTCGGTTAAGCTCCGAAACGTGTCAAGTATTAATACTGAAAAAACGGAAAGGCGTTTGCATAAGAAAAGAGTTTAACTTCCCGAGGACTGCTTCGGAACACCAATATGGCCGCCGTGACGTCATGTGAAAACGCTCTATATTGAGCTATACTATTAAAAACTGAATCATTGGATAATGCAATTTTAGAGCTCTGATTGGCTTAGCCATATGAGCCATTATACCATGCTCTCCAATTATGGTATAACTGTACGCGTCTGTTCAAAATTAAAAACAAGCTGAAAATCGGTTGTGTTTACAAACGCGCCTCGTTGGCTATAATCATCTCATATCTTCAACGCGCACTCGTGGAATAATTGTTTTAAAAGAGATATACTAGATGTCAGTCTTGCTTATAGACTCGTAAGTGACCTATTATTGAGTGGAGACACTGAAAAAGAGGCAGATGTGAACTAAAAACGAATCCGTATACACTTACGAAAAGCCAATTATGTTGAGAACAACGTCTTGGTTTGCAGGCAGAATAGCTCATAGAAATAAAATTAGATTTTTTGAGAGCCTCGTTTCCAGTTTAAGGATTCTCCAGCTATTCTCACAATCTTGGAATCGTTCTTCTGTTGTTTCCATATATGGATTTCCCGCCATTTTGTTGAACGCTGCGCAAAAGCTCGGCATCAGTCCGACGTCATACATGTTTATCATCTGTAAAGTGTGCTGAAAATCCTTTTAATGCGATTGATATCCTCCACTTCTTCGCAAGAAAGACGTGACTAATTCTGTCCTAAAGATCATTCCTTGAGTAAGTTATCAATACTTTTAAAATATGTGACGAAATGTAACACGAATCTGAGACGAAAGAGCCGCAACAAGCCGAAAAGCTGATGGATCATCGAATGGTTTTAGAATATTTATGCAAACAAAAGCTTCAATGCCAACTCTTTTTAATGCTAACTTAGATCGTAGATGAAAACCCCTGGCTGATCTTTAGGCTTATGCTTTAGCTGCGCCAGGAATTTTTTGTGCTTCAAGATTTACAGCCGGACTTTGTGTTGAAATTTTCAAAAACTTTATAGGGTAAACTAAAGAAAGTTTGGCTTATAGTTTTTTAACTCCAGTTTCAAAGTGTAATACGGGCGTTCATAATTCCACACTGCGTGGCTTATTTGATATCTTCATCGTTTGAGAGTTCTAAAACCTGACCGCAAATAGTTAAAAGTCAGAAAGAAGTCTTCAAGCCGTCTTCTAACACAAAAGGACGAGAAATCTCGCGCAACACTCAGTTCAGAACGGATCGCTCGACTTGTTTTCTTTTAGAAATCCGTACCGAAAATAGGCTTCCAAAATGTCACCTTAAATATGCCAAACCGAATTATAATAAAAAGAAACTACGAGTGTCAAACCGCTAACAAACTATAAGTGCGTTCAGAGATTCGACCATACGTTCCACCTGTATTGAACGGTCAACAAGTATGGTTCAAAAGCTAAAAGAGATGGCAAAATGAAACTGTGTATCTAAATAGAAAAAAAGGTGCAGTCTACTTTTGTCAATATAAAACGCACATTAAGTTTACTCAAGATTTCAAGTTCTTAAACTGAATATTTAGCCATAATTAATGACATATTCCTTGGCAGGCATCTGTCAGATAGTTGACTTTAATAGTTGATATCCTTGTAAGCACAGACTCCTCAGCCCGGCCTCTTATGAGACGATCTAACCTGTTCTCCGGTTTGTATTTTGATGATTATTGTCAGCTAGACTTGCCTACATGTCGAGGTCAAATTTTTTCACGAGCGCGAAGCGCGACTGGTAGATTTTTTATGTTTTCTGCTGCAAAAGCGAGCGAGAGAGCGAGAGCTTCGCGCTAGGACCAATTACTGGAACCGGAAATCTGAGAAGCGAAGGACTTTGAGAAAGACTAATTTTCATCGTGAGTCTCCGTAGTTAGTTAAACAGCTTTCGCTATAGAATGAACATCTCTGCTTGTCCAATGAGAATCTCCTTCAGTCATTCGGGGCTCAAAATTAAATTAATTCCTCTTCTTCCACTAGAAAAGCTTTGCCAGTAACTTTTCTTTCTCTTATCATTTCTAGATTTCCTCTGGATTTCTTGTCGTCGAGATGGAGGGCCTCGCATAGTCGTAAATGTCACGGTTTTTTAATACTCTTCCACGCAAAAAAGTTGACAAAACGGCTTAAGTAGAACGCAGACAGACAAGCACTAGTTTAAAATATTCATGCGTTTGCCCTTTAAACCCAAACGTCAAAATTTACATTCTCATTTGTTGTCCGTAAACGTTTTCAATAGAGGTAGTGGGGAGAATTTGTTGACGTATTAGTTAGACTTACATGTATCTTCTGCGATCATGTCCGTAATTCTCATGACCACTCTGTTTTGTAAAACTTTGATATTACAATGAGAAACTTCATGCTGATCACCCTCAGGGCTTATTAAAATAGTAAATATAAAAGACAGCAGCCGCTGACATGAGACTTATTATTTCCCCAATAATTCAGGCCCACAAACTGGTTTTTGACCGGAGAGGTTTCATTGTTTTCTCAGGGGCGGACCAAATAAGTGCGTTTGGATCATTTCATTTCGTTCTTAGTTTATGTTTCGCTATTAATGTAAAGGTAGACTTTCTCAAAGTCCTTCGCTTCTCATTTCCGGTTCCGGTAGTTAGCTCTCCCGCTCGCTTTTGCCGCAGAAAACATAAAAAAAGTCTACTGCTCGCGCTTCGAGCTCGTGAAAAAATCTGGGCTCGACTTGTAGGCGAGTCTAATGTAAAGGCAGTCAGTGCTAATTACAGACACATGAAAGCGCTGCATTTTTATTGAACAGCTGTTTCTTGTCCAAGTATGGAGTAGACGAGAAGGCTATAGCGTTACAGAGTTACAGCAAACAACTCTGGACTATCATAGTGAATGTCATACGTCGAACGTCATACATTAATGTAAGGCTCCGTTTACATGAAGAACACTTGTCTCGAATAAAAGAATCAATCGCTTACTCGACCTACCCTGAGCTCGCCATATTTTCATTCATTTCTTTACAAAACGTTAACTCGGCTAGAAGGGTGCCTTGCCTGGCTTGATCACCCTTTCGCGATGGTAGGGTTACCGTCCAAGCCGGGCTATCTTCTGCTCCATTTATTGTACCCTTTGGCCCAACTATACACGAGCGCCAGATTCATACCCAAACTTCTCTGTATGCACGGTGATTGATGGGAAGGATTTAGTGATATTCCAATGCCAGACTAAATAAGTGGCGACTGATCGCGAGCGCTGTTGTCAGCCGCCCGGCTAGTTCAGGAAAAGTGTTGGTCTGCCGCGCGGGAGGCCGCTGGTTCAAACCCCAGCCGCACCAACATTTAGGCTCTTCTACTAAGGAAAAAGTGCTGCCTTTTTGTAAAGACTTTTGCAAGTGGTTAGACTTTCTAATGTTTTCGGATAAGGACGATAAACCGTAGGCCCCGTCTCAAAAACCTTGCAGATGTAAATTCTGTAGGACGTTAAAGAACCCATGTACTGTTCGTAAAGGGTAGAGGATGTAGTCCCTTGTGTGGTGGTCTATCTCTCATGGGTGAGGGACTGTCTGCATTAATTGGCGTCACTAGGGCCACAGACCCTGTCAAGAATTGGGGAACGTAATTATAAACAATTATTGGATGAGGTTTTTGTGATATCCGGAATAATCAAGGTCGAGGTAAGTGTTATCAGCCAAAGCCGAAGGCTGAGGCTGATAACACTAACCGAGATATCACCAAAACCGAATCTAATAATTGTTTTATTGTACAAGCCATTCTTATTTTTTTTATTATAGAAGCCATTCTTACTTCGCTGTCCGCGAACTTGACATTGCTGTCCGTGCACTTGACGTTGCTCTTGGAAATCATGCATTGCGCGCCCAACCTACAGATTATTCACTAATCTGTAGGTACAGATTAGTGAATAATCTGTAGGTTGCGCTGTTTCCCAGAATTAACTGTAGGCTTTTAGCCAATGAGAAGACAGATGGTGACTACAATGTATAATAAATTAACTTAACTAGAAATATTAAAGTTATCGGTAAATTAGCTGTTGACTCGGGAAAAAGGCACCAACTCTTTTCACATAAAAACGTTCTCTAAAGTTGGCTTGGCTAGGAGAGTGACCATCTTTACCGGGAAGGACGAGCCCTAAGTCGAAAGGACTGATAACAGTTTCAACATACTAAGCTCGACCATGTTGCTGTTGTATTTCTGCCTTGTTTCTGTTGTTTACTTGGTGAGCAAATGACAAAGTGACAGCAAAATCGAAAAAAAAGAATTTATCCTTGGACACGCTAAAAAATGATTGGCTTGTAGTCTCCAGGTAACTGACGAGTGGTTGGGCAAAAATGTTTCGACTTGTTTTTACTGTACACGTTTATATACTAGTAAAGTGAAATCAATTGCAAATATCGTCTCTCTTAAATCCCTTTTTGAGTATTAATAGGCTGGTAGGGAAAAACCTTGTTTTACGTTCGGTTTCGCAGTGGTGGGAAAATATTTTCTCTTTGTAGCGTTATGTTGTTATTAATTTTCACACTCAGTGGAAACCCTCTACGCGAGGTTCTTCTAGCAAGGAACTGTATTTGCTTGGTTTGATTTTAGTTTTATTTGGGTCTTCGGGACACTGATCTCTTTTAGTGCGCTAGTGTGAAAGATCGGTTCAAATCTGTCGGAAACATCATGATGAGTAAAGTCAAGACGTCAAGAAGGTTAATTATTTAATTATTAATTGATCTTTTTCCTTGAACTGAATCTATAATGAATCTTTTGTTCTTCACAACAGAACGTATGAAAATTTATTTTGGTTTTTTTGTCTTTGAATTGAAATGGCAAGCGTAAGGTTATGTTTACCTCTGACCTTATTTCAACAGACTCGTAAGACTGCGGAGTTTTGAAAGCGTATCGAGAGCGTAAGATTTGTGTTCATCTTACAAAACTGCACAAAAATCGCGGCCCAACAAATTCTACTGTTTCACCTAATATACTGAGCACTATTTTCAATTTTCCAGCTGTCGCAGTAACGTTAGTTCACGTGTTATTTGTTTTGAATTAAACGCGTAAACCAGCTGTATTTGAGATTTCTTTTTAGGTGTGACGGACTTCTCATCAGTTTCTTCTGATTGAATTGCTAATATTTCTGTATTCGTTTATTTTCCAGACTACATAACTGACACGTCAATATAAAGGGTTCAACGAGAAAATCACTTTCAAGGGTAAGTGGATTATTTTTTAATTTTTTTTTGTCGCTCAGAACGTTTGGAGACTTTTTGGAGAAGCCAAATGGCTAAAACCCTGGCTTTGAATATGCCTTCAGTTATACTTAACAAAAGATTTGACACTGACTTCTTTTGAGAAATTTTAATCTGTTATTTATCATCATTTATACCGAAATAATACAAAATATCTTGATTTATATCCTGATGGCTATACAAGTGGAACCTCAGTCGATATAACGAAGGGCCAAGGGCCTTTGGCAAAATGTGTTCGTTATAACGAGGTTTCGTTATAAGAGTTCTTTTCCATATATTTTACTATTACTGAGGGACCATAAACCCCTCACGCTGAGATACTCCCCAGTATTGCACTCATACACAACACTGACTATATACCATAACGGACAAGCCCAGAAGTGAGTTTTCACTTATAGGATCTCTGCTGATGATGACAATATTGTTGGTTATAGGAGCCTATGCATGACCACTCATGGGCTCCTGGGTTAGTATATTGCACCGTCATGCATGGTCTTTACGGCATCCCTATCGCTACATTGCGTGTGTTTGAAGTCAACGTCCTTACGTTATCATTGCTAAAGCACCTGAAATAAATTTCGTCCCATTTAAAAGCCCTTCCAAATATATGCGGTTGCCTCTTAAAGAAGGACTTTGAAAAGTGTGAGAACTGAGGCTTATTTAGTTTGCGGGACTTAACGATGGTGCTTAATCATTCGATGCAAGTGTAAATTTCTCTTCCTTTTCATTGGCCGGGAGCCCACCACGTGACCTCCAAATTACTGCCTACGAATAATGGTCTACTCATGCGCAAAGTCATCCAACTGTTTTTAGCTGAAAATAATATTCTGCTCATGTGTTAATGACACTACGCTTTTTTCCAGCTTGTGATCGGTCTTGCATGAAAATGGCCGATCTTCCAATCCATGAGTTTATTCATTAAGAACAAACTCGGTGAGTTTTCGAGGTGGGCAGTGGGCAGTGTTGATGTACAAAGACAAACATTTAAATTTATCTTAAATTCTGCAACAGAAAACAAGTGTTTTATATAAATCAGCAGTGGTTTCGTTTCAGACCTCAAATCATATTTTCTAAATCCTGCCACTCGGAATGCCGAGAACCATTTGATTTGCCAACCGGAATCTCCTGTTTTTCCATGCAAATGTTAAATACTTGACTGGTCACTCATGAAATCGTGAAATATGACAGAGAAAACAACGCTTGCTAGACTCAATTTATTTACCATTAAACACGGATAAACTGAAGAATTTTTCTCCTTATTGCGATTGTTCATAGTAAGTTATCAGTAAGGTGGAAAAAATAACCTATTACCAAAGGACGGAACATTGTATACTTTTTCAGAAAACAGTGGCTGAAATTTTGACTTTTTAAGTTTACACATGATTTTTATACGAGTTTCCACTTTAAATACCGTCTACAAGTTTTCGATATTGAAAATATCTCCTCGTTTAAGTATAAATCAAGGAAGGAGTTTTTGTTTTTGTTTAATAAATATAGTTACTATTAACAGGCCTAGCGTAATTTTTTCAGCAAACGAGAGGCTCTTTTATTTTTTTTCATATAAATATTTAACATTGAGATTTGATAGCAAATCATCCAAACATATTTTAATATCATATACTTTCTGGCGAAAACAATTATTCAGACCTTTTTAAATATGAAAATAATACTCTCTGCAGAATATTTTGACGCTTAAGTACCAGAAAGAAAGGATGGTTGTATTTTGGAAAAAAAACTCTGCAGACAGCAGCTCTTAAGTAACGAACTTTTTCAACACACTTGTAACTACTTCCATGATTTTTGAACATGCTGGGGCCAATTTCCAAATATAACCGGCTACAGGAGAAACTTGACGTGCATACTGCAAGCCAATAAGCGTGCTGCAAGCGATAAAAAAAATATTCATAGCACCAGACAGGTGCATGAGGCTAAACTTGCTTGCATGCTAATTTTTATACACGTGCATTTTTGTTAGTGTTCTCCGCTGGATCCAGCTCGAACGAACGAAATACTATTCTCAGAGATCTGGGAGCCATGAACTGGAGAAAAGTAGAAGCGATTCTCTTGCTCGGAATTCTATCAGCTGTTGCAATGAATGTAAGGTATTGTAAACTGATATTTCTCTGCGAGGTCCGGGCGAGTTTCTCGAGCTTGTATTACATTTTGATCAGGTGGTTGCGAATTTGATCGTTCGGTTTCTGCGCAATGAAACAGTCTGGATGTTTTTTTTAAGCAGGTGGAATACATTCGAAGGTAAAAATGTTTTGATGGTCAAGGATCACGATTCACCCGTGTAAATGACAGTGGTAGAAATGATCTCTGAGTTTAGCATATGTTATACAAATCGACTGAGAAATATAGCATGAAAACGGGTTGGGAATTGTTTGGCCCTTGCAGTTGCATGATGGACCTCCACGATTATAAGATTCGTCAATTGTTCTGTTGCTCAAACGTATAAACGCAGAGCGAAAAAAGTTGTATATATTTATTCCTTTCAAGGATACACAGACTCCGCTGGAGTCTATTGTATTTTTTTTAACGGCAAAAGCCCAAGGTTGTCCCGAGCGGCGAGGGTGGCTTTTGAATTCAGCCAAAACCATAACTTAAAATCCAATTGTCTTCTCACCGAAATTTAAATAGCTTACAAAAGAAATATACAATGTTAAAATAGAATGCAGGACAATGCACGTTGAACTAGTTGGTTTGTCGTCACCCTTGAAAAAAAATAGCTTGCAGAGAAAGGAAAAAATTCACACAGTTTACATAAATTATAAAGTGCCAACATGTATTAAAGAATAGCATTTCTCGCCTACTTAATTGCCATGTTTACAGCGCAAGAGCTCCCGAGAAATTGGACCAAGTCTGTCATTCGCTTTCGATTGTTTAAATTTGAGAAAAACTTAGCACAAACGTTTGCGGTTAGTATTAAATTTTAAATCTAAATCCCAATTTGGAGTGGTCGTTACCCTCGAGAAGATAATTTTGTGGCGGATGCTTATATATTTTGCATAAGATCTATTTCTTAGAGCAACATGAAAATATGCCGAAAAGATTGGCTGCGGTTTTCTACCCCAAGGAGACAACTTCGAGATAAAATATTTTCATATCATAGACGTTGCTGTATTTAAAAATCAGAATGGTAAGGTAAAACAAAACAATCCGGTTAAATCCATCGAAGTTATTACGCATTTTTACTGCATTTTATAGTGGTAGTTTAATATTATTGTGTTCGCTTTTGCCCCTTAGATAATGTAAAGATCCTCAAGAGAGGATTTTTTCAAAACTGGACATTTTCATGCTGTTATACACTATGTATTTCCATCCAGACAAAGCCGGGTCAAATATTCTGAACATATAGCGTGATCGATCGACAAGGGACTAAAAGACAAACAAGCAAAAAAAGTCTATTGTATTCTTTTTCAACACCAATTTTACATAATAACAATTAGGGTAAACATGGGATACCTTATTTCGATGTGTTTCTCTCAGCTTGTTTTAGTTCCAGAATTTTTTAATGACGAAAATTAGCAACAGAGCGCATCGCTGGATAACACTGAAGGGTCGTTTGTAAAGTTTGCGAGAACTTTTTTTATAGCCTTCTTTATAAAGCGTTTAGATTTGTTTTCCAAAAAGTATCAAAATTGCACGAACCCAAAGGGTGGGATCAAAGCTCCGTATTAGTTTTTGTATCAAACGATCTTCTCCGGTTGATGATAACTTAACATTCAGTGTCAAATTGGACTCGTTTAAACAAGGCACGGTTTCCAGGTATTTGTTTTTAAGTATTTTTTTATTTCTCACAGTTCCGTTATCGAGTAGTTGCACTTCGAGCTACGATTTTCCTCGCATTCAACTTATTTCTTCTTTTATTATCTCTAACTGTTCAAGCCAGAAAGCTGATGGAAATTTCAAATACATATTTTGGGGAGTGATTAAAATTGGTGAAGAAAGGAGAAGGTAAAATGATTAAAAACGTATGTACGGAGATTTTACCAATTCACAGAAAAAAAAAAGAATTCAAAATACCATTGGCAAACGTAAGATTGCTAGGTGGATCACCTTGACAAGTGTTTGGCCTTGGGCCTCAAATCAAGATCAAAAAAAATTATTTTTTAACCCAGAGAAAAAAATGGTCGATATTTAGTGAAACTTGCTGAAGAAGCGTTGTTTCAATACCGCCTTATAGCATTCTTTGCTCATTACAAAATCAAAACTGAGAGTTTCAAGACAATGTTCACTATAACTAGGTTTCGTTATATCAAGGTTCTTTTCCATAAATTTTACTATGGGGAAAAGGAAATTGTTCGTTAGAGGCTTGTTATACCGAAGTTCCACTGCCGGGATGCATTTTTAAAATATTATATACATGTATTTCTCACACTGAGATAAAATATTGTACCAAAGGAAAACCAACAAAAAGAGTGAGTAAAGTTTGAAACCGGTCAAATTTTTAGCTTCGCGCAAATAACAACTCCCAACATGAGTTGTTGCGTCCGTTTGCACGTTGCTTAAGATTAAATCAAGTGAACCAACCGTGTACAGCAGAATGCCTGCAGCCGACACTAAGCTTGGGAAAAACACGTCTGAAAATTGGTTTGGGTTTTGCTTCTGACTGGTTAAAAAAACAAAAAAAACAAAGAAGGGGGATTCTTAAGTCAATCACGGAGCAAAGAAATGCGAGACCTAAGAAGCCGCGAAATTATTTTTGAAGCTAATTTGAAAACCACTCTGAATCTAAAAGAAGATGTGTTTATGCTGAATTTTTTTTAATATCTCTACAGATTATCAAGATGACTGAAACAAGGAGTTGAATATTACCCTTCAGGAAAGCATGAGTTGAGCTCGATGAGCACTGCAGCTGGGGTCTCTTCACAAAATGAGTCGCTTGAAGATACGATGGGTTCTAACACGCGTAGCTCTAATTATGACCGTTTTATTACTTTTTCAATTTGTCAGTCAGCTTGGGTTGATGAAGATGCGAGGTCCGGACTGCGTGGAGAATCAAAAAGTCTTCAACGAATTTGCCAGGATCAGGGAAAATCCAGAGAGATTCGTTGAAAACGTTGCACAAGTGAAAACTAACACAGACTTCATAAAAATAGCTAAAAATATGAAACAATCTGATTCCAAGAGCGCCAAAGACTTGCAGAACATAGTTGGCAATTTAAAACGCTTAGCCTTGGAGCTTTCCGAGACAAGACGGACCTTGATTAGGTCTGCCTTGCAATATCATCGTGTTGGACAACATATTGAATCTTTAAATGATATAATCGAATCTTTGGGTGGAGAAAGTTTTTCTCAACATGATGCAAACGTCCCTGTAGGAAAATCCTCACTAAAAAATTCTGCTTCTTCTTCTAAAAAAGAGGTTTGTCCTGAGAAGTTTATGGGTAAAAGTTTAGCTTATGGATATCCTTATTTCAGAAAAGGATTCCAGCGAGTCAACTGTGCAGAGTTTGTCCCAATTCACTTACTCGTCACGGTACTTTTAGTCTTACCCGAAGAATTGTCCGACAAAAAACAATTTCAGTTTTTTCAAGGCGTCGCACAATATTATCCAGGCGTAAGTATTTTTATTGCATCTACGAGAAAGTTCCCCGTCGAAACTTTGGCGAAACTGAATTTAAACATTAAGAATGTGGTCTTCGCAGAACTCACGCATGGGGAGACGTGGACCAAGCTACTACAGGAAGTCACCACGCCCTACGTACTTCTTGCTTCTGATGTAACTCACTTTGATGATGACGTAGATCTTGAACGCCTCGTGCGCGTGCTTAGTGACAACAAAAATGCAGTTGTTGCCGGGGGGAGCCTTCGAAATCAGGAGGGGGAATGGGACATTGGCTGTCTTCAAGTTACATTTAGGAATTGGACTGCCTACTTTAGGGGTGGTTATTACCACTCTTTTTCCGAGTGTGTTGTGTGCGATGTGCTGTGTGGTCCTTTTATGGCCAAAACCGAGGAGCTACGGAAAATTGGATTAGACGAAAAGTAAGTATACCACTAAATATATTCAAATCTCGAAGCATTTGAGCGTTGTTATGTGGCTGAGCGGTTGGGGTAGGAGGGGTTGTTTCTAAAACTTCGTTTATATTAAAGCCTTTGGTTCATACAATTTCGTAAGGAGTTTTGGGTGAGCCTTTACCTGGGGGGTTGAAGAGGGGGGTATGAATAGATGGGCCTGTAATCGGGGGTTGTACTGTATGTCTAAAGTCCCGTATCAGGGTGAATATTTTTCCCTCGTATGGCGAGAGGGTTATGAATCTGAAATTTAGCCTTATAATCGAACACATTTAACAGCATTTAGCAACTCTATCTGTTCTCGACTAAGAACCAACAATTCCTACTATATCCCAGGATGAATGTTTTCTAAGGACTCTAATATATCATGCTTTATTGTGTGCTAAAACGTGATTTCCCCTAAACGTTTCGCGTGATTAATTTTCCTGTAAGCGATCCATGCAATCTGCACTATATATGGAATGCCTGATATGGCATTATGTATAAAACTATACCTCCTCAATATTACCTTTTGTGTTGGGGCAATATTTTGAAATCAGGAACTTCAGAATTCAGTTTTATGACCGATTGCAGTTATTGCCACGAGATGCTCCCTTCGAGGTAGAAATTGCAGATTTTGGTCTCAAAGCCAATCTTTTTACCCATGAAACTTGGTTAGTATAAAGCGCAAAGAAAATTAAAGTAACAACAGCAATAATAAGAAACAAATACTGTCAGATGGTCTCCTTTAGGAGTCAAATAATGTTTAAGTCACTCTCAGATTGTCTTTTATATGTGTGTCCCCCTGGCTCCTCTGCTATTATCGAAATGTTTCATTGTATTTGTTTCTTGATTAGACCACTTATCTATTGGAGTTCTCGTTTTTTCCATAGCTTACATTTTGGCGTCTTCCAAGACATTTTCTGGCGTCTAAAAACTCATTACCCGGAGAAGATAGTCGTCAGCTGTCCTGACGTCATGTTCAATACGTATTTCCGGGAAATCCCGGATAAACGATATGTAGATTTGGCCAGAAAATGGGACGTGAAGAAATGGGTCGAGTCTAGTGGCAGAGTCCGCTGGTATGGCTGCAGGCGTGGCCACTCTCACACCAGCTCAGACACGTGCAGCTTTAACTCCGGAATCGGGGTTCCCCCATGTGATTTGGAAAATCTTGCAGATGCCATCAAATTTGTTATGAAGGAGTGTGAAGATGCTGGTTTGTTCTGCGAGTTTCAAGAAGGAACTTTATTAGGTAATTTCAATTTCCTCTGCTTGGCAGGTGCCAGCTCCTGTGTTGGGTCTTTAATGAAATGTAATTTTCCAATTGCACCTCAAGGCACCGTGATATCCTGATACATTGCAAACATTAAGTAAAAGAAATCAGCAATATCGAGTAGCAAAGGAAAGCCGTTATTAGTAAAAAATCGTCATACTTGCTAATCGTTTTTAACAAAGAAAACAAACAACAAGATTTCTTTCGCAACTGCAGGTTTTCGACATGAACAGTTTGAGGATCAGGGGGTTCCACAAAATTCCTCGGTCTATCATTATTGTTATCATCATCATTATTATTCCAGGCGTAGTTGGCACAAACATATGTCTGTGGCCTCCCGTACCAAATTTCTTTGAAGAACAGTGCACTCAAACCACCCACAATACCTTTCGGGATTGTCGCCTTCACCTTTAGTGACAAAAAACAGCCGAAGAGCTTATGGGATAGTATCGGAGTGAAGTTACAAGAACTGAACCAGAATTCGAGTTATCGGGGTAAATTTCAGTGAAGTTTGGGAAATTCAGTAAATTTCACCTGAGTTAGCGGGAAATTTCAAATTAACCCAGTGAAAATGACTGAAAAGTGAGGTGAAATCCAAGGGAAATTGGACTTAGACTAGTTCGAGTTAGCGGGGTTCTACTGTATTACTATATGCATGCATTATAGAATGATTTTACTTGACCCGTGAAACAGGTAGAAGAATATTACGCGCTATTATGCATTAATTCCATTGTATTCTTTTGTTTACTTGTAGCCATTTTGCACTGGTTGTTATTCTTTGTTTCACGGGCCGAGTAAAATCACTATATTACAAGTAAAATTTGTTAATTTGCTAATAATAGGTATATTTATAAACGAACTAAAATTTATTAATTTACTATACTGTTCCATTGTCCATTATCTATAAAAATGGAACAGTATTGGAAATAGAATAATTTTTAGTCTGTTTATAAATATATTTATTATTAGCTTATTAAGTTGTTATTCTTCTTCTTCTTCTTCTTCTTCTTATTATGAGTATTAGTATTATTATTATATAACTACTACTAGTTATTTCATTTAGTTATTTTAACTCTTTCTACAATTTCCGGATTTTAGGTGCTGTCAAATTCAATAAAGTGCTGCCATGGGAACGTGATGCCGACATCACCTTTCTAACAGGCAATTACACGGCGTTTAAACAGCTTCGATCGAAATTCATGGCAGCTGGTTACAGCCTAAGCGACGATGACGGCTCGTTGTGGTGCTGCGTAGACGGGCGTCAGGCTGGTGGTAAGTTTCGTGTAGGTACAACCCGCTGGACGTTGGAACTGTATGGCCAACACTTGATGGAATCAGAGGCTCTTGTAGCGAGCGGTCGCAAGCCTACTAAAGTGCAATTTGCCGGGCAGTGGGTGACGGTTATGCGCAATCCGGGGCTTTTTGCTCGTAACCGATATGGACCCAGTATGTACCGACACGCAGAACACTGGATGGATACGGGGCAAGACACTGGATGGGCATTTTACCGTCCGAGCAACTTCAAAAAATGTCCCGAGCCAGGTCACTCTGCGTGTCTTGACCAGTTCCCTGCAGATGGCAACCTTCAGTTTAGTGACTACCCTCTTATTTGAGTTTCTAACTAATGTTCAGTCTTGTTTAATACACGTTCACGGGTTCCTAATTGGTAACTTATACCAGTGGCAAAGGACTTGCTTAACATGTCAAATCTGTTCACGAACTGTTTTTGTATTATTCCAGTTTAGCACAGTCGTAAATACGCGTGAAGAGGACAAAAAACAAACCAACGAACATGCAAGAATGAAAGAAAATCTATTGTTATAAGAAACGCAGAGTGTGGAATACTATTTTACAAGGCTAAATAGTTAAAAGAATTAAAGCCTAAACGTTTACGACCAATTAAGTGACCTTCAGGGTCATCTTTTGAGCAGCTTAAGTTTCAACTTCAAGAACACCGAACGTTTGTGAGGACCCGTCCTAAATTGTCTCTTTTTAGGTATTTTATAAGGAGACAGTCGTTGAGATATCGTAGCCTACAAAGTAGGCTTATTCTGCAGTGCGGGCGATGCTACTATTCTTGGGACTAATGCTCTCCCACCATCTTGGACGTTGAAACTAACAGAGAGTTGGGACGAGTCAAAGAATGATGTAACCGTCCTCCCCACTTGATTTTTTATATGCTTACAAGGTGGCAGCCGCGATAAACGTAAGGAGCTTTCGTTAAAAAACCCTCTCCTCTGCCGGCTAAAAATACTCCATCATCTATTCTTTGGCGAACAGTAACCTTAAGTTATTATTATCCCTTGGTTACGCTATGCAGCGACGCATTAACAGGAGACCTAAAGCTAATTTTCTTTTCGTTTATTTGTTTAATTGCAATAAGACGTTATTTCAACTTTCGTTCTAAGAATAAAGGTGTAAATTCTTGAACAAGACGAGAAAATCGAAAGACCTTTTTTTCGAATTGATAATGACTTACTAGTTCAAACGGGATCCCCCCAATTGTTTTGAACCGAAGTTAGAGTTGAAGACCTTGTAATAATAATTCATGGCTTTCCCCAACTTTTGATGAGGATCATTTGGCAAAAATCTGTCGACACCGCTGAAAAGATTGCCTGCGTGCAGACGTCTCCTATTTCCCTACGTCTGCACGCAGGCAACAGAAAAGAGCGCCTTCACATTCGTAAACTTGCTAAGTTTGAAAGTGATACATTTGCCTTCGCAAAGGTGCGATGTTTTGCAGGGCTTGCTCCCCCCCCACTATAGAAACTTCTGTAAAATTTCGCCACTTCGCGGAGCTTTATTGTCGTAGTTGTCAACAAATCACTCTCAAACCCGGCAAACTTACTAGTTTTAAGGCGTTTTTTTTCAGCGGTGTCGACGGATTTTCGCCAACTGATTCATGTCAAAAGTTGAAAAGCCACGGAAGGGTCTATTTAGTAAAGCACCTCGCCAAGCTACCTTTGTCAGGTAGGTGCGATTATGAGAAAACCTAGACAATGCCGAACCATTTTTTAGTGAAGTTCAAACCGTTTGTTGCCCATTAAGACCCTGTTTACATGGAGTGGGGGATCCCGGTCTAGTGGGGTAAGTTTCTTTTGTTTTGTGTCCCCCAGAGCGTGAAAACAAAAGAAACTAACCCCACTAGACCGGGGTCCCCCACTCCATGTAAACAGTAAGGGTTTATCAATTTAAAACAATAGCAAATGTGGGTGTTGAAAGTTAACCGTTTCTTTATCATTAAAGATTTATCAATTTTAGATTTTAAGGGTGGACCAGTTGGGTGAAATGCTTCCAACTCTAAACAGAGAATCACCTGGCCTCGTTACTGAATAGTATCCTCTGTGGTCTGTGAATAAATGACCGGGGCAAACTTAAAATTACAGAGGATCAGTCCATGCTTCTCAACTCGATACTAAGTTGAACCAGGAACCCATAACCTGGAGCAAGCAACTCCCATACTAGGCCTACGCCACGACGTTTGTACGGACCAGTTAGCTTTAGCTAACATATTTACGGCCAAAATAGAAAAAGTAATACTCAGACAAAGCACCACAAAACCAACTTTTTGGAAAAGATTCATAGATGACGTGATGTCTATGTGGACAAGCAGAGACAAAATAGAGGATTTCCTTGTGAAGGCAAACAGTTTTCACTTAACGATCAAATTCACGGCTGAAATCTCAGAAACAGAAACCACATTCTTAGACACGAAAGTGTACAAAGCCCGGCATAGTAAATCGAACGTTCGAAAATGGAACTCAATCGAACTCAATCTGTGGATTGAGTTCGATTGAGTTCGGCAATCGAACGAAATCGAACACCACACTTTCAGTGTGGAATTCAATCGAACAAATCGACCTCAATCCGTCTGATTGTGTTCGATTGAGTTCGGAAACCGAACTCAATCGAACACAATTAAATGGATTTCGTTCGAGGGATTATAGGATGACTCCAGTCCTTTCATTAATTGTACTCAGAGTCAAAATCTAGGCCCCAGCTGCGCTCTTTTCTGTGATTATAACGTTAACATAAGCATAAGTTTGAATACGAGCAGTCGCGACAAAGGTAGCTGTGGTTTCGTTTCCTTATGAGTAGTTTGATTTCTTATTCTAATATTACTGGCACTTTTCAAAGAGATGAATGCGTGGGGAACACCACACTTTGAGTGAAAAGAAAACTGACGAGCTGGGCCCAGCGTGATACAGCATTGCAGAAAAACATTACACTCACGGACTAAAGAAAATCGCTTAGATCAGATCCAGAAGGCACTTTGGAGAAAATTGGAACCCTTATTCAGCCGTAATAAAAAAGCTTTACGCTTCAAAAGAGGTCAAAGAAAATGCGCTTGCATCAGAGGGCAAATCCTGCCGACCAGAAAACAATAACTACAGTCAATCGATATATACAGATGTATATGTCATGCCCTCTTAGTGTGAAACATGCGGCTAAAACCACATTTGCTCAGTAAAATGCAGAACCTTCCAGAGCATAATCTACCCAGCAGATAAAAACAACTTTATTGGAATAAGAAGCATTTTGGCATGAAGTAAAAGTCGTATAGGCCTACCCGCCCCCTTCATTGCACGAAAAATTGGATTTACTCACATTTACTCATGAGGAAATATGATGCAAACGCGGTGCAAATGTGTGGCAAACATAGTAAATGCCGTATTTACTTCACTTTTACATAGGGCTTGTAAATGTGTGAGTAAATACGGCCCTTTGACTATGCATTTGAAGCTTACGATCCACAACGCATCTGAAGCCATTTCTGCGGAATTTCTTCGTTTACGAAAAACACGTGCGCTATACTCAGGGCTGAAGTAACTCGAGCTTCTAAGATCTGGTAATGGATTTTCAACGTCCGTTTTACATAAATCACGAGTTCGAAAATCGAACGTTCGATTGGGTTCGATTGATTTTTTTTCTTTTCGGTGAGTTCGATTTCGTTCGATTGCCGAACTCAATCGAACTCAATCCACCGATTGAGTTCGATTGAGTTCGATTTAGTTCGATTGAAATTTAGTTCGATTGGGTTCGATTTACTATGCCGGGACAAAGGTGACAGATTCAATAAGGAATCTACAGAAAACTCTCAATACACGAATTTCTATTCGTGTCACCCACCAGGCGTCACGAAAAGTTTTATAAAAGGAGAAGCTTTAAGGCTTCTGAGAACAAATTCCTCTCAATTTACTTTTGAGGAAAACATGAGTAATTTAAAAACACGCCTGCAGAATAGAGATTACCCAGCTAGAATTGTAGAAAACACCTTTCAGAGATTAAATTCTCTGATAGAGAAATGTCGCTAGCGCAGAAAAACAAAACCGCACCAAAGAATAAATTGCGCCAATTTATACCCCTTGCGCCAAATTATACCCCTGTTTAGAACAGAGAGGACGAAACCCATACCCTATACCCTATCCAGGGGCACATCCCCTTTTTTCACTAAAAGACTCTCTCTGCCTCGTTCGGTCGTGATGTAACAATTGACTGAGTGTCGCCTTGGCCTTGCCGTGAGTAAGGCTTACCACCCACAGAACTGTCACGTGAATATCATCCATATCTGTCTCATTTTGGAAATCAAAAATGTCATTTGAGAAATCAAACCCGATAAATTTTGGAAATCAAAAGAAGTGTCATTTGAGAAATCAAACGCCGGCGACAAACTTTGGAATCAAACGCGTCAAATTTTGGAAATCAAAAATGCATTTGAGAAATCAAACGCGACAGACTTTGGAAATCAAAATTGTTATTAGAGAAATCAAACGCGACAAATTTAAAATCAACATGACACAATAAAAACCAAAAGGATGTCAGTTTCCTTGTAATCATAGACAAGATACCAAAATCATAGAGGACAAGAAAAGAATCAGACATAGTAAATTTTATTTGTGATACTCCTCGAACACCGTAGTTGTTGTTTACATTCAAGTTCGAAGTTTCAATAATTTTGTAGTTAATATAATTAAAATATCAGTTAACAAACCAAAATGGATTGGTTTGTTAGCTAGGGCCTCCGGTCCTGCGGTTTCATTCTTTATATTTTAATTTGAATAATTGATAACGGGCTACAAAGTTACCGGCTCTACTTCAACACCAATAAACCACATAGTCGTTTTTTTTTTTTTTGCAGAATACCAGTTGTATTAGAAAACCGCAGGACATCTCGGGAGGGGGGGGGGCGCACCCCCTGCACCCTCCCCTAGATCCGCCCCTGCGTTCAAAATATGCCATGATCATAGTTATCTACCGCAAGAACCATCCACCCTTTCCCCTCAACTGCTACCTGTACGCCTAGCAAACATATCGAACGCACTCTCCTAAGCTCCGATTACTCCTAGTTATACGTATTTTTTCGGCGATTTTGGTGTTTAGGTGTGGTTACGTAATGAAGTGTGAGTGTGGTTAGCATACGAAAGGCCTGGCTGCGATTCTGGTCTTTGAATTTATTTCCTTTTAGTGGACACCCTTTAATAACAGGTAAAAATATTCTAAGTAGCTCAAATATGGCATCGCTTGTTTACGAAAGACGAAACTGGCATTCAGGCACCTGCACTTCATGGAGATTGATTATATGAGAGATGACGTCATTCTAGTGCCAAGAGACCTATTAAAAAGTGCGTCGTTTCTTTTGATCACGTGGTGTGCGACAATATCCGTGCAAAGCCAGTGGTCGAAGGTAAGCGAACAGTTTTTATATGTTATTTAGAGAACGATATCTAGTCGAATACTTATCCTTCGACAGTCCAAAAATAATTTGACTTGAAGGCCTCATATATTATTTCTCAACGGGCAACGGCTGCAACGACCAGTAGTCGAATATTTCGTTGTCAGGCGAAGGCACAGTGCGACTTAGCGTCAAATCCTTCTCTTTCTTTCTGTTTCACCCGTAATATACTAGGTAATCGCTGCATCATTTCCGTAAACGTATTTTCCATACACCAGTTGTCGTAGCTAACTCTTAAAAATACCAGTGATATTCCCAGCTGCAACGCCAGAACACTTTCGAAACTCCTTGAATTTTAATGAAGTTGGCTATCACTTGGTTTGCTGAAGGGAGTGTTGACATTTCTAAAACTGAACGAAGGGACGTTTCATGGGGTTTATTAGGCATTTTTTGGTAAGAATATGGAAAATTGTATTCTAATACCTTTTCCAAAGATCCATCTATTTGCGCAGGTGAGCGTGAGCTGAGACGAAATCAAATGAGGCACAATAAGTTCAGAACTCTATGTACTAGTTGGGTCGGTCGTCGTAGAGGTGACACGCAAGTTAGGATGTTATGCTAGACGGCGACGCTAAGGAAACGATAGGTTTGATATTCCAATCAACACATTTCTTTGCCATCACTCCAAGACGAGGAGGTGAAACTTTCCGGTTGAATGTTTATGAAAAACGTAATTCACGGCGAACGAATTTTACTTCCTTCTTCTGACGTCTAGTTTACTATTGAGGAGTAAATTTTTGAAGATTCGTGACGAATCTTGATCGTTTTGGTATCAGATTCGTTTTTTCTAGTCGAAGATGCGCGAACCCGGTTAAATCACGTCCCAGTTTGCTCGCGTGTTTGCAACTAGTGGATCTGTATTCTGAGAATAATTTGTTTCGAATGTATGCTCTCGGATTAACTGATGCGTGCACGTGAACGCTCAGTCTAATACATCCGCGAAGTGGTTTCATTTATCACTCCGGAAAAATCTTCTCTACTTTAAACCTAACCTGCCAGCACTGGTGGTAATCATACTGCACATTGGGAATGTTTGGTGAACTAAGATCTGGAATTCATATTTGTCTCCTCACAGATTTTCAACGTTTTCTCTTGTGGCGACGAACCCTTCACCATGAATCGTGTAAGACTGCGTTGGCTTCTTAACCGTGCGGCCTTCATAATGTCGATTTTTGTAATCGTACTGATCTGTGGGAGGTATTTCTTGTTTTCTGGGAAGTCTGGGAAGTGCATTTATAAGGATACGATCAAGCTAACCAACGATTTAAAGCGTTTAGTGAGAGAACTCTCTGAGACAAGAAGAGATTTGAATAGATCTTTACTGCATTATCATCGCATTGGACAACATATTGAGTCCTTAAGTACTATCATCATATCCTTAGGGGGATCTCCTGCGGGTTTATTTTCCTCGGAGAACGCTCCCCCTAAGAAGGAAGTTTGCCCTGAAAAATTTATGGGATATAGTTGGCCTTTCTTTAGAAAAGGTTTCACGCGAGTCAACTGCACGGAGTTTGTTCCTCTTAACCAGCTTATCACGCTTCTTGTTGTTCTACCACATGAGCTGTCAGCGAAAGAGCAGCTAAATTTTTTTCAAGGCCTACAGAAGTACCATCCACAAATAAATATTGTACTCGCATCTAAAGAAGAACTTCAACGAGAGAGTATAAAGAAGATCAAGCTGAACTTCAAGAATATAGTCTTTAAGGATCTCTATTGTGGTAAGACTTGGAACTCGTTATTACAGGAAGTGACCACGCCCTACGTGCTTCTAGCTCCGGATGCAACTCACTTTAACGATGATATTGATCTTGAGCGACTCGTCCGCGTACTCAGTGAGAACGAAGATGCTATCATTGCCGGGGGGAGTCACCGAAATCAAGAGGGGGAGTGGGACATTGGTTGTCTTCAAGTGACATTTAAAAACTGGACTGCCTATTTTAGGGGCGGTTATTACCAGTCATACCGTAACGAGTGCATTATATGTGATGTGCTGTCCGGTCCATTTATGGCCAAAACTGAGAACCTGAAGGAGATTGGAATCGACAAATAGTAAGTAATGTCAACTGAACAGTATAATTATTACCTAGATAAAACTTAAAAGAATTCTGTAATTATCTAACCGCGATCAAGGCAGGCAACCTAAGCAATTAAGAAAAGACTGGCAGATTCAGCCGAGCCTAACAGCGGAGCTCCCATTAAATATCAAACGTCTGCTTAAAGCAATAAACCTCAAATTATCGCAAAGAAACTCACAAATCTAATCTCTTTAACTTAGTATTTCTACAGCATTATCAAAGACTTCAGCTTGAGTCCGTGGTTGAATTAATTAACAAGATCTCCATAATTCTTCATATGATCATGATACGAAAGCCGAATTCAGTGGTTGTTTTATTATTCATTCAAAATAATTCCTAGTTTAAAAACAAAGCTAAAACATGCACCAGTCCATCGATGTTAAGTTCACCTTCGATACTGCACGTTTAGGGTTGTTCAGCTCCGCAAATATTCTCCAAATAGCAGATGTCGCCCTTCGAGTTGTGTTCTTGCTGTTCTTGCCATGTTTTTAGCTATAATTTCGCCTAGTTCTTTCTCTTGAAACGAGTGAAATGTCCACCATTTTTTGCTTTCACAACTAAAAGAACTCAACCTTGCCCCCAGGTCGTCTCGGTTAACGGTACATTAACCTGCAAGAACGCTGCATTTTTGACGTCATTTCCTTGTTAAACTCAAAATTCTTCCAAATTTGGTCATCAGTAACTGGTTATGGTGAATTATGCGTGTGCTTTTAGCCAATCAGAATCGGGGAAATATTTTGAATGAATAATAACATAAGATAAGAGGGCTCTTAACTTCTGTTCTAGAACAATATCCTATTGTTTTGAAATAAAAGTTACGAGTTCCCTTAATCTTTAAGATGTTTTTTGCAACCGGACCCTGAACCTGTAAAAATATTACGTGATATTGAGTAGATGTCAATTGAATATGATCTGAGCTGCGTATATCACTTTCTCAATGGCGAACGATGGCTTAGTCTGAATTTTATGTGCCTGGGACATGGGGGGCACGACTCCAATAGGCCGGCTATATACCTTCTAAATATTCTCGGCCTTCAAGATACATAATTCCGTTACCCTGTGGGTAAAAATAACGAGGAAACCAAATAGCATCGGGCGTCCATCTTTGTGCTCCGAGCGAAAACAGAGCAGCAACTCTGCAACCGGATGTGATGTCATAAATCGGTGGATCATAGGTACACGAAATTTCGCTAAGTCGTTCCCCCCCAACCTCCCCCTCCCCCTGGCCTGGGTAAGCGTAACTTCTTACATTGGTTTTTGACCGCGGACGGACGTACGGCCGAACGAACTTCAATTTGGAAAGAAAGGACAGCGGATAATAAATCAATGCCTCAGCTTAACTTCTCCGTAGTCACTGTCGCCGATACGATTTAAGGACACAACGGATACGGTCAAGCCTTTGTGTCCTGCCAAATTTACGATATGATTTTCACAGTGTCACGCAGCCAAAAATAAAAATCAAAACCATTCAATATAGATAAAGTCAAGAATCTGGGAAATCATGAAATTCGAAAGGAGGTATGCATTTCGCTACTACAGATCAAAGAGACTGTAAGGAGCTTTAGCAAGGACGAGGGCGACGGCAGCGAGAACGCCAAAAAAAGCAATAGGTTTTATTTGCAAAACAACAACTTTGCACTTGCACCACCCTTTTTTTTCTACATTTCTTTGCCGTCATTACAAGTTACTCGAGAATTTCCAAGAATTTTCCCGTAATTTCTCAAAAAGGGTGAGTTGCTCAACAGTTACTCAAAAAACAAAAAACGTTTTTTGATCTAATGCTAAAATATGGAAATTGTACAACAAAAGTAAGATTTCTGAGCATTTTTGTGCAATTCTGCGGCGTAACTAGCGCTGCTAAATGACTTGGCCCTCACTTAAAATCAAAAAATGTAATGAGCCAATAAAATTGTTGAATGCCCTTCACCCGAGACGCTCAAGTCAGTCGAGTGTGAATCTTTCGTCCACCATTTTGAATTTTCTCTAAAAACCGCTGACCTATATTTTGCCATGATCTGCCCCAGCGGGGGAATGATTTGGCTCCATTTTTTACAGGAAAGTCATAAATTGTCTACAAAAACATTGTGAAATATGGAGGAAAGGCCAACGAGCAACTTTTTGCATTCTAAGCAATTTCTCTAGTTATCTTCTAATTCTGAGATATCGGAGCAGCTTTTACTAAAAGCTGCTCCGATATCTCAGAATTAGAAGATAAGTAGAGAAATTGCTTAGAATGCAAAAAGTTGCTCGAAATACGAGAAGTTGCCAAGAAGTTGCCGCGCAACTTCTGGAAAGCCCTACCTAAGTTCACGTTTTGTGGCCATGGAAGGCGTAAACAAGGGACACCGAGTTTTTCTTTCTCTTTGAAAACTTGAGTGTGGTCCCCAAGAAATCAACTCCAGGGAAATTCGCCTTCATTTGACATTTTCAGCGAATTGCACTTAGCGCTACAAAGTTTGAAAAAACTCGAAAATGAATTCATTTTAAAAGTGACGTTTTCGCTGCTATCGCCGTCGTAGATGCTAAAACTCCCTTATAATATTAAAACGAGGTGGCCGTTTGACGGGGTTGGACCGTCCTGAATTACGTAATCATGACTTGCAAATATCTCTTTTATTTTCTAAACTTGCTTTCAGTTTAACATACGGCGTTTTCCAAGACATTTTCTGGCGTCTAAAAACTAAGCACCCGGAAAAGGTGGTCGTCAGCTGTCCTGACGTCATGTTCTATAAATATTCACGAGAGATCCCGGATGAAAACTACGTCGACTTGACTAGAAAATGGAACGTGAAGAAATGGGTCGAGTCTAGTGGCAGAGTCCGCTGGTATGGATGCAGGCATGGCTATTCTCATACTAGCCCAGGCAATTGCGACAGTTTTCAATCGGGAATGGCAGTGCCCCCATGTGATTTGGAAAATCTCGCGGATGCAGTCAAGTTCGTCATGAAAGAGTGCGAAAACGCAGGGTTGTTGTGCGAGTTAACAGACGGAACTTTGACCGGTAAGATAGTATTCCAGCATTTCTTCCTGCCTTCTCAAATTGAAAGGGGACTGTTTAAAAATCGGATACAGTAAAAAGCCGCGAGTTAGAACCTGGTTTTTAAGGACCTGTCAGGCTAAAATTTCCCAGTCAGCCCCCTCTATATAAGAACTTGTTTAGCCTTAAATGTGAAACAGGTTCTTATTTCTGTACACTTTGGCAAATGAGATAAGTCAACATTCATGATCCTCTTTGGAGACATATTGTAGGTGCCTTATCATTCTAACTGCAATGTAAATGCCAATAGTGAAATTCAAATAAAATGTTATTGATTTTATTAAGGACTAAGCTGAATACCACTCAATAATGTTATCAACAATGTATATTTTTTCTTCAGAAAGAAGGGCCTAATCAGAGAACCTAAATAGCCTAAATTTGTGCTAATTACCATTTATATGTAAGAACCTATTTAGGCTGACTTGGGAAAATGCTGGTTCTTACTCGCAGATTTTTACTGTAATCCTCAATTGTGGTGTAAGGTCTTCGCCTATCATCGCGAAACTTTTACCCTCTTCCGCTACATACAGTATTCGGATCGTCTTTTTGCAGATCACAATGTTTTGCGCCAAAACTGACGTCACACTCTCCCTAATAAAAGGGAGCTTAAGCACCAGGCGTTTTTGAGTCACGAACGTCAACCGGAAGTCCAAAGTTGCGTTTCGTACTTACTGCGCATGTCTTGCCGTCCGTGACTTGTCGTCACCGACCTGAAAACCCCGCGCTTGCCGTCCGTGCTGGTTGTCACCGACGCCATGGACTCAGGAAAAGAAGAACATGCTATGTAAGTAATCGGTGTGTCCTTAATTTTCTTTTCTGAACCGGAGAGGATTCTTATCTTGCATGTTTTCATTTTCGACATTGTTTTTTACTCCAAAAGAGTATATTTTTGAGGAGCAAAACATGTAGTTCCTAACAACAACTTCTTTCGCACTCAGGTACGAGTTGTTTACATCGTTCACTCGGCAAAAATACACTTCTTTGCCGACCACCGCTTTTTGCTTTCATAGTTCAAAGAAGTTACAAACATCTTTTTTTGTCCAACTGTGATTATTGTGCATGCAAATATGTGGTCAAACATTTCAATGGTTAACTTGTACATGTTTATCCTGTTTGTTTGAATGGAGCTCCAGCTCAAAGTAATTAATTAAGATCGAGCATCAAGGAACACCCCACTTTATAATATGTACAGAAGAGGAAGTATCGTTGAATTGAAGAAATTAATGCCTTTTACACATTTTTGACAAGTTTTCATTCGATGCTTTGTACGAAATCGTTATAAAGATCGCTAGATCCCGATCTCAGATCTCAATCTGCTATACAGAAGTCAGTAGCGATAAGACCTTCAAATTGGTAATCTTCATTAATGCTCAATGAATAAGGTTCCGTGGTGTAATGGTTAGCACTCTGGACTCTGAATCCAGCGATCCGAGTTCAAATCTCGGTGGAACCTGCAACCTTTTTTTTCCCTTTTTTCCTATACATGCGAGGAGGTCCTAGAGGTTATCTAAGAAGGCTCGAGGGTGAAAGGGACGGGAATTCTTGTTGGAACACTCGTATTTCAATCCTAAACGAGACAATCTGATCGTGGTTCAGGCTTTAGTTCGCCCCTAAAGAAGATTTTAAATATGAAAATGAATCGCATCTGCGTAGATTTCTAGTTGATATGGGTTGAGGATTGCGTGGTTCCACTGCTTAATCCGATGAGCATGTTGATTGAAAATTTCATCAATCACACAGTTTGAGATCATGCTCAGCTCTGGAGCAGGCCTCCCAAACTGGGGAATGAGATCGGAATAGCGACACGGGTATGCCATTCTTCGGAGCAGCAAACATAATCCCTCCAACTGATCAGCCACTGTTCTTTGACTGCATCGAAAAACCTCAGGTAAACCAAGAACTTCGGCCAGTTCTGGAATGTCGTCTTTTTGGAAACGAAAGTTGGCCTTACACTCCGGTTCCTCTATTTCTTCTAAGTTAAATCTGTCGTAGTTTTCGTAGGAAAACTCAGGATTTCTGGATGTATTTTCGTTCAGTAAAAGAAGAAGCTCCTCGTCCGATATCGCCTTTTCGCTGTGCTCCATCAAAAGCAATTCTCTAGTTTGTTTAAAAAACGCCATGTAGCGAGAAAGATAACCTGATTCTCAGGTTACCACGAGAAAACCAGTGTTTACATTGTCGTTTATATTTCTTAAATTTTGCGGCCGCGTCCGTGGCGGGAAGTCTAGTGCTTAAAACAAATATTGGCGCCAAAAACGCCGTCTTCGACTTAGTCTCCACTCGGTCCCCCCACGTTCGTGTTGTCAAAAACGCCTGGTGCTTAAGCTCCCTAAAGATGGCCACTCGGACCCCGGGTAGCACTAGAAAATCCGTGCATACAAAACTTAAGCAGTCTCCTGAAATAGCAACCAGCATAGTACTTGAAAATGGCAAATTCAGTTAACGATTTTCTTTTCAGGTGCAGTCAAATTCAACAAAGTGTTACCATGGGAACGTGACGCAGACATTACCTTCCTGTCAGCCAATTACTCTGCGTTCAAGCAACTCGAATCCAAATTTACAGCGGCCGGTTTCAGAGTTGAAAGCAATGACAAGGCACTGAAATGCTGCGTGGACGGGAGACAGTCAGGGGGAACATTTGACTTGTTTACAACCCACTGGAAACTAGAACTGTGGGGCCAATACAAGGTGGACTCAGAAGATCTTATAGCGAGTGGTTTGAAGCCTACTAAAATACAGTTTGCCGGGCAATGGGTCAATGTTAATCGTAATCCGGGACTTTTTGTCCGTAACCGTTATGGGTTTAACGTTTACCAACATGCCGAGCACTGGAGTGACCTGGGAAGAAAGTCTTCGTGGGAATTTTACCGGCCAAATCTGTACATGAAATGCCCTCGACCAGGACACTCTGCTTGCCTCGACCAGTATCCGGTCGACGGCAATCTTCAATTCAGTGACTACCCCCAAATCTGAGTAACTTCCTGATATTGTAAGTGGAGAGTTTACATTACTTTCCGTAGAGGAATAAATTTCAACCTACACTAGAGATGTTTGTTTTTTTGTTTTCTCACTCAGAGGAACTAAAGCTGTGACTTTTAGCGCTGTTTAGCTAGAACCGAGTACCAGTAATAAATAAATAAATAAATAAATAAACTAATAAGTAAATGAATAAGTAAATAAGCTAAAAAATGAATAAATAAATAAATAAATATAGGAATGGTTCTTATGTTACAACAATTAACTCCAACTTCGACCTTTCGGCTTGTTCAATTAACTTTGGCTTTGGCAAAACTGCTGGAAAATACGCCTAAATACCTTTTAGGAAAATTACATACGGCAGAAATACCTAGTTTTCCTGATAGGTCTCAAGGTTTATTTTTCCGCTCTTTTTTTCACCTAACAACTCTTAAATAGGGCGGTTGCTGTGTAAAAACATCGATTCATCATATTTGTCAGTGATTACGTACTTTGTAATTGTTTCGGTTGCAATTTTTAATAGAAATCAACACTTGGGGACAATTGTCCACTACAGAATATACCATAACATACCATAATGCTCTTTGTTAGTCACTCCAAAATTTTGCATAAGCATTGTTTTCAGTTTCTAACTATTTTCTGTAGTGGCCAATAGCCCACGTTCGTTTTTGCATGTCAGCGTTAGGACAGATAAGCCGTGTAAAACATGTTTTCAAGGAAGATTTAGGAATAACAATCATAAGCGCTTTGGCGTTTAGTAAATTGTACTTACTATTCTTCGGTGTGGTCTAATACTACTGATACAAATATTAGGAAGCTGCAAAGTGTTCAAAATTTGGCGGCCTGCATAGTTAGTAACAATAAGAAATACCATCATGTATTTCCAGTGGTTAAAAACCTAAGGTGGCTACCAGTAAAAACCAATTTATACTTCAGAGATACCGTTATGACATTAAAGTGCATGACGGGCATGGCCCCAGAATATTTAGGTCATAAATTTATTTTTAGAGGTAACATAAGAGAGCGGGTGACTATAAGTTTGCAGAAACTGAATATTCCATTATTTAAAACTAAAACAGGGCAGAGGTCCTTTTTTTATAGAATCGTTAATGTATGGAATAATTTAATTACCTTCTGAAATTAAGCTTAGCAGATGTTTAAATAATTTTAAGCGCAATTTAGGGAAAGTTCGTAGGAAAAACTTTTTTCGATGAGTTACGAATGGGTTATCCTGTCGCCAATGTTAGCTAGTTTTCAATTACTTAAATTAACTATCTTCTTTTTCAATATTTATTAATATACTGTATAGGTTTAAAATTGTTTTCTCTGAAAAACCCTTATGGGCAGATGACAATAAAGTATTGTATTGTATCGTATTGTATCCTAGGAATTCAACTCGAGGGGGATTCTCCTACTTTTGACGAAGTAAATGGGTAGGAATAGTGACGATAAAGTCTGGAAGAACGTAAATTCACTTTTTAAGAGACGTTTTCGCTGCCATTGCGTAGTCGGATCGTAAAGTGCCTACTTGAAAACGAGGCCAAGCGAAAAGAAGTGCTTTTATGAGGAGAAATTAGCCTGGGAAAACAGCCGTCTTTTCGCGACGCCACCATTGGTTTCCCGCCAAATGACGTCTGAGAAACGAACGCAGGAATTCCATACTGATGACGTGTCACTATCCAGCTCTGGGTAGTGCTTATTTTTCTGACTGGTCGTGCCGATTTAATAGGAAATTTGCTTCAACCCGAGATCAGAAACACTACTCAAATCTGGGTAGTGACGCGTCATCAGTTCGAATCTCTGCGGTCGTTTCTCAGACGTCATTTCGCGAAGATACCATTGGTGGCTTTGCGAAACGGTCGGCTATTTTCTTAGGCTAGGGAGGAATTAGAAACTATAATCATACACAATCACGATCAGCCGATAGCGGAAAATTTTTTAACACGCCTCTCCAACCAGTTTTGTCTACACTCGATCATGAATTAGAGGGCATAGCCGACAAAACATGTAGGAATAAGGCTTTTTTTGATTACTCTGTGCATCAGTCCTTGCGTTTAAAATGAAAACAATTCAGCCAACAAAGGGACAAGCTACATGCAAACGGACGCAACAACTCCCAACATTTTTGGGCCGTTTGCGGGTAGCTAAAAGTTTGACAGGGTTTAAACTTCGCGCAAAAACTCCCAACAACATGCAACAGGGTGTGCAAACGGCCGGATTCAAAATGTAACATCCGACAATGTTGGGAAGTGATGGCCAACAATGTTGCGTCCGTTTGCACGGGGCTGTAGAAAAAGTCACAAAAAAAAAATCGTGTAAGAACCAGCCTGAGCGCTATCTTCGATGGAGACTAGGTGTAAATATACAACTCCCGGTCTTGCTTGCTGATATCTCTAAATCGTTTAATGCTACCATTTATATGACCAGCAGTAAAATAAGCTTCTTTTTCTCTTCAATAAGTTTCTTTTCTTCATCGTTAGCGGCATACGGCACACTTTTACTGCAATTTTTAGTGTGTGCCTTTTTCAAGAAGATTTTCACGTCGCGTAAAATGCGAGTGACTGAAAACTGTATTTTTTAATCATCGAAGGATACAGTAAGAATCGTATGTATAAATTCAATGGGAGTGAGATCAACGCAATTTCAGAGAACAGAAAGCCGTCGATTGCACAGTCATGGTGAATATTCACCTTCGCTGGACAACATGCAGCGTCGAGTATCCAGTCAACTTGGGGACTCAAATACAACACGCGATGATTATCAACGGGAAACGGAAAACGGCAGGAAGCTAGCTGTTTGCCGTAAAAATCTAGTGTGGTGTTTAACCTCTCTGATAACCTAAGACGCTGATCACGTATTCGTGAGGCGGGATGGCTCGATTTATCGAGATCTAGAACGTCAATTAAACACAACAAAAAAAATTGCTTCGTTACAACAGATCCAGCCGGTTAGTGGGATCCCAGTATCGTGATTCCGGTATCCCAACAAACCCGGCTGGAAATTTTCCATGCAATCACGCTCACCAGTCCATCCCCGCGAAAGAAAAAAAACAGCAACGGGACAGTTGGCAACACGCTACTCATGCGCAGTGTGTGATGGCAGCTTCGGGCTAGGGAACCCTTGCCATCGATCCCTGAGCGTTTTCTTGTGCCCTCTCCCCAGTCCCCTCTTAGCATTACAATGAAGACCCGGTCCTTTGCGGAGGGGCGGGTTGTTCAACCTAAGTCAGTACGTTGATCGAACAAGTGTCTTCATTTTTTTCTCTCAGTACGAGTTCTATCAATGAAGTGGAGGGTGCTGTAAGCCAGACAGACGATACATGATACCAAGAAACTAGGAAAGTTTGGCGTTTTGGACATCTTGGTTCTTTACAGTAATTTCTATAATGGGTGTTAACAGTAGAAAGAAGACTTGTAGCTTGCATGCATACATCTGCTATTCAGTCGATCGAGCGAACAGCAAAGGTCACAGTCGAGAACTTTTCTAAGTCACCGTGTTGTGACGTCACTGTATTGTTTAGTACGTCTGTTAGCTCGTGGCTGCCGATATAGAAGGTCTGGGAGGGGTGGTAGCTTTGCGGTTGACAGTTATTTTTTTTCCAATTTTGACGGTTATTTGGTAGAAATTTAGGCCAAAAGTTAAAGAAAATGTTTAACTTCTGTATAAATTAATATCAGCTGTTGTGTTTTGAAAGTTGCCTTGGCCTTTTACGTATGAAATTTCCAAATATTTTCAGATACAAGTTGTAAGGTCTTCTAACGTCTGGCGAAAGTGTTTTTGAGAACATGGAAACTGGTTTTTCCAGTTAGGAGATTCCTCAGGAGCCAAACGTCCGTGAAAATCAGCTGAAATATATAGTGAGCTTCGAAATACCTTAAAACGTTTTGTCGGTTGATGGTAAAAAATAACTTTTTTGGCAGTTGACGGTTAAACAGCTCAGTTTAGTCCGTTTGACGGTTAACGGTTAGCCTCATTGAGGCCCTCTCTATATACAGCTTGGACCCTTCAGCACCTGAAGTCAAGTCCACATTCAATATTGGTGTCCTAAACCAATAAAACGGTGGCTTTGTTGATGTTCCAAACCACTCTTTTTTTCTCTTGTTTACACTTTCTTTTGTTGTAATAAATTTGCCTGGCTACTGGCCACGTAAGTAAAAAAGCTCTATTGAGGTTCAAGTCGGTTGAGACAAACGATTTTGCGCCCCCCAATCGACCTCTGGTGTCCCCTTTACAAGAAAAACCAAAGAAACAAGCACGCACGTTTTTCTAACGATTTCCACCATACTTTATTGTTAAGAGATAAATCAACTAAAATTCCACCAAAAATACAATTACACCATAGCCGGACACATAAACCCCGAAAACCAATTTAATTAGGAAAAGTGGGGACCGTGTACCCCACCCTTCCCCCCTACTGACCAGTGCTACGGTGAGGCCTTTGGGGTTTTAAGGCCTGCTACTGTGTAGAAAGGCAAGAAAAAAGCTAAGGTAACTAAATGAATATATCAGCTAGGCTGAAAGTAAAAAGAAAACGAAAAGAAAAAAATAGCAGAGTCGGAGAAAATAGTCGGCGAGGCTGACTCTAGAATTAAGTGCGATTTGAATATCTGCCGCTGTTTTAAAGTGCTTGAGTAGTAATATCAAAGCGCTCTCACTTGCAATATAGTTGTTACATTATGTTTATTGGATCAATGTAAAGGATGAATGCTATGATTCCCTGTCTTTCACTTCGCAGATGTGCTTTATAAAGTTCTTTTTTGCAGAAAATTCAGATCAAGCAAAACATTTTGCTCGGAACCTCTGAAAATCTTCAAGCATTAGAACGTTAATGCAGTTTATGTTACATGAAATCAGCGTTTGTGGCATTATTTAAGAAGAATTCAGAAGTTCCAAGTAACACTCTAATTTTCTTAGCCGAATTGATAAATTCAACGTTACACGCACTGCACGCAAAAACGTCTTCCATTTGTAAAATAGCTTTCGATCCTTCCTTTATTACACATAATGGCTCCCACATTTTCTATACAATCAAATCATCATTAGTACTTCTAACTAAATATTATCACTATATAGTCAACGCGCGTAATTGTGTAAAAGACACCACACTCACAACACAGTGTTTTTTTGTTCTATTTTCATTGGTGTTATTACAACAAGTATTTTGTAAGATACCTGCAAATCAAATCGTCATTAGTACTCATAACTAATTACTCTAGTATTTAAAGAAATCACACAGACATCGCATCAGGTAAAGTGTTTTTATTGAATTGTGTTAGCCGCTTACAGAAATTAAGTAATCTATGGGGTGCGCTCCTACATGAATTTGGCGTCCGAGCAAGACTGAGGAGTGTGACATGTGTCCATAAACTTTGACACCTCGAATATAACACACCAGGGTCCCCAGAACGATACGCAAGGAAGTTAGGCGGCTTGCTATCGAACATCTTCGATACCTAGCCTTCACATTTTTCGAAGCCGAATCCGGAATCATATCGCAAGTCGAATCGAAAACCGGAAAAAAGAGGAATGGGCCGAACCGAAAATCTAATCGCCTAACAAACAAAAAAAATCCACATACCTTAGTTGTGTCATTATTGCTTGGGCTGATTGGTGTGGTGCAAGGTTTGCGTTAGCTACGAACCTTCTTACAATAATAAAGGTGTAATTCAATTTGCCGTACGCTATTTCAGACCAGACGAGTAGACTGCATGGTGCAAACTTCGTACCAACATTAATCAGCCGTATTCACTACGATGTCGTCTACTTCCGTTTTCATAGAAGCAAAATGACGTCTTAGTGTAAACGATCATCATCATCATGGTAGTCATCATCATCATCATCACTATCGTCACTGTTCAGTTTGGTCCGACGTGATTCTTCATCTCCGTTCATAGCTGCAAAGGAAGCTAACTCGCCTACTTAGGTAACTGCATGGACTACTGGACTATCTTTCTATGGCTCGCGAGGGTTCTTTGCTCTTCTTTCTTCGGCCGGCCTCTTCTTGTGGTGTAGCACTAGCTGGACCCACAATACAATATGAAACAATTTGATAAAACAAATTTTATTCACATTTCCATTATTTTGTTACAAGATTCAGAAATAAATTGAAGAAGCAATTTGCCGCGTAGGAGGTCCCAGTGATAACGTACTTCAAGAGTTTTGGAGGTAGAACAATGCTGACGATGTCTGGAGGACGAAGAAACCAATAGCCACGCACCGTGGACGTGAAGACTACGTACGCCTACCATTTGTAGACGATCTGCATGTTCCTGCGTTGTGCAATGCAGGACTTCCTAAGAAGAAAACCCTCCAGCAAGGCAAAATTAACATAAAGACTGACAAATCAAATCGTCTTAGTTTCAACGATGTCATAACTAGAGTGCATAGCCAGCGAGCTTTCACCTGAATGCCATTCAGGGGCACGCATATCAAGGTATGGTGGGCCTCCACATGTGTGTCCCCGAAATATTCGGCCGAATAGCGCATTCTCGTGATTACACCGCAGGATAATATCTTGTTCGTGGTCCTCCGGCGAAGAAACTGCGTCATAGATTGGTCTCGAAGACTTCCTACGCTTACGACTGTAAACGATCTAGCCTATGGTGTGTGGATTGTCCCATGTTACTCTAGTAACCTGCAACAAGGTGTTGACTCTTCGCCGGAAGAAATGTCTGGCCGAAGACTACCTTTTTTGTACGACTAAACCTGTTCACTGATCTACCATCACAAATTCGAGGTCTGCAAATGCCCATAAAAAAATTTCGCTTCACAGTTGCACTGTTCAACATCAAAAGCCAAATTTGAAGGAGCAAACCCGAATTTGTGAGGCTATACTAACTATCTACGAGTAAGCAGAGAGACCGCTGAGCTTGTAAGCAGTGACCAAATGAGGTCCTCTCACAGTACAGCTTAATGACCTCTATAGTTTACTTAAGTTACGTCTTATAATAATCACTGTCTGGTTGAACCTTGGGGATGAAAGCTTCACTTGACCAGCGCATAGACTATCAGGTGAAGTGTGATAGATATATTCAAATTTGGCTCAACTAAGCGGGAGATTGAAGTCAAGACGACGACGACGACAAAGGCGGCGGTGTGGCTGGTGTGGCGAAGTACATCTGAAAAAGGCGTAAAAAGATGCAGCCGAACCGTTTTCTAGAAGCCAAACGGAATCCAAAAAGCCGAACCATTTGCTTAAAGCCGAACTCTTATTGCCGACCGAACACCTGCAAAGGAACCCATCTTAAGAGAAAGGAAAGGGGAGGCCCTTACCAGCCAAAGGGAACTCCACTAGCTAATCTAACTACAATTAAGTTAAGTTAAGCCGAAAAAAAGTCAGGAAACTTCAGGCCGAACGGGTGTGGAAAGTATGCTTTGCAAGGTTCATCCAGAGCTTTATATACCCTCCCTTGACCCAACCCATAAAGAACGCACCTGACCTGTACCATTTCCAGAGGTTGGGTATGCTGTACTGATTGGAGGCTGAGTAGTCAAGGATGGTGTCCTGTGGTCTGGTGGGGTGATCTGATCTGGTAGTCTGGATTGGCGGTGGAGATGGGATCTGATGATCTGATTTGGTGGTTGGGTCGTGACGATTGTCTTTTGTGGTATTCGGATGTGGCCGTCTGATCTGACTGTCTGTTGTGGTCGTCTGATGAACAGTTTCATGGTCTAATCTGGAGCTGTGCCTGTAGAGGATGGTCTGGTCTGACGGCTGAAAATTGAAAGATAAGAAGCTGAGTTAATTGTAGTGAAACATGGCTCAATTAAGTTTCAGACAGCTATGTAAAGAGAAACAGAGAAACAATACGGAAATACCTTATTTTTAAATAGATTTGCAACTCTGAAAAGCCTGCGGTTTTAAACCTAAAAAGGTTAGCAAAACCCAGGAAAACATATTCAGGGCTCCAGTGACGATCGCTGCGACTCTTTTAATTCCGATGTCAAACATCTTGGTAACCACACAGACTCTGTCGCAATCTATCTAAGCGAGAGATTACGGAGAGGTCGCGCGGGATGTAGTTGTATAATACGAGGTGTGGTTCTGATGACCATCTTTGCAAATGTTTTTCATTCCTAATGTCTCATTAATTTGCAATGTTCGATATAATATAGTTAGTATACAGGCTCTATCACAATCTATTTACGCGAGAGATCATATCACGCGAGAGGTCCCTCGTGATGTAGTTATATTATATGAGGTGTGGTTCTGATGACGATCTTTGTCAATCTTTTCCATTTTTAATAAGTATCATTAATTTGCAATGTTCAACATCATAGTGACAATACAGTCTCTATCGCAATCTATTCACCCCAGAGTTCACGCGAGAGGTCTCGAGCGATGAAGTTACATCATGGATGTGTCTCTCTGGTGACTATCTTTGCGAATCTTTTCCATTCATAACAAGTATCGAAAATTGCAATCTTCAACATCATAGTAAGAAATTAAAGCTGTTAATTACCTCAATTCGAACCTGTTTAATAGAGGCAAATACCGAGTAGCAGTTTACAAAAAAAGTTGTTCGAAATTGCCCCATCAACACTTTGACAAGCACGGCCTCTTTCATCTCCCATCTTTATTCTGTTAAATATAAACTGCTTTTTAAGTAAATAAAAAAAAATTCACGAAAACATCTTTTGCAATTTACTTCGAGGCTTTTCGTAATAGGTCAGTTCGATCTCTATTTAAAGGTGCGGTGGCCTCATTTTGTGATGTTATCTCCGTCAAAATCTCGCTGCTGTACACCAAGAAAAAAATAAATCAAATTTGTCGTTTCTGCAGTTTTTCTTCTTAATAACCAATATAATGGAAGAAAAGAAAGACGTAATTTGCTGGGCCACTTAATCTAACATTGAAGTCTCCACTAAGTTTTGTGTGTATTTTTAACTGGTAAAAGCCACGTGTAAGACCTTGTTCTACGGGGTACTTTCCAAATCATGGTCTAATTTTGCTTGAGCATTGGCTTACATTTCTACTTGCTTTTTCTCCTCTGAGAAAAAAAAAACCTTTAAATCGAAAATATTCGACAACGAAATGACTTAGGGACCAGTCATAATTTAAGTTGGAGGGGGGAGTGGAGGAGAAATTGTTTTTTATTCCAAATTTTTTCCAGACCCCCACTAATAGCACCCACGTTTTTTAGGTACCCCCCCTTCAATCATGTTAAAAGATTTAAGGGCCCCCCTTTCTTATACATAATACCTAAATGGTAATAACAAATAACATTTTCTTTACTTTACCGTTCTTACTCACTGTCACTTCCGAATGTGCCAACTAACAACAGAGAGAAGCACTTCACACTAAACTGAGAAAGAGACAGAAAGAGATTTCACCTAGAGCCTCTCAAACAGCTTATAGAGCAAGGATATATCAGTGATTGTGTTATAATTGAGATAAGACAAGCCATCGAAAGGTGAGAGGCCGACAGGACCGCTTCAAGGAAGAAAGAAGATAATCAGCCAAAGCTTACTGCTTTTTATATGAGCAGTACATGCTCTAATAGCGAAAAACTTGACGGTGACACAGACAGTGAGTCCGCATCAACCTCATCTACAAATAATGATTCGGATACTGAGATTGCATAACATGACTTAATGCATGTAATCATTTGTTAAAATGCCGATGAAATTGTTTCAGTGTTACACAATAATGGATGTTGTGTTGATGCACCTACTATTTGAGCATTAAATCTTTTTGTAAAAATGCTGATTAAATTGTTTTAGTATTACACAATATAGGACTTTGTGTAAAACTGAATCAAAATCAGGTCCTTTAATACTCAAGCATCATGCTGCTCAGTAGGGATGCTACTTAAAAGAAACTTGAAGACCCCCCAAGGTCATCTTTTGGCATTTTAAGGTCCCCATATTCCATCCAAAAAAAATTGAAGGCCCCCCAATTTCTCCTCCACCCCCCCCTCCTCCAACTTAAATTATGACTGGTCCCTTAACTTTGACGTTTGACTTGACAGAATACATATGTGACTATAGAGGGTTTTCACTCACGTGGCCAGCATCTATGCAAATTTATTGGAACAAAAGAAAGCGTTTGCATAAGAAAAGAGTTCAACTCCCACAGGATCGGTTTGGGACACCAACATGGCCGCCGTTTCATTTGTTTTGGGACACCAATATGGCCGCCGTGACGTCATGTGAAAACAATCTATAACTTCAGTTAACAAGTTATTTACCTCAGGCGCTGGTTTTAACATCTCAGAATGTATCCACAGATAGCTTTCTTTTAGTGATGCTGAGAAAGACGGATTGTCAGTTTATGCGAGGGTGTCTTGTTTCTCTTTCATGATCCATGAGAAACTTTCGTCAGCTTTCTCAGCCGAAGCTACACTACTTTTGAATGTGGCAAGGAGCAACGTTCTGATTTGAATAATAATTTCTGATTGGATTTTCTTACTGCACGTGCCTATGTAGCAAGGTAGCAAGAACAAGGGTTGTTTACCACATACACCTTAGGGAATTTTGAACTTATAAGGTCAATTAACTTTTCCAGAGACCTTGGGCGAGTGAACTATTTGTAAGGCAGAAAAATCGGCTTTCTGAGGATGCCTATATACCCAGCCAGGACTCAAGCCAGGAACTCGAACCAGGACTTCGAGCTAAGACTCGACGCAGGACTCGACAATTTCTCGCTTTCCCGCCATTTTCACCTCCTGCAAGTCACATGACCATTAAGAGGAGAGTTTTCGTGACAATCATGGAAGTTAAGCTCGAGTTAGGGCCAGGGTTAGGGTTATTGGTTAGGGTTTTAGGGTTAGGAGGTTACGAGTTAGATTACGGGTCCTCTTTGTTACTTTTATTTTATTTTTGTTTTGTTTATTTGTTATTTTTATTATATTTTTTTTTGCTTAAGGTAACATTAGAAAAGTCCTAACTGGAGTCCTAGCTCGAGTCCTGGCTTTGATGTTAGTTTAAAAAATCGGTTATTAAATTTGTAGAGAAAGGAAAACGTCAAGGAAAAACTATATAGCAAAGTCGTGAAATCTTGCTCCTATAACAGACTAGCTCGTACCCAGTTGCGACTAGGTACGAGTCTGCTCCCGTGAACGAAAAACGATTGCTTTAATTACACAAAAAAATTGTAAAGCCTGAATCCTCTTTTACAGGATTATGCCCTTTTATTAACAAATGCAGCTCAACAATAAAACTGTACCCAGGTTTTTTTTTAATCTTTTATTATCAATACGAGAAGTCTTAAAAGCGAACGCATTGATTCAACGGAGACAACTATTAGCTAACCACACACAGTCTCTTCGTTCCGTTCAAAGCACGTTTTGTTTGTTTTAACAGAGAAGGCCTTCCGTTTTGGCCTGTGGGCTAGTAGCCTGCATAACGAGCGTTATTTTTTTGCGTTTTTCAGGCGAACGAGGGCAAGCGCGAAGCGAGCGAGGAGCGCCTTCCACAGTCGCATGTGTCTGGCTCTCCTCGCTTTAACGAAAAAATATCACCTGTTATGCAGGCTACAGGAGTAAAGGAGATTAAGCCGATTTTGCTGGTATCTAGGAGACCCAGGAATAGCATACTTTACAGAGGAGAGTTTGGGCATGGCATTGCTGCCAAGATACCTCAGGTACGGGACAATCCCCACCTACCCCCGCCTTCCGAATCCGACATTAACACTAAATCCTCACGTTGGGACAAATTGTTGGCTAAGGGGAGGGGTAGGTAGGTTTGCAGATAGAAATCGTTCCTTAAGATCTGAATCTTCCAATGTAATAACTACCTTTTTTGATGATTCTTTTTGCAGAAAACTGGATCGATAAAAACTCAGTCACATCAGAACTCAAATTTAAAAATACTCATTACTGACAAAGTATAGCCAGTCTGGCAAACCGGGGCAATGATCAATTAAGAAACCCTTACATCACGCATGACCAGTCAGATGAGATAGCCAACGCAATCGACATATTAAAACATCTTAATCTCATCAGATCAAACAGACATAAAAAACGGCGTTCTCACTGAATTTCCAATTTTAAAAAAGCGTTTTTGAAAAGACGCGTTTTTAGTAAATATCGAACAAAAAGGCAAGGCTGCACAGCCTTTCTTCTTTAGCGTCTAACATTGCATGTCAATTCTAACATGACTCTTACATTGTGTGTAAGACCATGCCTTCCGAAATATTGGTAGCAAAAAATATATATTGCCGACTGTAAAATCAGACTTGCTTTTTTGTTCAATATGTACTAAAAATGCATCTCTTCAAAAGCGCTTTTCTAAAATTAGTTCTTATGTTCGATATTTCAACTGATTAGATCCATTATTATAGAATCCGGCCCTTCCTCTTTGTAACGTTGGTCCCTGCTTCCAAAACTGAATCTTTAGTAAATGTTTACATCGGATACGTGTGGACAGCTGGCCGATCCGAAAGAGGAAATTGCCATTTTCAAAACGTGCATAATAGGTGGACGTTTGGAAGGACATCACCCAAAATCACTCCTTATACCTAGAAGTACCAATACATCATGTTTCTCACACTTATCTGTATACTAAAAAGAGCGACAAACTTTTCAGTAATTTCTATTTTTTTTTTTGTCTAAAACAGAGTTGTAGATGCAACCTGTATGTTTTGGGTGTACAAAAGTGAAATTAGCGAATAGAAGAAGAAGAAAACTGGTTAATTATCTCTAACAATTTTAAGGTTACTCGAAATTTTCTTTTTTCAGTCTAAAGATTCTTATTTATCCTTGCTAAGGTCTAAAGTTTTCTCTCCTCATTAGTCATGCAAGAGCACAACAACCTGAGCTTTTTCACATCTTCACTTATGCGCACAATATTCGTAGCATTATTGCAACAAAATAAAGTATAACTTTCTTAGTAAGAAACGTGAAAGAAATTCCGGTCTTTTTAATCAGTGTTTGACTCAAACTAAGAAATAACTTCCAGGTACGTATCTTTCGTTCAAACTATGTCTCAGAGTTTAAGCACTTACAAACGAACACAGATATCGGAGTGAAATATGTAAAAAGAACACTTAAAACTGCAGAAAATCACTCACGAATTACAGAAAAGCCCTAGTGGGGCTACGGTGGGATTACACCCTGGCATCGGTTAATCAAAGAAATAAATCTCTATCCAGCGGATAAGTACAGCTAAACTCCGTATTACGGACACCCGCTTGATACGGACACCTTATTATTAGCGACAGTTTGCTTTATTATTTGTCCTTTAGGAAAGAAAGCCTCTACATTTTCTCTAAATTCAACCTTCTAAATACGGACACCTACTTTCTATGCTCCCCCCCTCCCACCCCTAGCCTTAGTGTTAGGGAAACTCATTGGATAAAGATTTAAACTGGGCATAGCGTATCCACCCTCGTTTAAACAACCGACTGAGGCCAGATTAAAACCAGAGTGAATAACAACGGTGGCTTTTTTGCATGAAGGTGTGACTTACAGTTTGTGGGGTGATCTTTCCTAAAAATAGACGATCTTGGCCTTTTTTCTCCAATTCGTAGTTTAAGTTAATAGCTTTTAACAAAAAAAGGGAAAACCATTTGAAATTACGTAACCCGCTACCCAATTCAAACACCGAATGATAAGACAACTCATAGGCGGACGATCAAATTTAATTTATTATTTTTATATATACCTAGGTACAAATTGTGACTGAGAAATATATGAATCAACTCGCGTAATATTTCCACCATGAAATGAAGCGTGATGAGTAGAAATATTTTAAAATCATCCTAAGTTAAGGGAGTTCATAGCAAAATATTTCTCGACTACTTTTTCTTCATAAAATCAATCAATAAAAGTACAAGATATTACTCCTCTTCAAAATTAAAGAAATAGAAACAGATCCTAAATCACTGGATTTAGCTAAGGATCGTTTCGAAATGAAAACGTGACCCAGAAAAAAAGACGCTGTAATTTTTTTTCTTTAGATCGCAGCAGGTCAGTGCTTGTGCTAGTTCTTTTTCACCCGGCGCAAAAGTAATTACTGCTATCTACCAGGCATGATCTCGTTGTTTGCTATCTAGTATTGACTTAAATTCAACCACTGCGGAGTGTTTCCGAATTACATCAATTTGACTCTTTCTACGTTTCTCTAGTTTGCCTAGGCATCAGCAATATAAACGACAACAGAAATAAGATCCGTCTTAACCAATATTCTGAGGAGGGAGTTTATATTGGCATGCGGCGAAAAAGATCGCTTTTTATGCAATATTCTTTCAATATCTCAGCTAAGTAAATTCAAACAAAATTAAAGATATGCAAAGGAGCGTTGTATGCTCAATTGGAAACAGTCCAACCTTGCTATTCTCATAATTATAACTATCGCATCGCCTTGCGTCGAAAAATCGCTGTAATTGTAAATCGCAGTAGATTAAATCCAATCTTTCGTAGTACCGTAATAGCATTTGAATAACCTCTTTGCAAAGCAATGAATTAAGAAGGGGCCTTCAAAATAATACCTGTCTGCAAGTCACACGACAAATTATTCCTCGATCGAAGTTCTCTTTGTAGTTACCGTCACAAAGGTTCCAGTTTCGCTCTGCGAGGATTGTCTTTTCGCTCGAACATTCAATCTGATAGGTCCACAAGGTAACGATCCTCTCGCTAGATGCGCTCTTTGAGTCCCAAGAAACAATTCCAATAATGAGCGCCGAAATCGTCTTTGTAACAGTCCATAGATAAACGGATCAATAGCACTCTTTAAAAAAGCAATCCACCTTAAGGTAATTGTTGATGCGTGGGACAGCGATATTCCTTTACTGCCCAGTTCAAGAATACGCAGAGTTGTGTACGGTGCGAGACAACAAAGAAAGGCTCCGATAACGAATAAGATTTTTCTCGCGGCCTTAAACTCGCGCTGCCTGCTTGTTTCGGTGGCCATGGGTCCACGAACAGGCGCAAAGTGAACTGCGGTGATGACCGCGTGTCCTATTCGGCGGGAATGCAGCTTAGCGACATTGAAAATTCGATAGTAAGTTACTAACATGACCAAAAGAGACAATCCGGCGTTCGCAGCGTACATCGCCGCTGTAAATACCCGGTAGTTTAACTGGTGAAGATCAGAAGGAAAAGTGCAAAAGAAATAACGCGGGTTAAACTCGTACCAGCCAAACCCGATCGGTACCAAAGAAAATACGATAGACTGTAGCCACACAAGTGATATCATCACAAGCGCGCATTGTACCGTCATTTTGGCCCTGTATTGAAGAGGTTTGCATACTGCGATGTAGCGATCCGCGGAAATTGTCGCCAGGGTCAAAACAGCCGCAAGTCCCAATACCATATTCCAAAACGCACTTGTTTGACACCAGAATCGACCAAATGGCCATTCATCAGCCAAAACTGCCCCAAATGAATAAGGCATGGCGAAAACAGCAATCAAAAAGTCGCAGATGGCTAGATTGACGATGAAAACGCTAGATATATGTCTTCGCAGTTCTTTGCTCCTGTATACGACTAAACACACCAGGAAATTCATTACCAGGGCGGCTAGAGTCATGAAAAACAATGACAAAGCGAAGCCAAAAACTTCCACTTTGGATAGAAAACCCATTAATGTAAGCCTTGGGATTAAACTGTTTCTATTTTCCGCAGAAAAACTTTTTTGTTTTCCGCCCGTTTTGGACAGATGTAGCGAGATACAGCGGGTGAACGATCTAATTAAAGTCGATTTTCCAATGTTTCGGCAGCTGCCTAATGAATGTTGGAAAACGTTTAATCGGTGCAATTTCGTCGAATCTTTTATGGTACCAACAGTTCTCTTATCTGGATTAACTTGAGATCCTTTGAAGAAAGGCTGTTGTCGAAAGCCAACGATTTAGTAGCGTTCAATTGAGAATCGCTTGACAAAACATCGCCGTTCTCCATTTAGATACGCGTGTATTCGGCAATCAATTGAAGGCGTCGATGAAAGTACCTTTCAATTCCCACATTACATTTCCATTTTGCCTCTGTACACATTAGATAAGTCCTTCCATTGGATGGCAAGAAAATGCGACATACAAATAGGTCAACGTGCTAGCAAGAAGTTTGGAAATTGTCCTTTTTAATTAGCAAAGACCCTAAACTATAGGCCCAAAGTTAAGCAACATAAAATTTGCATAATAATGACTTCTACAGGACAGGGTATATTTACAACTTGGCGTTCGTTAAGCAGAAAAATCTTTTTTATCACCATAGTGTCAATTCATCAAAACATATGAAGCAGGCAAAATCTAACATTCATCATTTTTTAATTTTTTTCTTTTATGATTATTTTGACGTTTATTTCAAGGGCACGTCATGGTCAGCAAAAATTTCAGACAGCTTTTGGAGTCATGAAATTTATGACAATCTTGAACTACACCTGATATTAGAATGCGAAAGCTGTTAAATAATGCATGCTTTATCTAACTTTCGTAAATCCATTATCTGCCAGCTTGGAATATTAAAAAAAAACTAACGAAGAAAAATAAGTTTTTATATAAAATTGCTACAGCAGTGAAATTTGTCGTCAAATTTTCAACGTTTGTATTTGAGCTGTAAAACTTAGAAAGCGTCGATCGAAAACAAAATAATTCGATAAAAGAACTGTTCGGGTGTTTGCAATTGGTTAGATTTACCAAGAATATGACACGGACAAACAGCAAGAACGAAAATATAATTTTGGGTCTTTACAGAAGAAAAGATAAAATGCAAAAAGACTCATTTTGGTACTTTGGTCATATTTCGCGTCAAAGCCTTTCAGTGGAAACAACTTAAACACCCAAATTAAAAGCGACCGTTGCTTTCCCAAAGATTCTATTTATTACCCTACGCTGAATTAAACACTTAGGTATTATGAAACTCGAGGTGACATTTTCGTTGGTAGTTAACGTTTTACTTCTTAAAAAAAAGAAAAAAAAAAGAAAAAAAAGAAAAAACGGGTTTTCTTGTTAGTGAGTATGACTGCTATTGTACCACGACGGGATTCGCTAGTGGAACACGATTTCTGCTTTTTATTTTTGGCTGACAATCCAGTCAAATTTAAATGTATACTTTGTAATTTTTCAAAGTTTAACTTTTGCCAGCTGTTAGCTTTCACATGCAAATTTGGTGTAAATTCCTCAGATATGTTTGTTACCGTTTAAAAAAGACTGTTAGAAAGGAATTATATTTTTGAAGGGCGGGAATAAAGTTTTTGTTTTTAGAACAAAAAAATACTTCAAACATGTTCTGGTTAAATCATCTAAGGAAAGTGTATATATTTCTGTTTATGAGGCGTACGTGTTCAAATTTTAAGTAAATTTATTACTTTTCATTTAGAACGGTAAATATTGCCTTTATAGCTAAATGAACGTCTAAATTCGTGGTTGAATAAAACTCTTAATAATGATATCTGCCTATCTAGAATTAAATTGACGGCAGATTTTCATTTCGTTCCGGAGACGCACGAACGCTAAAACGTCTCACTGATAAAAAGCCAAGTTCAGCCAAGTCAAAAATCGTTTCTCACCCGGACTGGCACATTTCTATTGAAATCAATTTTAGTGGACAGCTTTGTTTAGTGTCATCTTGTCAAGTGGTAGGAAAAAATTAATACTCTCTAAGTATTCAAGGATTCAGTAATATATGATTGTTAGAAATTTTTTCTCAAGCGGCGAGGAGGGAGGAAAGCTAGTACTTCTGCCGCAGTCGGTTTTTTAGAACACTTTTTCGTGTCTTTGAGTATCAATTTTCAGGGACCCAGGCGTCTGTTCGATGGCCTCAAGCAGTTTCTGGTATGCATCATTAACGATACAAAAGTATCCCTGTCTGGATCGCGAAACATGTTCGTCTCACGCGCCGTCGTCTCGAATTTTAAAACCAAGCAAAGCCCGTCAATTACATCATTGTAATATATGATATTGAGAGCAGAAATTGGTAGATCGATTGAAAATAATTGACAAATTTAAAAAAAAAAGCTCTTACATGAAAGATCGAGGGGTTTCTGAACGTTCTCTGTTTCACAATTACAGTTAATCACTATACCCATTACTAAATAGACTGATCAAAACAAACAATCTCTTTTTGTACCACCTGGAACATCGCAGACGGGTTTAAATTTTAAGTTACGATTTTCATTTTTTTACCATTCACTTCGATTTCCCCTTTGCGTTTACTACAGACGTTTTGTTTTAAACTGCTCATCTGTCCATGTTATTTGTCGTTCCTTGTTTAAGTTTTACATCATTTATTTGTACCTGCCCTATTAGTAATTTAAAAGCCTGCATTATTCTTATCCAATTTGTCTTTATCGTTCCCAACTGTCTCGTTTCCAGGCGCCAAAAAGCGCGGAAGAGAAAGAACGGAAAACGCCGCCACGTAAGAAACTTTTGGGGTTGAATTGTTGTCCGTTCAAAAGTACAGTCAAACCCCGTATTATAGACACCCGCTTAATACGGACACCTAACTATTACGGACAGTTTGCTCTGTCCCTCGGGAAAGAAAGCCCTTACACCCGCTATAAATACGGACATCTCACTATTACGGACAGTTTGCTCTGTCCCTCGGGAAGGAAAGCCCTTACACCCGCTTTATACGGACACCTCACAATTACGGACAGTTTGCTCTGTCCCTCGGGAAAGAAAGCCCTTACACTCGCTTAATACGGACACCTCACAATTACGGACAGTTTGCTCTGTCCCTCGGGAAAGAAAGCCCTTACACCCGCTTAATACGGACACCTCACTATTACGGACAGTTTGCTTTGTGCCTCAGGAAAGAAAGCCCTTACACCCGCTTAATACGGACACCTCACAATTACGGACAGTTTGCTCTGTCCCTCGGGAAAGAAAGCCCTTACACCCGCTATAAATACGGACACCTCACTATTACGGACAGTTTCCTTTGTGCCTCAGGAAAGAAAGGCCTTACACCCGCTTAATACGGACACCTCACTATTACGGACAGTTTGCTTTGTGCCTCGGGAAAGAATGCCCTAACGTTTTCTCTAAATTCAACCCGCTTAATACAGACACCCCATTAATTTGGCGACTTTCTATGGCCCCCTCAGTGTCTATATTAACGGAGTTTGACTGTATAAACAGGGGCACCCAACGTCAATTTTCGGAAAATATCTGTTCGGAAGACGATTGGAGATCTAGAATTTTCGGAACATTTTTTGCAAAATTCCTTGCTTGTCTGCCTCTCCTAGGATTTTCGAACATCTAAGAAATGGTATAATTGCCCATTTTTAACGGATTTTCACCCTAAAATGGTGACCTTGAATTTTCGGGGGCCTTTTGTCTGGCTGAAATTTTCGGAAAGGTAAGTTTTATCCCTATAATTTTCGGATCACTAGACTTTCAGCTAGTGAATCCGAACAGATAAAAAATTTTTAGGAGATAAAAATATGCTTATATCTACCGTTTAAATACTAAAATACGTTCAACAATGCTTTGTTTAAGTGGTTTTGAACTATTATTCTCGTTGGGTGCCCCCGTATAATCTGTAAGTACCCCATACCAATTACGCACTAAAAAAAAATTCAACAATTTTTATTTATATTTGTCAAGAATAGAGAGATTGGCAATGATGTGTAGCTGTATGATGGCGGGAAATGGGAAAATAAGCTGGACTGTTAAACTTTACTTTGCAAAAGTGTGTCTGCTATTCCTTCGTCTAGAGACATGAAAAGGTTTTGCTCAAATGATCAAACTTATCCTTCAAAAGAAATTAATAAAACTCAAAGCAAGATGGCTAATGGGCAGTAACTTCAAGCCATTGGCCTTGTCTCCTTCATTCTTTCTTTATCGGTAAACTTAATAAGGAGGACGTAAAAGCACATGTTACTCTTTAAAAAATTAAAACTTTTTAAAATTAATAGTAAGGTGGGTTTTAAAATATCCTTGGGGAAGTTTCTCCTGTGGTGTGGTCTACCTTTATCTCTGTTGTCACTTCACCCAATACCCATATAATACAGTAAGCTCATAAATGGACTGATACATGTAGCAGCAGCCAGTGTTGCCATTGTATGCTGACATCAGAGATTACTGCTTAAATAATATAAGGTAAAGTGAAAACACACTGTAGTCCTATCAGCTGGAACATTGCTTTACATTACATTACAAAATGAACTTTCCAGTTAAATATATCAATGATTGATAGGGTATTCAGTATAAACGTGCAACACTATCTCCACTTGGTATGCAGTGAATGTAGAGTCATAAAAAATGGAATCATCTACAAAGTTTCCTTTACCCTGAATCTTCCTTATTGAACTCCTTGAAGAGTTACTACAATTCGCCTTGAACCTGCATGATTCCGATGTTCACAAAGCCAGATTCCCTGCCAGGTTCCAAGATTTAACTTTCCATTTGTGATTGGGATAGTCACACTGGGTCCCACGAGTGCAGTCTTGACATGTGCTGTTAAAATACAATCATAATACAAAGTCATAGTCGATAGATAAGATAATAAAAAGGAGACACCACTACTTTCCTCATACACTTTAACTAACCAAAATGCAATGGTCTCTTTTATAGTCAAACCAAGTCAAGTGTACTCCCCAAGATTCTATTAATATATTGATTATTTGAAAAATGAATCCGTTAGTCGTTCCCGTAACTGGTGTCAAATTCAAAGCGGCATTTATGCATGTGTAATGAGCAGTGAATATTTTACGAGAACTTCTCTGTATTTGGTCAGATTGGAAATCTTTGGATGGATTAAGCTTATTAGAAGACATTTACATCAATTTCAGGAAAATGAAGCTGGTAGAAATTTCATAACTGCCTCGCGTGTGAATTCACGGCTCATTACACATACAAGAATGCAGAGATCAATCTGAAATCTACAACTAGCAACGGATTCAACTTTTGAATAATAAATTCATTAATGTATTCTTGGGGGGTACGCTTGACCTGGTTTGACTGTAAGGATTTAATTTTTTTTTGATGAGCATCCTACACCTGCCAACTGTTTCTAAGTCAAATTTTATGTGATTTTCGTATCCATGATATTATTACCAAATTTCTGAAAAAACTCAATGACTTCCAGTGGCAATGACTTTCCAACAACATCTGAACATAACAAAGATTTTTCAATGATTTGTGGTGCAAAGCAAAAAGCCTTGGCCCCATCATTTTTAGGTTACACATATCTTGCTGAGGTTATCGAGGTTAGTAAACATGAGATCTCGCCAAGATCAAGTCTTTCAGGGACTATTTTGGGTGCATGTTAAATTGGCGAGAATTAAGAGTTAAGCGCATGAAACTGTCATCAGTGCTGTCAACTCTCCTGGATAATCCGGGAGTCTCCAGATTTTGAACCATTTGTCCCGGTCTCTAGAGTAGAGTCTGAAATCTCCCGGATAATCGCCAAAGTTTGCCATGTCTTGTAGATTTGACTTTCTGACAATGAAATTTCAGATATTTTGTGTTGTTTGAGTTATTATTTTTACTGTTAATATCAAACGTTTCCTCACAAACTCCGGTATGCCATTTTAAAATAAGCAACAATATATGGGAATGAACATGAAGAAATGATCGTCGCAGTGAAGGCAATTTATGTAATTGCGTAAAGAAGCCTGGAAAAAAAAATTCAGGACTTCAACTGGGTTTGAACCCGTGACCTCGCGATTACCGGTGCGATGCTCTGCCAACTGAGCTATGAAGCCACTGACGTCGGGAGCAGGTCAATTGTGGGTTCATATGTTCCCGTGAAAGAAATGAGTGTTAATGATATATGAAATATATCATATATGAACTGTGGAAATTAAATGAAAATGAAGTAATGATTGTCGCAGTCAATGCAATTTATGCAATTGCGTAAAGAAGTCTGAAAAAATAAAAGGGAAGTAAACCAATCAGATCAAATGGTACAATTCCAACAACATCTTTTTTGCGCATTTTTTGTATCATCAATGACGTCATGTGCCATGCATTATGACACCATCTATTATCCCTTCCCTATCAATTCTCAACATTTGAAGATGTGCTGGGTTGACAGTCCTGAGTCATGTACATGTGATTGACATTTTTGATCTGCAAGCATGTCACATACATGCATGTGAAAGTTAACAATTAATAGCCTCTCTGCCACTTTCATAGTGGAGACCCATGACCCCTCCCCCCCTCCCCCCCTTCTTGTATGAAAAATTCCTGATTGGTTCACCTTTGATTTGCAGGTATTACTTACACTAAACTTTTAGCCTTGAATCATTTTTAGGGATAACACAACAAAAAAGAAAGAAATGATATAAAGATTTTTAACCTGGCATATCATCAGGCCCCTCTATAGTATGCTTGTATGGGGGCCCTTGCTCCGGAGCCAGACGATTTAACATCATCTCCATATCGTGGCGCACAGAAGAATCCCAGCATTCATTCACACATATGCTTGCCGAGGTGTGTTGCAATAGTAAATGAGCCAGGCCAACCTTGTATTTCTTGAGTTCTGGTATTTTTTCTATTTCGTCCGTAATAACATGAACTCCGCGAGATTTAGGCTTTACATTCAGCACTGTCTGATACCAGACCGTGGGGCCGGCGGTCGCCATGTTGGATATTACAATGGCGCGGTTACATAGCTTTTGAAGACAGTCGCTCCATGAAAAAATAAACCGGTCAGTATAAAATACGGACTGCGGACTACGGACTACGGACTGCGGACTGGGTATAAAATACGGACTAGGTATAAAACGCGGACTAGAAAATACGGACTGGGTATAAAACACGGACAAGGTATAAAACGCGGACTGCGGACTGCGGACTGGGTATAAAATACGGACTACGGACTACTTTGGTAAAAACCGTGCAAATTGGTTCTAGGTAAGGAAAAATAAGATCAAAAGATCGCTAAATAGCAAGACACGTGAGTTAAAGTTGTAAATACTCTTATAGATTCTTGGTGGAGGTGTCCCGCCCGGTTCTCTGAATCATGAGCCGGATCAAAATGCTATTTTCTTCACCCATTTTTAGACCTTGTCTTGGTCTCTAACAATCATGAAAGGGGTCAGGATCAGGGGGGTACTCCCTTATATAAGGGAAGGGTAGGAGTTTTGGGCCTTTTTGGTCTGAAAACACTTTGCCCATTTTGGTGTGGAATCGGGTATGGTTTTCGAGGGTACAACGGGAGCGTACATGAATGGACGTATTTATCGTTTCAATTCCAAATGAATAAGAACGAAATAGAAATGTGCGAATTCGAAATGCATTTGGAGAATTTTTTTTGTTTCCGCTCTAACTTGGTAATGATGACAAAATTTCTGCCTAATCATACCTAACCTGTTCAAGGCTCTAAGATAGTTGGGTCCGATGAATTGAGAAAGCGAAAACACGAAAATAAAACGGGAGAAAACTGGGGAGTCTCCCCAACTATCTGAGAACCTGGAACAGGCTAAATTAGGCCAGGTCCGAAAATGGGTATGGATTTTAGAGATCTAGTCTGAAAACGGGTGTGGAAAATGACAATTTTTGGGTCTGCAATAAGGTCAGGATTCGGGGAACCGGGCACTACACCCCAACGAAGAATTCCCAGTAGTACCCCCTTCCGGGGATCAGGAGCAGGGTGTAAATCATGTCATCATAATCATCACTTAGAATATAACGTTGAATGACGCATTTCGGTTATTATTCACGTATGTGAGTAATCCCTCGCACCTAAATACTGCTTTGTGCATCGCATTGACCTTCTCGTCTGAGTTCTTCATTCAGTCCTCATATTCCCAAGGCTTTATTTGAAACGGAATTGTGGCGTCCGATAAGAATTTTACTGATCTGACTAATACCAATACTATTTTTTTTTAATTCGGTGCTTCTTATTGGTGTAAAACTACAAATTGAAATCTCTTCAAACTCCTTCTTTTCATAAAATTCAGAGTTTAATTTCAGTTGCCTTGAGTACCGGCATAACCTTCCTTCTCCATGGGAAGAATAGACTACGTGAACAGCGTTAAAGCTGGGACTACTGTTTTTGCTAGTCCGCTTTCTATTTCTCTCAGTTTTACCTTCTAAAGCTGTTTTTATATACATAGTCCGTAGTCCGCGTTTTATACCTAGTCCGTGTTTTATACTCAGTCCGGAGTCCGCGTTTTATACCTAGTCCGTATTTTATACCCAGTCCGCAGTCCGTGGTCCGCAGTCCGCAGTCCCTCTTTTATACTGACCGAAAAATAAACGACCTTTGAAGCCACCAAAAACCTGGATATCTGATCATTTGAAGTTGATACTTGACTTATCATGCAAATTAATCTTTCAGATTGGATAATTTGACGACAACATCGCTTAAAACTCTAACAGGAGAAGGACAGGAGAGGTCTATTTCCGGTTGTAGCGACCGCTGGACGGAACTATTTACTTGGCGGTAAATATTGTCCCGCTTGGGTTGTTCTTCATGCATTTTTTCACCAATGCCTTGCTCTTTCGTAGTTCATCTTTGCAGTTGTGTCGTTCCTTTTCGACTGGAAAGGTTATAATGGATGCTGGAAAACGGGCTGCAGCAAGATATGCCGTTGACAATTTTGTTAAGGTTAGTTCTATTTTGTTAGCATAGTTCTAACTTTTGGACGAGCTAATGAAATGATTGGAGCTTTGTATCATGATCGATATGGTGTAAGAAACGTCATAGCGAGTGTTAAGATAAAATAAAACTAAACGTGCATAGGCTCTAGCAAGGTGAATTTCCTAACCTGAATTTCCTAAATCCTTTAGCGAACCGTTGTCATCGTTCTGAGGGCGTCAACTGCAAGAGTGGGTTTATACTTTGCGGACATAATATTATGGGGTGTTGGTAACCAGTTATGGCTTTTGCACCATTACACTAACTGAATAGAATTTAGTTGGATTTTTCACCCCATTTTAGACTAAAATCGACAAAATCTCTCCTGTAAACTACCATTGCTGCCCAAAATCAAACCCTTCTGCGTATAATCATCGTGGATGGCTGCGTGTATCCCCCCCCACCACTCCCCCCCTTCTACTTCCGAACTCAAATAACCTCTCTCTTATCCACCCCTTCTAGGGGTGGTTCTGTTTCAAAGAGGATTAAATGGGAACTGCCATGTTTTATGCCATGATCCATGTATGCAGAGCTTCTGATAATTATTATTATATGAAATGGCTTGATTTTGAAAAGCATCAGTACTAAAAAAGTGGCTATTGTGAAGACGTCTGTTGTTAAGAGGTGGCATTGTGCATTGTTTTACAGCAGCCTGTAAAAATTGCTGTATAGTTGCCACAGAAGTTCAGGCTACCCACACAAAATAATTTTCTAAGAAAGAGAATATATCAGTGATATTTGTTTCTTAACAAGTTTGTCCAATAACAACAAACTTATGATAAAAATAAAGCACTGAAATGCACTTTTCACAGTCCCTAAAATATAAATTTTCCTGGGGATACAGTGTTCTGCTTATCAGGAGGTAACCAGTAAAATTTACTGCCTGAAGCAACACTTCTCACTGCCTGCAACTGCTTGAAGGTTTACTTAAATTGAATATTAAAGTAGTTTTAAGAAAATTAATATGCAGGTTGTGATCTGATTGGCTGATTCTCACAAGTAAATGAATGAATATATGGAAAAGTACTTAAGTATACACAGCTTTTCTTTTCCTGGGCCAAGCATTTTGGAAAGAGAACATTGAAGACAGTCAGAGTTAACTTACTAGACTTAAACGTTTCAAATTGTTGTCTACATTTAATGATGACAATGCCGTTTTGCATAAAGCAGGCCTTAAAATAAAGGAATGACGTTTCAGAGAACTTAGCTCCTAAATTTCCCAGTGAGGGTGGGGCTAAAAAAAAAATTGCCCCTCACTCCAAGTCTACCCCCGCCCACAGGAAATTGTGCCTGTGGCGCATATTATCTTTTGCCTTACCTGCCATGAATGGTCCGTTACCTGCTGACCTAAAATTTAGGGAGAACACTGGGGATAGAAGGCAACCCCCAGCCTTAGGTAATTCCACATGCAGCTAAGCCCCATTAAAGGCTTCCGCTTCTTTTGATCTAATTAATCCATTATTGCCTACTTCAATTTTTTCTCTCTCTACACTACTTTTTTTGGAAAACACTAATGTCTTGGTGGTCTGGATACCAAAGATCTGACTGTGCTGACTTTTCCAGTTAGCAAAATTTATATATATATATTTTTTATAATTTTGCACTACTAACATTTATGGTCAGCGTACTTGTTCTTGTTCTCTGTAGGATAATCAAGTGCTAGGGATTGGATCTGGTTCAACTATAATGTTTGCTGTTGAAAGAATTGGTATGTTGCCGTGTATCAATGTGGAAGTTGCTTCTTCCCCTAATGAAGCACTACCCTGGACTTTGTTAAAATATCTGTAAAAATCAACTTTGAGATATACATGTAACCGCTAGAAACTGCTGTAAAGTCCCACACTCATTTTACTTTGTTTATTAGCTAGGAAAAATTGTTTTAAATCCATTTGAATTTGAACAAGAATTTCTGAAAATCACAAATAAAAATTTAATTTAAAAAAAAACCGTTGCCTATTAATTGGCAAAAATAATAGAAAATAAATTATTATTAAACTGCAAAAATGTACTCCCTACCCCCCCCCCAAAAATCATCAACCCAGAAAAAGACCTCCTGAAACATTGAAAATTACTATAAAATTCTGAAAATAAGCCCCTCCAAACTCGTAAGGTTAGAAACCCTCTGTTAAATCGACCCTCCAAATATAAGCCCTGTGGGGACTTGTACTTGGAAATTGCCCTCAAATACAAAGTAAAACATTAAGCAAAAACGGTAAATTTCCTTCCAACTGTAAGACTAGCCCAATCGATTTTGAAACGCAAATTTCCCTCCATAGATGAGCCTCTCTGAATGTAAACCCCTCCAAACTAAGCCCCTCAAAAGGGGCCTTTAAAAAATATAAGCCCCGGAGCTTATTTTTGGAATTTTACGGTACTCGGGAAACAAAATTTACTGTTTCCCAAGGGACCAGTCATTTTAAAGGTGTTTGACATTACAAATGTAGTTGTTTCAAACTTTTTTTGTCTTTTTAGCTGAAAGAGTGAAGGATGAGAAAATGAATTTACTTTGTGTCCCATCCTCATTTCAGGTACAATACAATAACTCGCTTAGTATTATTATTATTAATTACTATTATTATTATCCTCATTAAACACATCTTCTGAATGGCTTGCTAGAGTCTTCTTTATAACATTAAGTTACCACCCACGACCTGAGGTGTCTAAGCCTTTGTGAAGGATTGTGGCTGTTACCAGTAATCATGCTCTCTGCAATGATTCTGAATGACATGTGCACCAATCTCTGATAACCATTTCTCTATGGGCGCTTTCCATTTAGTCAAAATTTCCGGAATTTCCGGTTCGGCGGTAAATGGAACACGTTTCGTCGGTTCGTCCCACTGGAAAATTCCTAGAAAAAGTGGAAAATCTAAAAAGGTGGTCCCGTTTTCCCAGTTGGAATTTCCGAACGGAATGTCGTGTTCCATTTACGTTGCTTGTAGTTTGTACCAGTTCCAGGTCCACGGTCGGGCACCCAGCCACGTACCGGGGTTTACGACCAAATGGAACAACTTTTTACCAATCGGAAATTCCACTTTTGCTACCACCGAAATTTCCGGGTTTTTTTCGTAAATGGAAAGCGCCCTATATCTTTCGAGACAGTTCCTAATGCACCAATTCCGACTGGATTACTCTGTGCAATTGCGAGATCCGCTTCAGGTCTTGGAATGTCTCATTTTCTCTTTCTCTTTGTCTTTCACTTGAGTGTCAAATTCATTGTTTAGATGAATCTTATTGTCAGTTTGAAGTCCCACAGCAGCTTCTTGTTGTTAGTGGATCGATTCATACACTGGTGGTGGCTCATGGCTGTAATATTTTTCCTCCCTGTCATAACCCAGCTTGTGTTGTTGTTGTTGTTACTAAATTATTATTACTATTAATTTGTGTTATCAAGGTTGTACCAACCATTGCATCAGGAAGTGCTGTTTCCCTTTTTTTTGTATTGGAGACCAAATCCTGAGAATATTACATGTAGTTTTCATTTGAATCAGAGACAGGAATTCTACATCTCAATGTACTTGAGGACCTTGCAAATTTCAAAAAAATTATGTACAATGTATGGATAGATAAGCCTATATGGTTTTGTGGCCATACAAACATTCTTCTTTGTTTCAGGAAATTCATTGGCACAATTTTGATCTAGAAAATCTGTAACTACATCTTCTTGCATTCACTATTTTTTATTGGTCACAACAGGCTCAGCAACTCATCACCCAGTACAAATTACATCTCACTGATCTGGACAGACATCCTGAGGTAAGAATTGACATGATTTAAACTTGTCTACACAGTCCTGACTGGGATCTGGGAAAAGGAAAAATTCATTACAGTGATGATGCTGTGGATTATAGTGAAAGCAGTACAGTTGCTGTATATAATGCTTCACTTGACCTATTGGCCATTTTCTCACTATTCAAAACATTACTAATTAAAGGACTACGTCCAACATTGAACCCTGAATGTACTGTATTCTATTTGAATAAAATAATTTGATTTTTTTGCACTACAGTGGAACCCCTCTTTACGGAAACCCACTTAATGACACCCGTATATAATGGACAGTTTCATTTGTCCGGACACTGAAAAATCTCATTATAATTATAAGTTTCTCTAAAAAAAACCCGGCTTAATATGGACACTATGGCATATGTCCCCTTTAATTTGTGTCTGTATAAACTGGGTTCCACTGTAATAATATTAAATAATAATAATAATAATAATTTATTAATTTGCTATAGTGCCTTTTGACATACAATGTAAAAAATGATCAAAGGCGCTTTACAAATTGTAACACACTAGTTATATTGGTCTTTAAAAATTAATCCATGATAGATAAAAGTTATAAAAAGGTAAAAAAGTACTACTGATAATAAAAACATAAATAAAATAAGAAATATTTTAAAACTATGGAAAAGCTAATCTTAAAAGATATGTCTTGACTTTGATGTCACGGATGTGCACAGAAAGGCCCGTTTCACAAAGTAGGGGCAGCAGCGGAAAATGATCTAGCGCCTAAAGTTGCCAGCATGTGCCCCTTAGGATGTTCTAAAACAATAGAGGAATGCTCTCTGTACTTGTTAAGCCATCAAATGTTCACTGGGCTCAGGTGGCACAGACAGTGAGTACATTTTGCTTAAAAAACACATACCAGTGGTCCCAGTTACAGTGTCGCTTTATACACTGTATAGCACTGGGTTGCTGTTGGGACAGTGTAGGTTTGATGGGGTTAGGACCACTCCTCAAGGATTTTTACATTGCGTTTTCAATTACATTTAGAACATTGGTGCTAGATACATGACAACTAATGGAGCTTTTTTTTGTTTGAATTGATTAACAGTTAGATGTTGCCATTGATGGTGCAGATGATGTAGACAGTGACCTCAATGTCATAAAAGGAGGAGGGTAAGCCAACATATCAGTTGCAACTCGGTGGTCTAACAGAGGTGTGTCAATAATTGTTATTAATCGTCTAAAAGCGGTCTCCAGGAAGTTAGAGTTCAGAATAAAATGGAGATCAATACGAGATGCTTTGAAGCAATCAACACTGCTTGTTTGGATATTACTGTGTCTTTTCTTTGTTCTGATAAACTATGAATGGAATGTTTCAGTCTCTGATCGTCAGACATAAAAAGTCATTTGTTTATTTCTATTCACTAATCACAGGTATTCCAAACGCACCACATATATGTGTCTGAGCACTTTTCATAAATTGACACTTTGCATTTTTTTTTTGTCATTACAATTTCCAGGGTTCATTACACTGTAGGGGAAACATAAAAAGTTCAACAACACAACGCCTTATGGCTGTGAACCTGACACTCTATAGCCTCTATATTGATTACACTATCAATAATTATAATGTAACCTTTAAAGTCATTGGTGTACTATTCATTAATGTATTCTGACTGTGAAGACTGGGTCATCCACTGTATTTTATTGTAAATTGAGTGCATTAACTTACTGTTAGCTATGTGATTTTTTCCCCATCTAGAGGCTGCTTGACTCAAGAAAAAATAGTAGCTTCATGTGCAAAACAGTTTGTTGTTATTGCAGATGACAGGTAACAGTGATTTCTGAAAAATAATACTGTTAGATTAAAATCTTTTGATTCTAAACTGTTGTAGCTTAAACTTACTGGGAGAGACAGAATTATGTGTTTCACCTGCTGATACCATGTAATTTCTTTAAGGACATTTTTTGAATAAAAACTTTTGCAAAATATTTACTGACTCTTTTTTACATGAAACTTGCAGGAAACTGCAAAAAAACTGTAGTATAATTATTTCTAGATGCAAATTTAACGGGAAATTAACTGCTATTTGGGTGGCTTTAGAGGTAGAAGGGTTTCAGTTACATAGTGTTTGAGAATCACAAAACTTTTTTGATATTATATAAACATGCTTAATACCGACACATCAGTGTGAAGTGTATAACGGGTCTACGGAACGCTTTAATACCAACCACTGTTTTTTTTTTTTAACAACAGACGTTTAACCCCAAATGTTGACTTAAGGTTTACATGGATAATATGTAATGTTTGCGTTTGTTTTCTTTTTTATAACGATTGAGCTAAAATAAAATTACAGTTCGTTATACTACTACACGAGAAATTTCTGCAATTTGATTGGCCTAGAGCAGTGGTATTTCAGCGTAATTTGAAATACCTACATGTGAAAATTTCAAACCTTTTGCGGGTAGTAGTATAAACAAATAATAGCATAATTTGTACGTGATATTGGGCATAAATACCACTCGTGATATTTCAAAATTGTCTCAAATTTCACTCGCCTAACGGCTCGTGAAATTACGTATAACAATTTCGAAACATCACTCATGGTATTTATGCCAAATATCACTACAAACCATGCTATTACCTATACTTAAAAGAAAAACTTAATAAGGCCCTCCCTCGATTATTAAGTGTCCTCCTTCCAAAAAGCACCTATCCTTTTTAGCCGAAATAATAAATAAGCGCCCGGGCGCCCGCGGTATGTTGTAAGTAACTTGGGCTTTATACGTTTAGATAATCCAAAGGAGGCATGTACATGTATTGTACGTCACTTGGTTGAAGTGACGCTAACTGGGATTTTTCTTTTCAGAAAGGATTCAAAACAACTAGGGGAAAGTGTAAGTCCATCCTCGGAGACCCAGGGACAGTTAGTCGGGACGATAGAATGTTCGTGGTGAAAGTTTACTGTAAGGCTTTCATCACGAACATTCTATCGTCCCGACTAACTGTCCCTGGGTCTCCGAGGATGAGTGTAAGTCGTGCAGTCATTTTGTACCATCTTATAAGGCATTAGCCATCTTACATCTTCCAAAGTTGCAAATGATTTTTTTTCCATTCCTTAATCATGTTGAAACTAGCTAGCAGAACGTGGTGTCTCCTTGGCTGTGCATGATCTTGGTGTGTTACCGGCAGCTTTAATACTCTTTTCCTTCTCTCATCAGCCTCAATGTCCTTATGCCGGGTAAACGTATTTAGTAAAATCCAACTAGTGGTCTGTTATCAATGCTACATTCTGATTGGTTGAGCTACTATGTTATAGCCCACTAGTAGCGAAAAGCTCCGGCTTTTTGGCAGCAAAAAACGATTAAAGTCTAGCTTTTGCTAGTTGTTTAGTCTCGATATCTTTGACCAACTAGTTGGATGTTACTAAGACAATTATTCCTCTCGCCCTCATGGCCTCTGAGTCAATAACCCATTCAGCCTTTCGGCCTCATGGGCTATTGACTCGGCGCCCATTCGGGCTCGAGGAATAATTGTTAAATATAAAGAAAAAGGGTGTAGAATGTTATGCTCATGAGTTCACAATTCACTAGATTTGGCGTCTCAGTTACCCTTTTATTCTCGTTTTCATAGAATAGGCGAAGGTGCTGGTCTGGTCAAGTTACTACAAACAATCTTAAATTATACCCCTGTTGTTGTCAGGCAGAGTAGAAAGCTGAGCTTGAAAACAACTGTTTTGCTCATAACAAACTAGAATAAGAGAATGATTGCGTCTCATTTGTTTCAATCGTTTCGTGTTGTAGTGGAAAAAAGGAATTCCGGTGGAAGTGATCCCTATGGCGTATGTACCGGTCATGAAAAAGATGGAGAAACTTGGACTAAAACCCGTTCTTAGAATGGCAAAAGCTAAAGCCGTGAGTAGCATTCTTTATGCACAGACACTGCGGTCTCAGACTGCCTTAAAAACCACATGCATTTGTTGCTGGTTAAATCCGTTGACAGTTTAAACCAGCATTCGTGACTCCGAATTTCCTTGATTTCTTAGTATTAATCAGGGGTCAAAAAATAATAATAGTAAAATAGATTCCGGCTTGCCCTTTGCTTGCCAATGGTCACTCCTTGTTCGCCTCAGTTATTGATATCAATTGTTGGATGATGGTTTGTCGGGGCACTTGCCCATTAGGCAAGTGAAAATCGTCTTGTCTCGGGCTGGGACGTTCAAAGCAGGGTTAGGATAACCCAGGGTTAGTAAAGTAAATTTAGTTTTATTATTTTTGTCTACAATTTGATGATTGGAAGCTCTAAAAAGAATCGAGAAAATTATCCGGTAAAATGCCGTTGAACAAAAATGGAAAGAATCCTAGGCTACAATTTAACCCCGTGTTAGCGCTAATCAGCCTTCTAACAACTGAGCCCCAGAATACAAGACAGGACGTTTTTCGAGCCCTGGCAACCGAAATTCTGGTTGAACCTGAGTAGGGATTTTATCTTAAATATAACCACGTGTACATTGTACATTGTAGGGTGAAGCGAAATTCAGTATCGTTGTTCTTTCAGCCGTTTCGCATATGACTTGCGTTTTCAATTATTAAAATTGGAGTTAGTTGGGCCGCTAACCTGCGAACACATGTAGTAGACTGGATATCTGGTAAAAGAGGAAGTGAGAAGTGCATGCAAAGCTTTTAAGCGCATTTTTGACCCCAGTGCTTGTGAGTGCGCGTGTAAAGGAGCACTTCTCTCGCTGGCGGTCATGCGCAACAGAGTTTAGGTGGAGATTGCCCTGAAGCGTAGCTGGCGGTTTTGTTTGGTAGCACGCGGTTTTCCCCATTCTCCTCGCGGCTTCGCCGTCGCTCACGCGCGAGCTACCCAACAAAACCGCTAGCCATGCATGCAGGCTATTTAGCCAAGTGGTTTTGGTCGCTGGATTTCAACGCGTTTTCCTTAAGGCCATATCCTTTTCGTGTAACAGAAGTTTTTATCTGTTATCCCTTAGTTCAATTCCTCGGTCAGTCTTCAGTGAATACGCCAACTTGTTTGCCTCCTTCCAGTTGGAATTTTTTAACTTTTCATTTGAATTATTTGTTTTATGTCCCTAAAAAACCCTTTTATGTATAGTTTTACTAAGTGAAAAGTATAAATATTCATCCACTTCATGGTTATCTATTTCAAGTCTTCGTTTGCGGATACATGAACCCCTTTCACCATCTTCACAAGGGGGAAGAACGTTTGTCCACGTTATCTCCAATTAAAGCACTTTACTATTCTTTCCCCACAGGGTCCTGTGGTGACGGATAACAGTAATTTCATCGTTGATTGCCTTTTTGACAAGGTAGATTATTATTTGGGTATTTTTTCCGCTTTAGACTAGTCTTAAAACGATTGTTGTACACTTTTGCCGTCATTACGCAAAGTGCAAAGTGTCTAATATAGAACAGAACAGAAACAGAACAGAACTGAAATGAAACAACGTTAGCTGTGGTAGTATTTTAAAAAACTGGATGTTTTGGTCGAGCGGTTTCAGTAAACTCATATTTTAAGGGAATAACATGTAGGTGTCATGGAACCTTGGCTTGCCGGTTTTTCGAGGGACTAAAGGCTTTTCTCTAATTTGTGTCATACTTTTAGGTTTACGACTGGAAAGAATTAAACACACAGCTGAACTTGATACCAGGTGAAGAATTTATCTTTTAAAGTCGGATCCAATAAAACACATAAAAGTAGTTCCGTGGAGGAAATCGTAGGGTAAAGGCCATCAAACAGTGCATCTCTTTGCTGATTGTTATACAAACTGGCAAAGTACACTATCTTTACAAAGTGGCTGTAACCTTGAGTCTGTGGATAAAATCCTTTAGCGTGACGTTTAAATTCATAAATGTTACCGAGCAGGACTTTTCTAAGGTCTTCTTTTTATTGTGCTGTATAGTACAAAGTGGCTCTTAGTTTTGAGTCTGTAGATGTAATCCTCCGTTGTAATCACTCAAACGAAAGCTACTAAGCAAGCAGTAAAGAGTTTCCTGTAATGTTAATTATCACCCTCTGCAAGGTGTCTGTACCTTTAGAGTGCTCGGAGAGTATTACCTTTTTTTCCAAAAAATTTCCGTCTGAATGAACCGTTCCATTCGATTTCACCCCTGAAATACCGGGAAATATAGATGGTATGCGCTTAATGGCCTTGTACTATTTTCGGCGCAAAACATTAACCACTATCCGTTTGTACCTACAACAGCAGTGACAATTACTGTAACCCGTGTTCTGATTATTCATTCAAAATAATTCTAATTTACTCAAATCCCCCGCTTAGCCCTTTACTAGCTAGCGTTGACCTAATTTGGAAGATGTTTGCGATATCCGGAAAAATGACATCAATAATGACATCACTAGTACAGGATATCGCCCGAAAAAAGGGACGCCAACCGAGTAGCTCTGGATACGAGGTTGCGTTAGCTCAGCCGGCCTGGTAGAGCTGGAGAATAAGGCGGAAAATTTCATACCTTCTGCGAAGAATAAATAGCCGTACGTCTGTCTAAAAGTATTAGCAACCGCAGTAAAAATATAACTCGATGTCAGATGAAGACTTGTATTTGAAGAATATCTGATAGACTTAATATCCCTTTAAATCCTGATTTTACTCAAGAACAGGCAAATGAAGGCGATGGAAGTAAGCATGCTTTTAAAAGAAGGAATTGTTTTAAATGAATAATATAACGATGATCGAACTCGGCTTTTCTTTTATACATATCTAGGAGGCAAATTACCCTTTAGCCGATAGTACCCTAATGGATATGCATAATTCTGCAGAACAAACTCTGCCTCATCCAATAATTGCTTTATATTCATTTCTCTTCAGTGTGTAATTTTAACAATAACTGCACCGTAAGCCTACTTTAATTGAATATAATATGAAAGGTAAAACTGGAGGAAAAAGCGAACGGCAAAGAGTAATATGAAACGGAAGACCATAACTTCCCAGACGTACTTTTAGTTATAGCCTGGGGGTAGTAGATCTACGAAACCTGGATTTGGATCAGTCTTGCCAAAAGCGTAGCCCAAATTCTTTCTCCTGCAAACGCTTTTCAACGTTGTTTCTTTCTCTATGTTGTCGTAGGTGTGGTCGAAACAGGACTGTTCATAGAAATGGTAGAATGTGCCATATTTGGAAAAGAGGATGGTTCAGTGAACAGACGATAACAAGAACGCTTGATGCGCATGCTCTCCATCAGAGTCATGCGCAAACAAGAATCTTGTTGTTAAAGAAAGAAAGTGTCACAGGGAATAGCCAATAACACCAGCCAAGGGTGTTAATACACGTACTCTCTGTTGATTTAGGAGATCATTTAATACTTTAACCCCTTCTGACATATTTAAGTTAATTCAACATATTTATCAATCGAATCTAGTATCATGCTTTTGTGATGTTACTGTTTTTTGCTCTTTATGGCCTTAGTGTAAATCAAGGTTGGTACAGGTCATGGAAAACCTGCAAAGTCATGGAATTTAAGCATTTCATTTTCCAGGCCTGGGAAGTCATGGAATTTAATTGTTGGTCTTCATTGGAAAGTCATGGACAATCAAAGTTTTGTTTCGTGATAGATAAGTTACTGCAGATGACAAGGCAATGACAATGTAAGATGAAGAGAAATAATTAACCAGCGCAAACGGCACACATTGTGGTGGACATCAGAGTTTGTGTCTGTTTAGTGAACTGTTTAAAGGTCCAAAAATAACCTAAAACAAGGAAAGTTTTTAACATTTTTGAAAGTGACCGCTAAACCTAGTGTCTTGGAAAACTTAAAAAAGGTCACGCAAAAAAGTTATGGAAAGTCAAGGACTTTGAAGAGCTTAAAAGAGTACAAACCCCGTAAATTGTATTCAATCAAAGACGAAACCCGTGAAGGGTTTAGAAGTAGGCTCCGAGTTATCAAGTTTTGTCAACTTTCCCATCCCATGTGTGCTAAGTAATATACCATGGGACAACAAACGCGCGAAGTCTTTCGTTTGATTTTAAAGAAAAACAAGGCATGACAGAGATCTCAGTCAAGTAACCGAACTTCCAGGTATCTTCAGTTAACAACGCATGAGATGCTTTTAGTGTTGAGTTTCTCAAATGATTTCAAAGGATCAGCAACAACAATTAATGAAGAATAAAGGTCAGAAAATTTATGATCATCAGCCTCGCTAGCCATGACTTCCTTGACGCTTGTGACTCTGTTTTTATCCTTCTGCCTGTTTGAGTCTCTCTATGGGTACCTGCGAACGTATATTTCGTGGTGCTTTGTCATCAAATCGTCGGTTGTTTTTACTCGAAACCATCGCATATCAAAAATTGTTTTGTGCGATAACGCTACTAGCGAGCTCAGCGCGAACACAACGACGCCGGACGAAAACGAGAAAATCAGGAAAACTATAACTCTGTACGTGCAGTACACTTTTTGGCGACTTTCTCTGCTGTCATTGCAAGATTAACGTCGTCACGGGCCTGATTGAAATTGCAGTGCAATCGTCGCCTCGAATTCATCATTGAGTGACGATCATCGCGACTTCTATTTCGTTGGAAATCAGTATCCATACAGAGACCCCCCGGGGGGGGGGGTACTTTAGGAATTTCTGGGTGGGGATGTGCCGCTGGGACCCTGGAACCCTTAACCTATACCAGAGCTAGTTCAGCTGAATTTTGCTATCCTATACTAGAGTAAACTCCCCAAATCCCCCCTATCCTAGAGTAGCTGTTTCCCTAGTCTAGATAAAATCTTCAACCAACTGATCAGTTTCCTGAAAAATGATACCCTATTCTAGACCCAAACGCTCTGGCTTATATACCCTATCCTAGAGTAAACTGCTTGAAAATCATACCGTTCACAGCGGCACATACCTATATAGCCCATATATGGCAGTAATCCCCCCCCCGGGACAGAGACTCGTGTTTCCTCGCGATAGAAGGCGGACAAGTTTCAGTAATATCAGACTCGCGCATTAGATATGATTGCTGTACTAACTCAATAATAAAACCGCACTCTGAGGCCCTCTGTCTAAATATTTGGAGTGCTGAATGATAGCGTTGAAAAAAATGACAGATCTGTCAATCTTTGAAAACGCGGTACTATTGCATTGATGGAAATATCATCCTTCAGCGTTAATTTTCTGTGCCAGTCGCGGTGAATTACCTGTAAAAAAACTTCCATCAAATTTTGGCTGTCTCCGTTATTTTCTCTCAATACGTTTCGCATCCGGGCGATCACTGGCTTTCCTGGAGCTGTTATTGGCAGAAAAGAATTGGTCAGTCACTTTATTACTTAGAATTTGAAGTGTTGTGGAAGTAAGGATTTATTGCCAGTTTTAGTTAATGGATAATAAAATTAGAATCTTTCAATCTTGGTTTCGCTTCTGAAAGATTCACTTGACATTAGGCTTTATGTACTGTGTTGCTTTGTAAATATGTTCCGGTGTGGAAAGGCGAATAGAAGAAAGCTGCTCAAACTTGGCCTGATCATGGCTTTCTAAAAAAGCGTTTGCCTGGGAGACTACCAAATAAAGGTGTCATGTGACATAAGTAGTCACTAATGTAATGTTTACTCAAAAATAGCCGTCCCGATATTAAAAGTTCGGCCCGATGTATCGTAGTCCTTTGATCTCCTTGGATAACTACTCATCGTGGATACACATGCCATTTGTATACTTAGGCTATTTAACGGCGTTCAGTTTCAAGGTTTATTCACTGCCGGGGAAGGAATATAACTCCGTGTTTACCGATGGGGAATTCTACTCATGGGGAGAGTTTTACAGAATCGAATCATCCGCTTGAGTTGAAAATTCTTTTTTACGCTGCGTTTGTTGTTTCGTTGCCGTTAACCGTTGTAGGTAAGCTTTATTCTACTACATACTGTGGTAAAGTAGTGGTCTACTAAGTTCATTGTAAGTTCCTGACAGAACTAAGCGAATTTTACTAAGAACAAAGATGGGAAATGAACAATGGAAATTTTCTGTATGTATCCTGAAAGGAGATAACTTTCCCCTTATTATAAACTAAGACAGCGGCCTTTATTAGTTTTACTCGCATTAAATTCCTTGATTGTAGTCCGGGCACAAACCAAATGTTAGTGCAATAGTAGAATATTGCCAGCATTCCTTATCCGTTTTCAAGAACGCCCTCAAATCAAAGTTTATTTAGACCTTCAAACTGAATATGTACGGTAACTCTATTTCTTCCGCAAGTGTGAGACTTTGATATATATACTTTCTATTCCCGGGTTTATAAGAAAACGAACGGGAAATTATCGGATCGATTTTTCCGCAGTAACAATTCGCATCTCGTTTATGGGGTCCGCTAGCAAGAAAGAAAGATATCGAAGAGACAGATCTCTGGTCTCTTTTTACAAAGTACCTTCAGATGATTTTTATGCTCAAGCTGAGTAAACAGATGTTAGCAATGAAAAGCTGTTTTATCTCGCCACAACAGTACTCCATTTGGCAGTCTTAAATTCAGACTCGCACTGCGATTTCTGAAAAAATAAAATACATTTGAAATGAAACTACATGAAAAAAATGTGTTGTTGTTATTGGTGATAGCTTTTCAGTTATTTCATCTGGTGTGCCAAATTATATTTTGAATTTGATATTATTTCCCTGAATTAAAATTAAGCGCCAAACAGTTTCAAATGGGGAAAAAGTGTGATTGTAAATTCTCAGGTCAAATATCCACAGATAATATGTGTTTGTCATTTGCGGGCAAAGCAAATCAGGATTAATCAATTTCAATAATAAGACACCTATCGACTTGAATGTTTACGTCACCAATGTCACCTCCAACATCGATTTGTATTTTTTCCTTATTTTCGTCTTAATATGGTCTTTTTCGGCTTTGTAACCTGTATGGTAATGAATATTGCACACAATTTAATAGATTAATTTTAGTCTAACTGCATAACCGTCCCAACAGCCTGAAGTTTTAATATCCGTGATATCCGTGAGAACTTTAGGCAACTGAAGACGCGTGAGATTTAAATGTATCATCGGCTGTCTTCTCCAATTATCTTTTTACTTAATCAGGAAACTCTAGATGATTCATGTTTTGGTGGTCCTTGCTTTCTATTCAAATGTTTGCGGCGCTCGCAGAATACTCTACCTACCTACAGAAGCGCTTTCCGGGGGCACTCAAGAGAAGTTTGGGAAGGGGTGTCAAACTATTAAAACAGGGTGGCTGATTTCACTACCCTGTAAATGATTGACAATCATTTTAATTTTTCAAACCTTTATTTCCAACGATCCTTCAGTTTTATTTTAATTATTCTTTTAGCCCATGTAGAAAGTTTCACTTGCAACCAAATTATCGAGCAAACTGGAAGAAATATATTTTTGGTTTATTATTTGTTTACTTGTTCATCGCTGTGCCATCAAAATCAGTTGGCTGTTTAATATACTGCATGAAGCTGTTTGTACTGATTTGACGTCCAAAACTGAGAGAGATCTCGACCGGCACCAGTCAACAGTTTGTCGCTGTGGACTTTCTGCTATATATCAACTTTAACCGAACATACCCGTCAAGGCCTATTAGGGAAGTCCCCCCGGATGGCGTTTTCAACGTCAGCACAAGATGAAAACAGCTGATGAATCAACGAAGCAACTTGTCCAAATAATCAGTGAATACTCCGAGTATTTTAAACTTATTGAAAACTCAGAAACAGTGACGTTCTTGTCAAAAAATGACAGAAAATAGCAAAACCTCCATTTAAAATTTGAGAAGTTTTATTAAAGATAGAATAGAGTTGACATACGCCTTATATGTTTAAATAAAACAAAATTAAAACAAATGCCCGATTGATTGAAAATGACAAAAAACCCGAATACGATATCTTAGGAGGAAATTATTTCGGAAGATTAAGGTTGTGTAGATGATGAAATAGGCAATTTGGTTGTCGGCTCAACTCATTGATATCGTAGATTTGAGGACTATGATAAGGGAAATTAGCATTTAGAATCATTCTCTCATTGCCGGTCCATCCTGGGACAAATTTGATCAGATTGCATTGCATCATTCGAATTCTAAACGAAGATTGTATCTTCTTTGAATTCGTCCTTCCCAGCATTCCATACGACCCTTACTTCTTTTCTTTAGCCGTCTAAATCCGCCAAGCTCGTCCCCAGGGTCTTCTCGATTTCCAGTAACTCGATTTCCAATATGGCGGCGGCCGCTGCTTCAATGGAAATCGAGAAGACCCTGGGGACGAGCTTGGCGGATTTAGACGGCTAAAGGTACCCAGGTTAACTACCATTTCGTCGTACTCAATAATTATTATGTTAGTGAACGAAAAATTGCGTAACTTTACAGAACGATATTTTGTACCACTGAATCTAAACTGTATGATAGTTAACTCACTCGTAATAATTTAAATCTCACTTTAATTAATTTCGTCATTATATTAATTGAAGGTAACCTCTTTATGCTAGGGAATGGTTTCGTTATTGTAGCAGTTATCCTCAATAAGAAGCTTCGATCAGCTACCAATGCTTTGATAGTGAGCCTGGCCTTCGCTGATCTTCCGGTGGGCGTGGTTATTTTTCCCTTAATATCTGTCACTCAGGTATATGGTCCAGACCTGTCTTATGGTCAGCAGCTATGTCACACAACCATATTCCTTACAGAAGTGTTCTTGAGTGCATCGTGTCTTCATTTGCTTTTCATTAGTGTGGATAGATATTTAGGTAAGACAAACAAAACAGAGTAAATATAGACTAATACTTAACTAAAGCGATACTTTCAATGTAACGGTCAATGGCTCCTGGAATAATTTTTTGATGATGAGCCAGTCAAGTATCTGCACTTAAATGCGGATGTATGCGCCCTGTGAACCTTGTATCATTGCAAAATACTACTGCAGGTTCTAATGGGCTAGAATGTGCGCTCCGACAGATCACACGAAAAGGCACTCAGTAAAAACGACACCCGACACTTGGGGCCGGGGCGCGGCATCTCATACAATGCACGACAGCCCAACCCGTATAGTAGAAATATGAGAGGAATATGTTACGACAATACATATAGGATTTAAAAGTCTTTTGCCTGAAAAGTTCATCAACCTTTCAATGTACGTACGTACGTACAGTAGAAATCTGGTAACTCAAACTCTGAAGGGAAACGAAAAACAGTTCGAGTTAGCGGGGAATTCGAGTTAATTTATCGGGATAAATTTCAATGAAATTTGGATCAAGGGAAACTGGAAATTTAGTTCGAGTTAGCGGGGAATTTGAGTTATCCGAGTTCGCCTATCCAAGTTCTACTGTATAATAGATGTGTTCTTTGTTGCCGCTATGACGGCTGGGAAGGGTGGAAAACTTCCCCTTCCTGAGTTCGGAAGCAAACAGGCAAACGGGATTCACTCCGACTCTGCAAAATTTAACAATCTGAAAATAATATTTTGATTCTTCTTAGCAATAAATAACGCTTTACGCTACCAGGCTATAGTCACAACCAGACGCGTGGCTTATGTGATCGGCTTTATTTGGACTCTGTCTCTTGTGGTGTCTGTATTTCCGTACCTTGGCTGGCGAGATGTCCGTCCTCGTATTCAAGGAGGGTACTGCCAGTATCACCTGCATCTCGCGCCAAGCTACATCCTCTTTCTACACGTTACTGTCTGCCTGACACCGCTGACCATCACCTGCCTGGCTTATTGTAAGATATTTCAAGTGGCGCGGCTTCAGGCTCATAAAATTGCTTCTATGACGGTGAGATGCAGGATACAATGCTGCTTCTTTGTTTTTGGGAGAGGAATAGGGGTCTGGGAACCCGGGAGAAGTGTACGGGAAGTGGTAGAGGAAAGGACGGGAAGCGGTGGGAGTTGTAAATGGGTGGAAAGTGGGAGGAAAGTGGAAATTACGTAATAATGTTCAAGAATTCGCAATCGAAAAAAGTAAAAAAGGGAGAAGCCAAACAGAAAAAAAAGGAGGATGGCTCCTCATTAGAATATACTTGTGCGGTGATCTAGAGTGAGTTAACTTGATTTTACTAACCGTATTTCCTCGAATAAGCACATGGGCGCTTATTTCAGCCAAAAAGGATGGGCGTTTAATCGAAAGGTAGGGCCGCTTATTACGTTTTCCTTTACACGAACTACAGAATGGTCTAGTTGTTCCTGAGAAAAGTGCACGACAATAGGACAAAAATTAAAAGAGGAGATGACGCACATAAAGGAACTCTGCAAGCACATGGATATAGAAATAAATGGAAGTGACATAATGAAAAAGACGGACTTTATATTCGCCGTTACTGATTCCTCTATAGTCGAAGCCGAAACTGTTACATAGAGAGTGCGTTTTCCTTTTATGACCTATTATTAATTTGATAAAGTGAGGGGGAGGGGGGCACAGTATTCAAGAGGGGGCGCTTACTGGATATTATGACCTTAATCCGTTAAACAACTTACAAGAAATAATGACGAAAAGTTACAAGTAATCAGAAGAAAACGATGAAATATAAAAATATTATAATTGAACCAATGGCCAGTGTCAGGTAATAACTGAAGAACCATCATTCTGAATTGCATCCGCGGTATGTTGGACGCCGCCACCCGTTCTGTAGTAACTTAGGATGATTAGTGTAACAACAACGATAAACACGAGATTTTGGGTCAGTAACAGTAGTTCAACGCCTCTGCTTGGTACCCTCAGGTGAAAAGCTAAGCCGCTTTCTCATTTATGACAGTGAAATATTTAAGTGATGACAGTAATGCCAGTCAGGCTGATTTAACAACAGAACAGGAACGTTAGTTGACGACGGCGTGCGCAAATCAAACAACTGAGTAATGGCAGAGCGGCAAATTGGGCACCGGAAGTCGAGTTTAGTCCCTCCCGGTTCGCGCTTTCCCGTCGTCAAATGACCTTCCCATTCTGTTGCTAAATCAGCCCAATAATTTGATGACTTTTCGATACCGAAGTCTTAACTTTCATTGTCCTTTTCTTCATAGGTAGGCGGAACTGAGCAGGAAAAACGGCGAAGAAAGTTGGATAAGGAGCGAAAAATCACTCTTTCCGTGGCAATTGTCGTTGGAGTCTTTATTCTCTGTTGGGGGCCGCTCAACATCATGCTTATCATCTACTGCGCATGTCAGAGCTGCGTCTCGTCCATCGCGATAGAATCCGCCGAAGTGTTCTCGATGCTCAACTCGGGATGTAATCCGCTAATATACGGGACCTTTAACAAAGACTTTCGGAAAACATTCAAGGCGATCGTGCGGTGCCAGTGGCGTCAAATGAACCGAGAAGACATCGAAGGGACAAGCAACATGAGTATGACTGCGTCACGTGGTTCAGTCGACAGAGTGAAATAGGGAAAAAGCTAGCCTGTTCCAGAAAAAAAGCAAACAAACAAAAAACAAAGCGAGCGAAGCAATAGTTAAGATTGAGGAGAGCCGCTCTTCTCAATTTCCCCTTCTTCGTTTTCCCCCCCCCCAATCTCGCTCTCCAAATATATCTGGGTCGGGTTGTTCAAACCTGAATTAATATGACCCATGGGCAGAGGCCTGAGAATGAAATTTAAAGTTCAATTTGTTCATTGGATGCTCTACAAAGAATTAGAGAAAATGACACGATTAAATGCGTTTGAACGAGACAAAAAAAACCCGGATTAAAATTTAGCCCTCGGTTTTTTTTTTTTGCGTTAAAAACTGGGGACCCTGAACACTGATCTCGCAACCTCGCCAAATGAGGACGAAGCTCCGTCTTTGTCGTATTGACCCGATCTGTTGTCAACAAAAGCAAAGGTTATCTTGTTACACCTGGGACAAGCTATGGGAAAGTGGTTAATGCTTTTCTCTCTGCACTGAGTGCATCTCTGCACTGATCATGAGTGCTCGGCCGGATTTCAAATCTGGCGGCTAGTGCTATCAGCCGGAAAGAACACTGAAAACTGGTTGCGGCGGAGCAATCGGATTTTTTCGGCCATGGATAAACTGAACTTTGTATTATCAGGTGTTCTCAGTGTTAATAAAGATAATCTGGCTTTGAGAGAACTATTCCTTTTTACTCTTTAAAAACATTAAAACGGTTGGCATCTCTTAAAGGGAAAGATTTGTTAACCGCGGTAACAGATAATCCGCAGCATGTAAACCACCTCATTAAAAAGCAACTTCAAGGCAAACGCCAAACAATGTTTATAAGCCGCCTTTTTTCCAGTTGTTATTTTAAGATTGAAAGGTTCAATTAATCAGTTAAATACAGTATAAAACTCTTTTATTTTCAAGCTGAGATCACCGTTGCGTATCGGAATTCATTATTCCCCTTAGCAACTGTCGTAGCATAACACAAAGGTCAATAATAGTTGCTCAATTTGCGAAACAATACTGTGGCTTCATAAATCCGCAATTTGTTGTTAAGTTTATTGGGCAGAGGAGGTTCAAGGAGGTAATATTGGACTTCAAGTCAGAACACGCAACATCACGAGATTGATTCTTACACACACCATGAAGGGTACTTTGACGACTCCGAGTATGTTAAGGCTGAAGGAGTCAATATGCGATGGACGAATCTACCAGACGAGGCATCTACTAGAGAGCGGAGTGGACGTGAACTTTGCAGATGAAGAAGGATTAACTCCTCTCATGCGCGCCGCCCAGCTACCGGACGAAAAATCCCGAACGCGTCACAATTTGCTGAAACTTTTATTGCAGCATGGTGCGAATGTAAACACCATTGATCAACAAGGTAGACATGTGTTATCTCACGCCTGTATGAACGCGAAAGAAGACATTGTCCGACTTATTTGTACCGTGGCAGATCAGGATGTCGATTTAAATCTGCAGGATCTTGACGGGAATACTCCACTAATGCATTCTGTCAGAACGGGTAACGTCGACTTGGTAAAGTTTCTTCTTAATGAGTTGAAAAAATTTCAAGTCGACATTGACGTTAGGAATCACGAAGACAGAACTCCTTACTTAGAAGCTAAACGACTCGGTCACGAAAATTGCGCGAAGATTTTGCTGACCGAAGGTAATGCATCAGCGAATATTCAAGTGAACCCTTTCTTGGAGTTTATTTCTTCCAAGGATGAGCCCCCTTTAAAAGGCCAAGTTCGTAGCTTTGTAGATAGCAAATATGGAATTAATAGAACCGTCGACACAAGACCCGCTAATCCGCAGAGAGTTCAAAACAAGAAAAGTGTTCTTTTAAAGGAATCTGTACAGTTACCTTCGGACAAATTTATTGTGAAGTCTGAAGAGAAAAAATTGAAACGTAAGACGAGAATATCAAGAAAACTTACAAGCTCAAATGAAACTAAAGATCTAGAAGAAGTGAAAGATTTAAAAACGCAACCTCGAAGGCGAAAATATGCGTGGAATGACTCAGTTTCCGCACCTGGTCTGACATCACGCAAAGATGAAGTTGGGCGAGAATTAGGATTAGAGCAACCAGCGGAGGCTGCTATTGAAAATATTGTGAACAACTCATCTCCACGCGCTAAATCGCCTAGTGTTTACGACCAAGAGGCCCTCCAGAGCCCGAGATTTGTAATGGCTTTGCCCAAAGAGAATAAACCTGTCGCAGCAGGCCGTGGAATAACTAGAGCAAAACTAGCAAAACCTACATTAAGCCGACGATTAAGCGAACAGTCATTGATGCCACGAATGTCACGAACACATTTTCGTTCGTCTACCGGCAATCTCGCCAAAGACAGAGCCACCATGGATGACGAATACAGCTGGTACTCTCATTTTAGTGTCTATAATTCTTCATCTTTAGCTTTCTTGAGTCAAATAATGAACCTTTACGCTGAACAGTTGTCTCCGGAGTCTTCCTTCCGTCCAGGCGTAAAGCCCGTTAAAACCGACGAGCCGAAGGTACCCAAGATCTCCGTTGCCTCTATTCCCGGCGACGACTTACGCTCAGAAAATGATCGATATTCGCCCGTGAGGTCGGCGATATCAAGCAGAAGTAACAGTGCCACTAGCTTAGCTTCGAGTCGAAGATTTCAGTCGGCTGTATCACGAACAGTCAACTCGTATCTAACGAGTAAAAAATCCCTTATAACATTGAAAGTTCAAGATGCAGACTTTTGACACCCCTCTACAGTTCAAATTTTTACGAAAGTGTATTATAATAAGGGGAAGAAATGTTCATCCTTGTTTCATTTTGATTTTAGAAGTACCTTTCTATCCTTATTTATTAAGATACAGAGAAATATATCCTCTAGTACTTTTTACTAAAGGAAGCTTATAAATGAATGTATAAATAAATAAATAGATAAGTAAATAATGGAGATAAAATACCCGCCGCTGCATGACTCGTCAGAGAACAGAGTAAGAAAGTAAACTGACGATCTAGTGGACTACTTGCAGTCCGCCTTTTCTCTTAAATCTGTTCATTTAATTTCTCACGGACCTTATGAGTCAGGGCACTTGCAAACAACGACGCGACATTACACTGGGAACTAAGGAATTAAGGCGATAAAGCACCCAATTCGAGTACTTCTAACATCAATCATGTTCAACAACAACAAAAAAAAACCCGTTGTGCTTGGTATCAGTCAAGCTATTTCAAATTTGGAATGGCTATCGCAGTCGCACGCAAGTTTGCGACCAGGGGATTTTAAACGAGAACAATAACAACAAAAAAGATGTTACGCCACTTCTTGTTTTCTATATTCCCAAGTGCGTGTCGGGAACGGAACCTCAGCCCCTGAATTTTTTTTTGCTTTTTCTTTTGCTTTTTTTTGCGGAAAATAATGGGAGGCTGTACAAAGTTAATTAAAATAGTAGTTCTTTTTACCCTACCCCGTGTGCACGCAGCATTAAATGGCGCTAATTAAGTACAGTCCTCTGTCAAGCTCTGTACTCGAATCATGATTCACTCTCTGCACATGCTGGGTGAATTTGACACGAGAAATAAAAATCTTTACATTTGTAAACACAAAAAAGGCAAAAAATGAAAACGAAAAACAAACAATAAGGGAGAAGGGAAAAAAAAATGAAAAAAAAATAGTGCCCCGTGTGAGGATCGAACTCACGACCTTCAGATGCCTAATGTATGATTATGAGACTGACGCGCTGCCTACTGCGCTAACGAGGCACTTCCTGTAAACGTAACAGCAAAAGAACTTAATAAACACTCGTAGCAATGGCTTTCCACAAGTTGCTCGAGATTTTCCAAAAATTTTCCCGCAATTTCTCAAAAAGTCGCTCAAAAGTTGCTCAAAAAACAATCAAAAGTTGCTTTTTGTAATGAAAGTTGCTCAATAGTTGCTCGAAAAAACAAAAGCTTTTTTGCTCTGATGCTAAAATAAGCAAATTGTACAACAAAAGTGAGATTTCTAACCCCATTTTGCGGCTTAACCAGCGTTGCTTAATAACTTTGTTCTCAATTAAAACCAAAAAATGTAATGAGCCAATAAAATGGTTCAATAACCTTCTGCACCCGAGACACTCAAGTCAGTCCGGTGAGAATTTTCGTCCACTCATTTTGAATTTTCTCTAAAGACCGCTGACCTAGCAACCCGGCTACTTTCACTTCCGGTTTTAATTGGATACCGGAAATATCTCGACAACCCATAATATTTCGCAATTGCTCCATATCCTCATTTGATAGGCACATGAAGTTAGACACTTCTGCCAAGTTTCATGATTTTATGCATGTCCTCCACCGTGCCCCATTATTTTCAATTTTCCGTCATCAGATTTGATGCACCCACGCTATTGTCGTTCAGCGTATGCACGCATGCGCATGCAAATTGCCCTCCTGTTGACCGCGCTTATTCAGGAGAGGTACTTGATAAAATGCGATCAAAAGAGAACAAAACTGTCGCTTGGTTGCATGGCTCAGGTGGGAGAGAAGGGTCTGGTGAACGGGAGGTCACGGGTTCGAACCCCGGCCTGACCAACACTCGGGGTCTTTAAATAACTGAGAAGAAAGTGCTGCCTTTGTAATGACATCTGCCAATGGTTAGACTTTCTAGTCTTCTCGGATAAGGTCGAAAAACCGTAGGTCCCATCTCACATCACTTACAGTTATCTGGTTTTTGTGGGACGTAAAAGAACCCACGCCACTGTTCGAAAAGAGTAGAGGACGTAGACCCCGTTGTTGTAGTCTACCTTCACACATCACATCATTCACATCATGGCTTGGGTGGGTAGACTAAGCTCATAAATGAACTGAGAGCGGCTGCCAGTGGCGCCGTTGTATGCTGACGTCCGAACTTACTGTTCACATGTTAAAATGTATTGTAAGAGGGTACGTCTGTTGTCCTCTCATCCACGACTCTTCATTAATTCATTCATTCATTTAACTGCAAACTTTATTGAAAAACTATGAATTACAACAACAGTAAAACCCAGTATGTACTACACTTCAATTAACAGGGGACTGGTTATTACCTTCAACAAAACTATCGTGCCTATTACTGCTGTCGTGAAAATGAATAATCAGCGAAAGGGAATGAACGATTCTCTCTTGATCAGCAGAGGCAATGTATTTTATGGAGGCTGATGTTTACTAAGAAAATCAAATTCTATTAACCACAATCACTGACGGAATCCGGGATATTTTTGCTTGTGGAATCCGGAATCCAGAAAAATCCTGTATTTTCGGAATACAGCTCAAGGAATCCCGGAATTCCACTAACGATTGGAATCCAGACTTTGGCTACTGACAAATACTGGAATCCGGGACCTGGAATCTAGAATCCACAGCTCGGAAACCAGAATCCAAGACTGTACTGGATTCACTTTCATGGGGCGATTCAGGATCACGATGCGAACATTCCATCTTGTGATTTGTTCTAAGCCTACTTTAGTTTGGTCTGCCTTGCCTGTCTAAAGCAAGTGGTCGCGCACGTGAAAGCAAAGCCAGTTTAAAGTTAAAGTTGGGTGAAAGTGAAGCAACAAACAAACAAAACACGTATTAAGAGTGGCTGTCTGTAAGGATCGAGAATCGGCGGTCAGCGACCCATTTGGCGAATCCCTGATATTTTGCCCAAAGCTAGCCTTGGGTAGACTATTTTCAAAAATCATATTCAAAAGTTCCAACGATTTTGTTTATTTGTGAAAATTGAGAAAAATTAAAAGTGCAGTCAAAATGCGGTCAGAGTGCGGTTTTTTGGTTGATCAAAAGGTGCGATGATGAACCTCCGCCGAAGTCTTAAAATGAACTCAGTTGACCTCAAAATAACAAGAATTTCAAAGCAATCAATCTTCTACACTACCAATGTTTTAATCTTTTCAAATATGATAGTACAATGGTTTTTCAGGCCATTTAGAAAACACCTTCGGAGACCGCTTCCGATAGCGGCAAAATGTAGCTAATATTCATCAGGATAAAAATGTTCCTGGTATGTCAGTTTTTAACAATTAAGCATTGCAGAGCTAAAATATAGGTCTTAAAGATTTACCAAGTAAAGTTTCAAGGTCGAACTCGAAACGCTTCCCTTCGAAGGAATCGGAAGTCTGAGCAATATCAACGTGCAAAATGGCGCTGGATTTATAACAAACATCTAACATTATAGTTACAATCACTTGCGTTAAAATATATCAAACTAAATTTACCTTTGACAATTTTAAGTTTAAGCATTGCAGAGCTAAAATATAGGTCTTAAAGATTTACCAAGTAAAGTTTCAAGGTCTATCTCAGTACGCTTTCTAAGAGACAAGTCAGTTAACTTTGTAATATTATCAGCGCTTGTCAACAAACATTAAAAAACATTTTTCTCGTCCCGTCACTCGATCAGAAGGGCACTTTCCATATCTTCTTTCGTTTGAAATTCACAAGTCGTTTTAGATTAAGTTAAACGCAATAAACACATTTGGCCTCTCAGACCTAAACAGTTTCAAAAGAAAGATCGGTTGAAAAGAATTACTAACCCCGCATATCTCAAGACTGCCTGGAATTTTTACTTCAGTTACTTGATCTTCCTAAAGCGCCGTATCCTGTAAATGCAACCTTGTTTCGATGTCTCAAGCGCTCAGGATGCGAGCAATACAGTACTCCAAATATTTTTAATACTATCAACTCACGACTTTTCGTTGAATTGCACAGAAGTGAAAAGGAGTTAAACAAAGTAATCCGAACCCAAACAAACGAAGACTGCACTAATTCGGCGCTATTGTAAAATTGGCACTGACACTTGGCTGTAAATTACTGAGGTTATCAAACGCAGTTGTTGGCCTTCAAACACTCCTGTTTTATTACTATCCAGGACTGTTTTTTCCAATATTTTACTTAAGTCCGGGTCCTGTATGTACTCCTGATCAATTTTCCCTAGATGTAAGAATCCCAGATCTGTTCAAGATAGTTTTAAGATAGGTTATAGAGTGTTTCATGAGAAACAGATAGCTTTCAAATAGCCTAACTTTTCACTATCTTTTCCAAGATAGCTTTTGGATAGCATATTAAATGGCTTTATGGACAATGGATAGATTTAAGATAGGCTATCTTTTTACTATCTACCACTAAGTTAGTACTAAGATCGCAGAGAGTTTAACTTTACAAAATGAAAATAGCAATCAGATAGCCTAGCTTTTAACTAACTCCAGTGAAGATAGTTTTCAGATAGCTGAGATAGTAGTTGGTTAGGCTATCTTTTTGCTATCTACATAGGTAGTTAGTTTTAAGATACTCTATCTATCTCCTAACTACCTGGCAGATATATAATAGTTAGCACAAAACTAGGACAGAGATAGCTATGCACTATCCGCTCAAACTCTAAAATAGCAAAAAGATAGCGAGTTTTGTTGAGGAAGTAGATTTTAGATAGTTGAAACTAGTTTTAAGATAGCAATAAACTAGCAATAAGATATGATCATTTTTGTAAGGGACCATGAAATGACTGAAACCGAAAACGAAATTTACATTTACCTTTTCCTTTTCTCCATTTTGTGTCCACCATTGCAAACTTTCAGTAAAAACACATCAGAGGCTTTAAAGTTCATATTCAGATCCATTTGTGGCGCTTCGAAATGCGTGCATGCTTGGCGCACAGGAAATTTACCAGAAAGTCACGCAACCGTGCGCACGAGCACACCCGTCACTATTGTGCAACAACATTTCGCAACAGGTTGAAAATACAGCGTTGGTCATATATCCTTGTTTAACTCGGTCTCATCTTTTCTTGAATGGCTCACTGTAGCTACAAAGCGCTTCTAGGTAAGGTCACCCCTTCCCAGGGCACACCTTGCGGTCAGTCCACAGATTATCCTGGTCAGCTGGAATGTATTGCGCTCAAAGACTGTACAAAAGATGTAACTGGCCATTTAAAGACCTTAAACCTCAGCGCAGATGAGGGTTTAGGATCTGAAATAAAGTTGCTGTTAGCCAGAGCAGGTAAATACCACCCTAAAATATAATATTTTGGTCTTTTTATCAGCTATATTATTATTATACGTTTTACTTTTTATCATCATGCACTTGAGGGTGGTTATTCTCAACAAATTCTCCTTCTAGGGGTTTTCTCTGTGGAAGAACATCACTATGCCTTGAGCATTTGTCCAAGGCACAGGGCTGATTTCGGCATCCGCTGGAAGACAGGGAAGACCATGTGTACAGTGCCCAAAGAATTAGCAGTACATAAAACTACAACTGCTAAAGGGAGCCACCGAGTGGATAGCTTGAAGTCGGCGTTTATTTTCAAAACCACACATGTATTCCAGTTGGATCACGTAAGTTGCAAACTTTTCTGCGAAGATTGGTTAGATAATGGTAATTTTTCACGGTTAAGAATCACATATAAGGTGGCACACAAGGCGAGGAGTTTGCTAGCACTCTATTAAAGAAACAGTAAGAAATTTCCACGAGACAGTGACAAGAGAGGAGAGAGCGTGCAAGGAGAGGGAAAGGCGCTTTTAAGATGTATTAATTATCACGTGTCGCTTGTTTGTATTACGCAGGGGTCATTTTTGCCTTGGGGGTGCGGGTAATCCAAGCACACCTTGCAGTCCTCATTCAAAATTATTGGTCTTGCGGGCAGGAAGTTCTCTTCTTTCTATGTATGTTTTAAATGTATTTGTTTATACAGTATATTGACATTAATTTCTGTTCGTCTGTTCATTTTGTGTTGCTTTTGTTTCTCCATTTAAAGCAATTTGTAAACAATGCAACGAGTATATCAGCAAACAGGCCATGCCCAACCAAACTCTAGTGTTTGCTTCAGGTGGGGTGGAGCCCGTCCCCGGGGTCTCGCACCTGCAAGAGTTACCCGAGCCCCATTTGTTGGTAAGTAGTAATAAGAAGCACTAGTGTAAATGGTTCGCTTAAGTGGCTCCTTTAACGATGGTATGAAATGTTTTCCTTCCAAAAAGAAATTCATCATTCATTCTTTCATTTCCTTTTTAATCCGTTTTTACTTTAGGGATTTCTTTTCATTTCTTTCTTTCTTTCTTAACGGGTTTGTGTGGGTGTTGGCTTATGAATAAAATAAAAACAAAATAAACGTTTTATCATGCTTTATAGTAATTACACAATATATTTGTTTGAACTGTTTCAGGTAGAGGGGAAACAGGCCGTTCAAGTGCAGAAACAACTAGTAGTGAGTTATCGTCTGATGACCTTGCAACTGAACTGAAGAGGCTGGAGATATCGTCAAGAGGGCGGGATGATGAGACGTTCCTCAGTCCGGATACCGGAAGTCTTGTTTCTTCCACGAGTGACGAGGCCCCAACCACTATGCAAGAACCTCGTAAAAAGTTGAACCAATATCTGGTTTCGAAGAACATCCCGCCAATAACTCAACCCTGGATGGAATGGGATAAAGCTGGAGAGAGCACTAAGAAGAGATACACCAAAAGGACAGTGGAGATCTTTTCTTCAGTCCTACAAGATCTTACACCCAATTATGCAGGTTCTCTTTGGTTAGCGGTCGTCTCGTCCCCTGCCATGAACAAAGCTCTTAAACTTGATGAATTATCACAAACGTCCAAGAATTATCTTCAGGCCTTAGCAGAGGCATACGGTAAAGCTCAAGGGTGGGAGACAAGAAGGCAGATCTTGTCTATCATGTCAGGCGTTGCCAGCTTCAATGATATTTCAAGATTTATACCAGGCTTAACTAGATATCGCTATAGCTTGGCCAACCTGCATCGCTTACAGTATGGTAGCGGGGCTCCCACAACGCACCACCCTTCGCCGAGGATAAAGGTTGATCTGAAGCAACTTGACCATTTTTTATCGTATATAACAAGTCCGCATTTGGTGCAGGATCTACCATTTGGGCAGAAAACGTTGAAACTCTCTTCTGGCCACCTGGTTGAGATACCAAACGTCATAAGGACGATGATACCCCAAAGAATAGCACGTCAGTACGCTCAGTACTGCCACGAAACTGGCTTTAAACCATTCAGTGAGCGTACTATGCTTCGTGTATTGGAGGAATGCAAGGCCTCGGTCCGAAAATCTCTCCAAGGACTTGACTACGTGGCCGCAGACGGTGCGCGTGCCTTTGAAGACTTAGAGAATTTAGTCCGCCGACTTGGAGAGCTCGGTCTCGGGAAAGAGTGGGAGTTGCAGAACGTGGAATTGCTCAAGGGTTCAAAATTATACCTTAAAAGTGATTTTAAGGTAAGGCTTAATTAAAAATAATAATACCGTATTTTTTCGAATAAGCGCCCAACCTCGAAAAAGCGCCCACCTCGATTAGGTGCCCGGCCTCGAAAAAGTGCCCACCCCCTTTTCCTCCCACGCAAACTAAAATAAGCGCCCACCACCACCCCACCCCTTCCCCCCTCTAACCCCCCGAAAAATATTGAATAAGTACTCAAGAGACTTCTTCGAAGGCGGAGTTTTCTTCAGAGTATTTTACAGAAACCTTTTGTTACGTCTTCGCGTTTGGTACTACCATTTATTGTTTTGTTACAAAATAAACATACTACTTTTGCTGAAAATGGTGAAAATTTAATAAGCGCCCAGCCTCGAATAAGCGCCCACTCTCAAGGTCCAAAAATTTAATAAGCGCCCAGGGCGGTTGATCGAATAAATACAGTAATTGGAAAGAATTTAATCATTCTTTACAAAGACTTTAAGTATAAAATTTAAAGAATGATTTTAATTGTCACGATTTGTCACAATAAATGCTGTGTGTTTTAAACATCTTACAGGTCCACGTGTGTTCTTCCTCTGAGATTGCGAGTCATTGCAGTGTGTTTGCCTTAAGTGACTCCACCAGTCCTGATCTGCAGCAGCAGTGTAGCCACAAACACGAAGAATGCTCTGAGCAATGTGAGATCCTGCACTCAACTCTTCAGAACATTTCCTCTGCAGTAGAAAGAGCATCGTTTGCCACGCAAGATGATAAAGAAGAGGCCCTGTTCTTAGTCAACGCTTCTGTGCTTGCCATCCAGTCATGGAAATGTCATCTGCTGAGGTCGGCTCACCAGGACCAGGCTCGTTTGGACGCTATCGACGCTCTTGATCAGGAGACAGTTTTTATCGTCAACGACTGGGCGATGAAGTTTCTTCCTCATAGATACCGTGAGTCCCAAACGGACTGGTTTGGCAAGCGTGGGTTATCATGGCACATATCGGTGGTGTACAGACGGAAGGAGGAGGAACTACAGTGGCAAGCCTTTATCCACGCAGTTCAGTCCTGCAGCCAGGGGAGTTCAGCTGTGGCATCCATAATGCATCATGTCTTGGAAACACTCAAGCACGAGCACCCTGAGATAAACAAAGCCTACTTCAGACAAGACAACGCAGGCTGTTACCACTCCACTCGCACGATACTAGCTTGCAGAGAGATGGCAGCGAGCACTGGAGTAAAAGTAGTCCGCGTAGATTTTAGCGATCCCCAAGGCGGAAAAGGGGCAGCAGACCGGCTGGCTGCAAGCTGTAAAAGACATATCAGGGCGTTTATTGATGAAGTCAATGATGTTTGCACTGCCGATGAGCTTAAAGACGCATTATTATCGCATGGTGGATTGAAAGGTGTAAGAGTTGTTTCCCTTGATACGATCATCGAAACACCTGACAGTGGGCAAACTATTACTGGCATTACAAAACTGAACAATTTTGAGTTTAGCTCTACAGAGTCTGTTACCTGTTGGCGTGCGTATTGTGTTGGTCGCGGAAAAATCATCAATCCAGGATCTTCATCAAGTAAGTATGGGAATTAAAACTAAAAAGTGAGCTACTGAGAATTAATGTATGAGTTGTCGCTAAATTTAAGTTCTGTATTAAAATGCAAAAGTGTAAGACCCTTACTTTATTGGAGAACCTTACCATACAATAATTATCTGCAAGTACATGTATCAGATACCTTTGGAGTCCGACGCAATATTCTTGGTTCTGATAAATGAAGAAATGATTGTCGCAGTTGTAAGAGCAATTTAAAGAATTACCATTTTGTTCAATTTTTTGGGTGGCTTAAACGGGAAAACCCATAACTTCTACGTACGTTAGCGCGGCAGCGCTCTACTAACCGAGCTATGAATACCCATGTATTGGGAACATACGTTTATTTCTGTCATGTTTGCTTTAAAAACTTATAAATGATTTGAAAAAGAAATCAGAAAACAACTCTTTATTGGTATTAATTTATTTACCTAAGGTCCTCGATACCAAGTACTTCAGAAATCATTCTCCGAAGGAGATTTTACTTCCTTCCGATGTAAATCTGAAGAACAGGTTGGACAGACAGCTTCAACATCAGCAACTGTGGCCGAGCCATCTGGTGGCATTTCGGAAGACAGTGACCTATCCACAGGGGTTTATTCCTGTCCTCAAGACGGCTGCGTTCGTGTGTTCCAAAGAGTGTCTGCTTTAGAGAAACATCTGTCTGTAGAAAAATGTTCCCGATCCCCGGAGAAATATTCTCTAATGGATTTAGCGAAAATGGGGTACAAGACCCATTTGGAAGAAGGTGTTGGCATATTGCCTCTCTTAAAGCCCCAGTTGCTCACCAGGAGGGTCACTTTGTACCAAATGAGGGATGGGCCCTCAGAGCAGCAAAGAAGGCGTATAGATTCAGCGAAAAGCAAAAGTCTTACTTACTGGCGAAATTCTCTATCGGTCAAACAACGGGCCGTAAGCTTGACGCCGAGGTTGTGGCGAGGGAAATGAGACGCGCCCGTGGAGCAGATGGTGTGCGACTTTTCCAGTCCTCAGAATTCCTAACCAGCTGGCAGATTGCGTCCTTCTTCTCAAGGCAAAGCGCTACACTACGGCAAAAGGACCCAGCAGATGAAGCCGATATCCGGGCATCTCAAGAGGAAGCTAACTTTAGTGCAGCGAAGGAGGTCGTTGAAACTATTCAGCTCAACCATCCTCTGGTATACGATCAGTACAACCTATGTGAGATGGCGCTCAGTGGTAACTTGAAAGTCCTCAAGCTACCGATGCTTCAGCGCTTGAGCGAGGATCTCGGCCTTGATGCACCTGTCCCGCCTGTGCGCAAGAAGGCTCCATACTTGGCACTCTTAGAGGAAATAGCCAAACAGTGCACATGCCGAAAGTAACTCTTTTATTAATAGCTTCCTGGAAGTGTTTTAGCCACAACCAGTTTTATAAAACGGGTTGAAAACGGGGAGAAGGGGTACTCCCTCAAAAAATTGCCAAGGTTCTACTGGTACCTCCTTCCCAGGTTCTCCCTCTTAGGTTGGTACCTTTAAGAGGATGAAATCTGTGGAGTGGTATCGCCTAGGGTTCGACCGCAGCTGTAGCAGTACCTTTTAGGTTTTTTTTAACTATGAAAATGAAGGGAACTGTTTTGGGGTTGAACTAAAGCCACTTACGTAATGAGAATATTGCGATCAGAGCCGCCTCCACAGGAAGTGGGACTACCCCCTCCTCCCCAAGTCTGAGAGTCAATGACAAAACAAAACAAAACCAAAAAAACAATATCAAAGAAAGCTCCCCTACCGGGATGAACTAATGAAATTCATTTTATAACTGCGTTTAGCAAGACCTAAAACAAAGATCTTACTTTGAAAAATACCCTGCGAAAAATTTTTACTTCTAAACGTACTCCTTCCCCATCCCCATCGTGACAACAGGTCAAAACGTTTATCCCGCGAGTGGGAAGTTATTGTTGTTGTTGTTTTTTTTAATATTATTATTCCTACCGGAGCGTGAAAATAATACTTCGTTTTAGAAAAATACTAATTTGAGCAAAATTAACTCGTTTAAGTTTTAAGACCACGCTGGGTGGAAGGGAGAGGGTAACTGAGATTGCGTTACATTTACTGGACTCGAATATCAACATACGGTTTATGACAGAATGCCGTTTGTTTCGATTTCTTAACACATGTAGCCTCACGTGTTTCAGATACTAAAAACAAAAACTGTTTGAAATTGTGAAAACTAACGTCGATTCAAACTCTCCCTGTAGTGGAAAATGGCTTTCAGCAACGTTGTATGATTAAATACCGCCAAAAGCTATAATGTGGCACTTTGCCGGTTATTATTATTGTCGCGGTAATAACTATTTCCAAAATTTCAACGATCTTTCCAGCAAACTACCTTCGTTTTTTTTAAAGTCATACAATTAATATTTCATTCAAGAAACCTTGGCGAACGATAAATATGTAGGAAAACGTCCTGGATGCATGGATAGTTTGACACAAAGGCGGCTGGTTTAACTGATTTATCGGGTTTGTTTACATTACCTTGCGATAACCAAAGTGGACTATCTACATCAAACTGATCTGTTCAAAGCACTGGATGTGTCTCCTATGAGCTCTTGGATATTTCTATAAGCGGCAAACTTAAAATTGTCAAAGGAAAATTTAGTTTGATATTTTAACGCAAGTGATTGTAACTATAATGTTAGATGTTTGTTATAAATCCAGCGCCATTCTTGCACGTTAACATTGCTCAGAGTTTCGATTCCTTCGAAGGGAAGCGTTCCGAGTTCGACCTTGAAACTTTACTTGGTAAATCTTTAAGACCTATATTTTAGCTCTGCAATGCTTAATTGTTAAAAACTGACATACCAGGAACATTTTTGTCCTGATGAATATTAGCTACATTTTGCCGCCATCGAAAGCGGTCTCCGAAGGTGTTTTCTAAATGGCCTGAAAAACCATTGTACTATCATATTTGAAAAGATTAAAACATTGGTAGTGTAGAAGACTGATTGCTTTGAAATTCTTTTTATTTTGAGGTCAACTGATTTTATTCTAAGACTTCGGCGGAGGTTCATCATCGCACCTTTTGATCAACCAAAAAACCGCACTTTGAACGCATTTTGACCGCACTTTTAATTTTTGCCAAATTTCCCAAGTAAACAAAATCGTTGGAACTTTTGAATATGATTTTTGAAAATAGTCTACCCAAGGCTAACTTTGGGCAAAATATCAGGGATTCGCCAAATGGGTCGCTGACCGCCGATTCTCGATCCTTACAGACAGCCACTCTTAAAACGGAAACACACAAGGGTGATGAGCTGATGGAAAAGGAAGGAAGAAAAAGATCAGTCATTATTGTCCACCAGTCCTCAGTTCATGATCTTTTTCTTTCAGCTGCTTCAGCTTCAACTCAGTTCCGCTTTCCTCACATATCATGGTTATATTTACCTAGTACTCATTATAACATAAGTAATTTGAAATGAAAATTCTTTATTAAAATCTTCTCTTTCACCATGCCTTTTTGTAATGGCACTACATAATCATGGTTATTAAATTTATTGTCAGAAATTTTAAAATGTGCCTCTCACATTTGCAAGAGCTTGTGTCGGACGTACTGTGGGTGAACTTATTTTTTTAGATTATGCAAGACCTAGTACACACTCAAGTCACTATATTATAACTGAACGTATAGTGCTTGTCAGCTGATTTGTTACAAAATTACCCAAAAGCGCGTTTGAAACTATTTCTCAGTGTGTTTCCAGTGATCTCATTGAGCAATGCATCAATGACAGTGACTATAGAAAACTTGAATCAAAACAGCTACAACATCTGAAACTATTTTTCTTAACATAATCGAAAGCTAATCACACCTATACCGACACTTGAATCGAGATCAGAGAACGCGATTACAGTTATATCAGTCAGTTCATTTGTTGTCTTCCAAATGCTCTTCCTCCTCAGCCCAAGCTTTCTCTATTTCATCCCAGCTTTCCTCGGACAAGTCTAGAGTATGGAATCAAGATGGAACATATATTTCATTTTAACAAAATCAGTTCAGTTTAAGCTAACAATTAATCTAACGACAAACTGACCCTGTACGTATGCGCACATTTAGTCAAGTGAAATGGTTATAAAACCCGCTGTGACATCACTTTTTGTTTACTTTTTTGGACATGACCGGCGTGCACAACGTCCAGTAGCATTCTTATCGTTTTGAACTTAGTGACCAATAAAAACATCGCATTAATTTATTTAGTCTTAATTTGCTGTGAAAATAAAATGCTTGTAGTTTGTTTACCCACGGAGCGCTTAGGAGTTCAAAAGAACTGGTTGAAAAATGTCCGTGCCTTTCAAATCTAATTTTGAATTTGGAAGGGTTGGTTGTTACGGAGAGGGGAAAACCGGATCACCCAGAGAAAAGCCTTTCGGAGAAAGGGAGAGAACCAACAACAAACTCAACCCACACATGACTTCAACGCCGGGAATTGAACCTAGGCCACATTGGTGGAACGCGAGTGCTCTCTCCACTGCGCCACAGGATTGTGCACGGTCAGGAAGCTTCGGACATAAACTACAGAACCGTTGTTTTTACCTTTGATGTTTGCCGGCTTTCATAACCAGTCTCCTTGACTAACTATGATGTGTGTGAGGAATGAAGATTTTTTAAGGCAATAATGTCCATATTTTTGTTCATACTTATGGTCCTCAGTCTGGTGATCACCAGTTTCTTATGCTTAAACTTATGTTAGTACATTCTTTACGAGATGGCCCTTTGTATGATCAAGAACGGCAAATCATAATTCTCGTAGTATTTATAAACAGAATCGTCTAGTAAACATTGTCTGTGGGGAGGTAAGGATGTTAAAGAACTTAGAAAATATTTTGAAAAAAAAAAAAAAATCAAATTCGGCTTTCGTATGATATGATGAATCATGCAGATCTCGGAGGTTGTTATCCACCTCGGCCATAGGTCCGGGGTTGGATAACACCGATCTCAATCTGCATTTATTCTTCAATATCATTCATGTCATACTTAGCCTCATTTAATAACTATTATATTACTGATTTTACCAGAATAGCAAAATGGTAAATATTGAAAGGAAAATATCTATAGAGAAAAAAAAACAACACTGAAAATGTATTCTATAGAGCAAACAGGCAGGATCTTACCAGAAATAATCTTCAAAACAATTGCGTATCCTTGAATCTTTTCTTCGTCAAAATTTTTTGGGAGAGAGAAAGTTGACCGATCCTTAATGGCGGGCACAAAAATGCTTCGAAGAAACTGGCAATCTTCATCAGTAAGAGGTTCATCAAGAGACAAACTTTTCTTGCCTGTTGTCAGCGCTTCTACAAACTGCAACAGTAAGTAATAATGGTAATAAGTCAGTAATAATAAAAAGGTAAGTACAGAAGCCCAGTCGTACTCTTCATCTACCCGGCGAACCTAATAATCTCTTCAATGAAGTCATTAAATTGTTAAATGATCGACGTTTGGATCAATTAACAAGAGGTGACATTTCTAATTTGGGTCAATCCATGAATTTTTTGGAGGCAGGCTGGTTAAAAGCATTGTTTTTCGTTTATTTCCACTCTTTTTCTAAAATATCTAGCCAAGATTTCATTCAATCAAAAACTGACTCGATTAAGTTACAGTTCTTAATTTGAATAATTATTTGAGAATTTTTGGGTGATTTTTCGACAAATTAGGCGGGGGGGAGGCAGATGTTTAAAATTTTGGAAAAATGGGAAGATATTGAATTTAAAGTATTGGGGGTTGTTAAAAATTAAAATATGAAGTGAATAATTGGTGGACAATTTCCAGATATTCCACCACCACCACCACATTAAGTTGCCTCTGATCCCATTACCGGACTAACTGGTTTATGTGTATACCTATTCTACCCTCATAAATTTCCTTCCCAAATCATTTGCTCCAAATTTGAACCAGACTCCCTCCTTAGGTTAGGGTGGTTCGCATGAGAATTCTGACTATATGGAGCGACTTTTTCTCAACGTCTAAAACTAATGTATAAAATATTCCAATTTTTTCACAGGTAAGCGTTGAAGGCCATTGTACAGAGTGAAAATGACTTGACTTGTGTGAATAGAATTAAGGAATGGCTCCTTATTGATATCTGGCTTTTGCCCCATTTTTCTCTCTCTCAAACTGATTTGGTGTGACCATGAGGCCCGGGGGGTACTTCCTTATAAGAGGCTAATGGGGATGTGCTGCTGGATGAGGTCACATTTTCGCGACTGGATTGACTATAAAGGGGTCGCACTTTTCCGCATTTTTTGGGGTAAGAAAGTTTTTCATATTTACGGTTAGCAAACGTATTAGAATGTTTGTAGGGTAGATGAAAAAGAAAGCGTTCTTCGTTCAATCTAAAAAATGGGTCAATTCTTAAAAATAGGAAGTGACTAAGTTGGGATCGCGAAAATTACATATTTGCCCAAAAGTGACTAAGATGGGGTCTATAATTAGCGCAGAATAGACTATAAAGGGGTAGGGGCTCTGAGAGGCCAGCGGCACACATCCAGCAGCAAAAATTAATCCAAGTACTCCCCCCCCCCCCACCTCGGGCCATGAGGGCCCATAACCCGGAGCTCCCTTCTTCTACGCAACGGCGTTTTCACAAATTAGTTGATTTTTAGATCGATTTCCGCAAATTTTGATTATCAAAAAAGTCTAAAAAAGAAATCAGCAAGTAATAAGTGGATACCAAAAAATTATAAATTTTTGATGTTTTTATGACATTTATTTTTTACCTTTTTTCCATGTATCATATATTTAACAATTATTCTTTGAAATCGAGGTGAATAGTGGCTGGTTTATTCACCGAGGTAAATATTGCTAAATCTTCTAAAGCTACTATTCACCGAGATTGAAAAGAATAATTGTTTTACTATATAAGCACGAAGTGATCTCGACAAAATCATAGAGGAAACCATTAAAAACGAAGTATGATTTGATTGACGGATCAAATAACGAAAAAGTTTAAAAATAGATCTGTGCACAAATTTCAAACGCGGCAATTCACAAGTTTATCACTTCGCAAACAACAGCATAATGGCTTAAATGGAACCAAATGGAAGCTTGAATTTTCTCCTTACCGGAGAAGAAATTAAAGTAGAGCTTTGCTGTTTTCTGTTGACTCGCCAAGTTTATAACCAAAACTGTTTGTTGTGTCGTTCTTTGCGTGAAGTACTGACAAAAATGGCGGCTCGGTTGCTTGAGGTAAGACGTCGTCTTCCTGTTGCATTCTTTTTCCTATTTACTTGAAACGTCGAATTTCTGCACACAATTGCTTTCAAATTTGTTTGTCATAAATAAACTTCCGTTCGTGGGCCAAATATAAACGTTTCTTGTTAGGAAACGCTGACTTCAAGAAACGGCCTTTTCTTCGCGAATAAATGGGAGTTGTAAACAATCCATCGAGTGCAAAACTCAGCTACAGTAAATGGAAAATGGCCGTTTTGACTCCTTCGAAGTCTTTTCTTGCCTTAAAAAAAGTCAACCCTAGGATTTTGTCCACTTTTTAAAGGTCGTTCTCCAAAAAATTGGGAAAAACACCGACCTCACACATTATTCACTCGCTAGGAGGTGAATGCTGTTGAATAGTCCGAGATAGCGAACCAATCAGATTGCTTAAATTACCAAGATCACTGACTGCGTATATACTAAATTTATATATATACATGCACTTACAAAGCGATGCTTCCATTTCCCATTTTTTTTCCGCAGGAAAAGTACTTCAAAATACTGCTAAAGATAACGTGATCTGTGATAAAGCCATTGCGAAGAGTTATTTCATGGGAGTTTTACTCTCCAGGTAATAAGCTCTTGGTGCTACATATTATTTGCTTTAACCATTCTTACCCACTGCAGGTACTTCTTGACCCGTTCTTTACGTTCCTCTCTGTTCTTGGAAGGCATTAACACTGACTTCTTTATATCCTCCAGCTTCGCACTATCCTCAGTCGTGAAAGAATCTAAGGTATATAGAGAATAGAGAGGAGAAGTCGTTACTTCACGTTACCATGGTAGCACAATTTCTGGACCACAATGATTGGGAGCTTAAGCAACAACAAATACGAGGGCAACACGACAGGTAAAAAACAATAGGAGTGGTGTAATAAGCAAAACAATAACTTTGCGCGTGCATCACGCTTTTTTGCACATTTCTTAGTCATCCTTGCACGACTATGACAAGAAAAGTCCTAATTTCACTCGCCCGCTTTATGGAGTAGATGAACACAGGACAAAAGTTTTCTCTTTCTTTTTCTAAACTAAGGTACGATTCTTTTGGATTCAACCCCAGAAATGCCGCCAACATTTGACAAATTAAATGAAATTGAATAAGATCGATGAAGTTTAAAATAGGGCGAATTCTCTTTTAAGAGAATTTTCGGTTTGTTGTCATTCAAAAATTTTGCTACCATGGCAATGTGACGTAAGGACTTCTCCTCTCTATAGTTCTTAAGTATTAATTCTTGCCCGCCAAAGTGTGTCCACCTCTGAGGATTTGACAATTACGATACGGTGTCATACTGGCATACTAAACGATCCTGCTAGTTACCTGATTGGGTTTATAATTTAGTGTCCCGTAATTCAACTTTTTAGGTTTTTGGAAATCAACTTCCATTGTTCTTGCGCTATACTTTGTTAGTATTAATCACACTCAATCATAACAATAAGTTAACTCAGATCGTTGCATGATAACAACCTGATGCTACCTAACAAGAAACGGCCCATAAAATGAAAAAGTATAGAAAAGGCTCTCAGTCAGTAGTAATTCATGAATCAGTATGCAAGACCATCAACACTTGTTGCAAAAACTAAACGGGAGTGTGAAATTCTTTTAATATTATCTCTGACCTCACGCAAAAAATGTATGGCTTGGAACTGTCTTCGATTGTCAAAATGCTGATGATGACACTCTTTACCTTTGGTTGCCACTCCCCCCCCCCCCCTTCGCCCCCAACCTCGTCCTCAGCGTGCTTTTCCCTAATGATTTTTTTGATTTTTTTCCTAGACGATAAAGCATCAGGACCTGACGTTTTCAGTATCTGTTCATTTATCCCTCGTGTGCATTTTGAGATACGTTTAGTGATGGTCAGTTACTATGATTACGAGAAATGACTTTATAAGTAGCGGGCGGTCAAGCCATTTTTGAGTTCAAATGCATGTTCAACGTTTTTCAATAATAAAAGTAAAACTTGTACATGAAATGATACAAAGTGCTTATTTGTGTGTTATTTTACATGTCAAGCACAAAAGGTTACCATTTATCGCATTTAACTAATTGTTGAAAAAATCCAAGATGGGGGACAAGATGGCGACCATTGTTGGTGATGTCACAGGCCTCCAGCAGCGCCACCATCCACAAATCATACTTCATCTTGTTGAGAAGATCAAAGGCTTTCCACTAAAGGCAAAATCGTTTTGAAATACTGCAACATCAAAAACTCTGGGGAGGGGTTCCATCAACCCCACCTTGTACAGCTTTGGGGGTATGAATTTAAACTGTGTACGTCCGGTTAAGAAATCTTACGGCGTTATATGCAGCTCTGGGAAGTCTAGTGTTCAAGGTTTAAAGTCTGCAAAGTCGATATGGTTTATAGAGATTCGAATGGAAAAGGCCAAACTGTCCTACCATAGTTCGTTTTCAAAGTAGATTTCAAAGTCTAAGTTTTGTTTTCAGTAGATGTACTGTTTTTCCAGGCTTTCTTTACAAAAGGTACCGACTCTTGATACAGATAAGGGAATCAACACCAGATGAACCAATTGAACTTTGGTGGATCAGTGGATCAGTGGCCCTAGTTTTTAAAACATGGAGTTGTCACGGCATAATAAAGGGACCTAAATATTGTTCTTCCAGACAAAGTCCTCATAGTCAAGAAGTAGGATTGTAAAGTTGATGCGAGCGTGTGTTAGAAGATGATACCCTGTAATCTGGCAAGCCTTTTTTTATCAATTAATCATCGATACGACGTGGACATATTCGTACCACGACATGATTTGCATTTTCTGCTAAACAGTTAATTGCTTGTGGTAAATGTATCCATGCGAGTTTAAAAAAGATAACTAAAAGTCCGGAGTGCTCTTAAAAACATATTCATTAATTATCGATTTACCTGTCAAATTGGTTTCCTCCCCGTCCTCCAGGCTTACCGCAGAGTTTTTATATTCCTCATCGTCCTCGTCGTCCTCATCACCTCTGAAAATCGTTTTGCCAACTAGCTCTCCTCTGGGAAGCTCCAAACGGTTTTTTTCCTTGTTATAAATAACACGGCAACACTTGAACAGGAATGGTCCACGAGTGTTCCTTCTAGCAATCTTTGGGGGAATTTTGCACTTCCCAATTTTTGCCTTTAACTGTGCCAAAGGGTGCACGGGAACATTAACTTCGCCGTCCACTTCCATCTTCGAAATTTTAAAATACAAATAAGAACGAATAAAGTCACCAATAAACGGAAAACAACCAACAAAATCAACAAAAGCGATATACCCAACAACGTACACAACAACCAACAGAAGCGATATTTAAGGGTTTAAAAAAATCAATTTTGGCCGCAATTTTGGATGAGTATTTTTTTTTAAAAATACTCTTGGCACTTCACTGCAGGGTGTTCTGCTATGACTCCTTACGATACAAATTCAAAATGTTGGTACACAGCAAAATGCCGCCAAAAGGGGAAGGGGAAAAGTTTTAGTGCAACCGGATGATCATGATCTAAGGTAACGAAATGGCGGGCACCGTCGGTCTTGAAACATTTTAATACAGGCTCAGCTCATTTCGCTAAATTTCTATTTCAAACTCAAATGCACGGCAAAGACAAGTTATTGCACCTGTCTTCCAATTCCTCTCGTCATGACATACTACTGACAGATGAGTTGAATCGAGCTCAAGATGATAAGACCCAGACAAATAAGGGCAAAAAAAAAAAAAATAATGATAATAATAATAATAATAACAAAATGACGAGTAAAACTGAATATTTACTTTTACTTTTTTACTTCAATAAAAAAAATCGACAAATTACAATAACTGCAATGTTTCTGAACGTCCAGTGGTGGATTCAGGGAGGGGCCCTGGGGACCCGCCTCACCTTATTTTTAGACCAAACTGAGACCCGAAGGGCCGAAAAAAAAACTTTTCGAGACCGCCCCCCTCCTCCTCCTTATCTGAAGGTCTGGATACACCACTGAAGTAGGTCTGTGTTACACTTTTTGTATTACCTGCCGGTCTCATCAAAGAGAAAACGTGAATTTATACCAAACTAAGGGTTTAAAAAGGTGTGCTGACCATAAAAACCAGGAAGACGTTTAATTTTTCTTCTTTTGAATTAAGAACCTTCGAGTCATGGCCTACTCATAATTTGACGAGAAGACGACGGAATCAGTACCAAATTTATGTTCCCTTTGCTTCTCTACATGATATCATTTAGAATAGTTATCAAAGTGTGAATTTACCTTGCTCTCTATTTTGCCTTTAATCTCAAATCGCTCGCTGTAAATTACTGAGGTTATCAAACGCAGCTTTTTGTCTTCAAAGACTTCTGCTTTATTAATGTCCAGTTTTGTGTCGGCCAATATTTCACGTAAGTCCGGGTCTTTTATGTAATCTTGATCGATTCTCCCCAAGTCTAGGAATCCAAGATCTTCGCTTATCTTAATACTTGCACTGGCACAATTAGCTGCCTTGATTCCAACTTCTACCTTGCTAAATAAAGGAACACGACAAAATTCTCGTAAGATTTCGGAAGCCTGTTTGTATGGGCTCTTAGAAAAAGACGAAGACTTTAGACAATATGGCGAAGGTTTTTAAAAAACGGCGGTACAGACAAACTCTCACCTCTCTCGACAGCCCGAGTCAAGAGAGCTCGCTTGTAGGTAATACCAAAAACCCTAATGTTGATGATCACTGATTATCGATTGAGGCTGAGTACGGATGTGAACTCAAGGACCTCAAGCCATTATACAGATCGAGGAGGATGGATAACAGCCTCTGAGAGATCTGCGTAATTTTTCACATGATACGAAAGCCGAATTCAGTAAATGTTTTATTATTCATTCAAAACATATCTAAGTTCTTAACAGCCCTACCTCCTCGTAGACTTTCTTTAAAACATTTGCCTGTTTCTAAGATTAATTTAAAAAGATTTAATGATTTTCTAGCAGATACTTCTTAGTCATAACGTAGATCACATCCATCCACTAATATTTTTGCCGTATTCTTGTATTTCTCCCGTTTAGTTTGAGTCAGAAATTGGGGCTACTTCGCCTTCGGGTAGCCGAAAAGTTTCGACATTTGTTTTGAGCTCACAAAATGCATAAACAGCTACAGTGTATAGGCTGCCGGGCTGCTGTCTGGAAACGAGGTTGCTAATTTATATTGGGGCTTTTTACTTGGAAGTAATGTTATTAGTAATATTATTAGAACATTGGAAAATCTCTTTGGCGAACTGCACATTGGAATGCAACTGCATGTGAGAAATCCCAATATTGTTACATGTTCTGCTAATGAACAGTTACTATTACACAGAGCGATAGATTCCATAACCAGCCGTTCTTTACTCCTGTAAGAGTTATCAGTAAAAAAATTAAATATCCCAAAAACGCTGTGTTGTGTTCACTGAGTTCGCTAAGAAAATAAAAAAAAGAATTCGCTTCATCCCATGAATTACTCGAATGCTCTTCTTGGAAGTTAAGAATGCTTGGGTATAAGTAAGCATTGTTTTTTACCCACACTAAAGACTCCTGTTTTGGATGCACAGCCCTAAGCACGTAGTTTACCTCATGCCGCATTTGATGTTCTTTTTTTTGTAACTGTTACTTATCACTGACTACAGTGTGGGTGATGATTTATCCCAGTGTCGTAAATCTACCCTTATATGCTGCAGCAGAATATATTATTTAAAACATTCTCGTGCTTCATATTCAGTGCTAATTTACCTTGTAGCTCCATTGTCATCGCCGTTCTCTTCCTCTAATTCCATTCCATGGTCTTCTTTTTTAATATGTTTGTTTAAGCCTTCGAGAAAGTCTTTCTTTTTGCCTTCAACAACGTAATCTCCCAGGCCTGCAAGGATTGTAAGCTTATTTAGTTTAAGCGGACGTTCCCAAATGGCTGAAATGGGCCTTCTCTCCTTAACCAACAGCGCAAATAACTTTATTTCTTGGTTTCGGTCATGAGAAACAGGAAAAAAGTTTCCCTCTTGATCACCAAAATTTTCTTTAGCGAATTCTTCAAGCAGCTTTTCGATTACCATCTGAAATGAAAAAATATGTATCTTTGACAACAGCAATGGAAACATAAGAGTATTACGTAACTGGTGAAAGAGCAACTTGCCAAATAACTATCATAGGGACCAGCTTGATTGATCTTCCGGCAATCTATTGACAAGCTCGGCTTAGCAGCTCCCATCCTCCCCAGCATTAGATTGAAATTGGTGATGAATTCCACTATTTGTTGAAATGTAATCACTCATCACATTCTCATATAAAGGGTACCTTCTTGGAGAGCCTATACTCGAGGCACTATTTTACATATCATGTCTGTGTGCGATGAAAACATCATAAGGCTTAGTGCCTCCTATATTGAAAATATTCTAAATTGTTATAAATTCGAACTCTAATTTAACTTTCTTAACATACGAGTAACGTATATTTTGTGGAAGCCGTACATAACAAAGTAATTTTTTATGTCAATGTTATATTGATTGCTTTTGGTACTGAAATCTTCATATCAAAGATAAAGTCAATAAAGTTGTTATTATTTTGTTTTTGTTGCTACTGTGGAGGATTTACGAGCTATTTTGCTATTTTTCGCCTTATAAACTGACCGTACGATTCTCTCCCTGCTCGTAAGGTGTCTTTTCATCGGTCGGGGAAAACATTAACACAACATTGTTTATCATTATTTCCATTGTTTTAGGTTAGGGTAGCAAACCATTTGGCTTTTAGCGTTAAAAGATCAGCTACATGATCTCTCTCCCCAGAATGAAGAAAAACAATATGGCCGCCAAATACATCCTTTTAATTTTGAAAGTTCTTCTTTATTAACAAACGTTGAACATTTATTTCGGCAAACAAACAGTTAAGTCAGGGATTTGAGTTTTTCCCGCAACAGTTGGTACTAACTCTTAAAATATTCATTTTAACTTCATGAATGATATCCATTTTAACTTCCCGCGTTGCGACACCTACAAACAACCGACTGTTCTTGCAGTTATAGATCCTTTTGCCTGCTACGGTTTTTTGTTTTAAAGGTCTCTGATCACGCTTATGAAGAGCATAGGGATTCCCCACGTTCTTATTTGTAAACTGAAAATGGAAATTGAATAAGAGATAAAATCTTACCTGTTCTGTTCTATTCTTGAATCTGCTGTGGTGCGAAGTGAAATGGACGTTGTTTTACGATGCGAAAACTATGTTCAAGTCGACGCTTTAACCGTTGTACCCTGGCTCCAGAGGATTCGTTCTCAAAATACCTAATATGAAATAAACCGTGCTTCGCCGCGAACCATCAGTATCGAGCAGAAAAATATATCCTCTGTAAACAGTATGTAACCGTTGTTGATTTCAAAATGCTTTATGTGGTCACGCGCCGGTTGTTATTATCGTGCTAACGTTTCATCGTTGGTTATTAATTTATTAACAATTTGAATTAGGTGACTTACTTGCCTGCGTGCAGACGTTTCCTATTTCCTTTGTGGCACGAAATAGGAGACGTCTGCACGCAGGCAAGTAACTTACTCTCTTACTCTCTCACGATAATAACAACCGGTGCGTGACCACATAAAGCATTTTGAAATCAACAACGGTTAGAGCGTCGACTTGAACATAGTTTTCGCATCGTAAAACAACTTCCATTTCACTTCGCACCACAGCAGATTCAAGAATAAAACAAAACAGGTAAGATTTTATCTCTTATTTAATTTCCATTTGCAGTTTACAAAATAAGAGTGTGGGTTCCCTATGTGAGGAGTTTTGTTTTAAAATGCTGCGTTTATGAAAATATTACTTCGCGAGCTGGAGTTACGAGAACAGTCATAACCGACTGGAATTGACGCACTGCACGTGATTTTTACCCTTTTTACCTTAATCATGCTCTAGTTTACTATTAACCGCACAAAAGTTATACATGCCAGAAAATTTGCAGTTCCCTTCTTTAAAGAAACCTATCTTTGCTGGGATATTATGTAACAAACAATAATTTACAAAACCCATTCCTTTCGTATTTCAAAATGACTTAGCAACTTAAAAATTATTCTGTGCAATTTTGTTTGTCGAAGCCAAGAAAGTGTTGTACTTAACAATATTTCAATATTAAAACAAAAGAAAAAAAAACCTTTGTTTCCGCTTTCAACAGACTATTAAATTTATATGGTGATTAACAAAACTAGTTTCGTCTAAAGACCTCTTTAGCGGAAACTATAGTTTTGTGAATCGCCATAAAAATTTAATAGTGTGTTGAAAGTGGAAACAAATAAGGTCTTTTTCTTTTAAAGTTTAACAACGAATGAATGTGAGAAATTGCATTGAGGAACGAAGGAGAAATGCCAGTCTTCGTGTCAAAATACACACCAACTTACAGTATTGTCTTGCCGTATCATGGCTCAGATTATTTATCATTCACTAACTTAGAGCACTTTTCACTCAGTTTAGGCTTGAGGCTTGATTTAAAGGCAGTTGAATCGATTGCTCATTGCTACTTGATGACGCCTCCTTAAAGCTTACGCTCACTGAAAGCAAATTCAAGGTGATTTATACACTCGATGAGAACCTGACAAACTGCTTGGAAACAGTGAAAGGTTTTCGCGGTTTTACCTGCATGTGTACCTTAAGTTCACACAAGTGACATACTCCAAAACGATTAAATTTGGAAAACAAATAATAGCCATTTGTGGCCATGCGATCCAACGACCGGAGCACAAATCTCTTGGGGGAGGGGGAAGTGATTTGAGGTTGTCTGAGACTGCATTTCGAGCGTTTCAGGTGTATAATATATATTTCTCACATTTTAAAATTGATCAGTTTTTTTGGCAAAGAGACCCTATGCAATAAAAAGAGACTAGAATATTCAACACAGACCATTTCTTTGTTGTTACGTTTGTATCTTTCTGCATGTGTCACCCGGAACTGGCATGGCTTAAAAAGACAATTAAAAGTTTTAAAGAGCCAGCCATATTTTGTTTAAAACGTAAAAGGAAGGGATTAAAGAGGACTGGAGACTGAAAACAAACCTTAGAGAAAGGATGTCCTTCTAATTTGCAGTTCGTCTTCTCAAGGTAAAATTCCTCCGTGTCACCAGTTGAAACAAAACTTGTAAACAGTTCAGTCTGTAAACGCGTCCAAACACGACCTCATTGACAGGCTGCAATCACGCATTGCTTACAGTGGAATAAAAGAAAACTACTTCAACAGCAGTGACTCGTGAAAGAAGGCAAGATCAATATTACAGCACTTATTCCGCTAAGGTAGAAAATAAGGTCTTCCTGTACAAGTCTTGAACACTCAACTGGGCCAGGATTCTTTACCTCTCGATGTCTCTACTAAACTCTCTGCCTTTTTTATGCCTTTTTTATGTTTTTTAATATACTTTTTAAACGTTCTCAGGTATAGGAGAAAAACTAACAACCTTTGCGCATGATTCATTTTTAACCACTAAATAAGCATTAAGGCAGACGTAAGCACTGTGCTTATTATCACCTGCTGCTAGGTAATAC